ACTTTTGGGTGCGGTTTGGTGCAGTCTCGTCGCTTGAGGCAGGGGATTGGGCTGCACAAGCGCCAATTGCGCTGCTTGGGCTGCGGTGCTCGACCAGTGGGAGTTCGAGCTCTAGCTCTAGCAGCCAGTAGTCGTCCTGGCTAGCAGTGGCGATGCATCAGCTTGGAAATAGCATCGTTCTTCATCACAGCTACTACTAGTAGTACTACCACCACTGTCTAGGCACGAACAGGCGTTTGCCTCAACCTCCTAATTGATGACATGACGGCACTCCACCGCCTAATATTGCAGTGCCTCAGCTAGCTGCAGCTCTGCGTCCAGAGCGCTGTTGGGCGCTTGGCCAGACAGAGACAGACACAGAGAGCCTAGCCCTGTCTTGCAGTTGCAGGCACCTGCAGGTCCCTCCGGCTACTAGCTCGCCCAGCCCCAGCTCCCCGACGCTGGACTAGGGCCGCGTTCCCCGGTATCTCTCTCGCTCGCCTCTTTTCGCCTCTTCCCTCCGATCCTCTCTTCCTCACCACCGCCGTCCATCGTGCGCTGCCTCACTGAAGAAACGACAACATCGTCGCCTCGCGATCGTTGGAGTCGGGACATCTGCGCCAGTCCAGCCGCTGCGCTTCGGTCCGTCCATTCATTCATTCGTTGATTTGCTCGCTTTGCGAACTCATTCATTCTTTTGAAATCGAGTCACCGCCGATTCCCCGACAATCCCTTCTGATATTGCGCGCATTGCTCGAGTGCATTATTCGCTCCTTCACGTGTTTTTTACGCACTTTGCTGTTTGCATCGCCATTTATCTGGAACATTTTAAAGTGCCACGATCTGGTATTGTTAGCCTGTCTTGACAGCTCTCGAATCCAGCTGCGCGGTCGTCTTTTACGTGTCCCAGCACAAGGAAAGGACAAGGTTTGAGACATTTGTCGCTCCCCGCCGTCGACGGAAACGCTCCCAGACTCAATAGTCGTCTCATTCTTTCTCCCTCTACTTTAATCTCCATTCCAGTCGGAGACTTTCCCCAGCCTCTTTGACTGTGGAACTCAGCTGCCAATATATCCCGAGGCTCAGGCAACGCATCACAGCTTCCGTTGCTCTGTAACGTCAACCTTTTCTCTTTTTGTTTTCCCTCACATCGATACTTGGAATCCACTTCGGCTGTGTGTAACGTCACACTTTCGACAAGATGCCCATCTCACATAGGCACCTCCACCAGCACCGTCGTCGAGATATTCTCGACGACATTGACGACATTGTCCACGAAAAAAACCCCTTTGATGATGGTAATAATGATGATAATGGTGTTGAAAAGAAGGGGAATGGAAATGGGGACAAGAACTCAGATACCAAAGGTATTTGCTGCATCAGCCTGGACGGCAACCGGGTCATCTGTAGACATTAGTTCACATGCTAACTCTCTTCCAGATCAAGCCACTGTAGTTCAAATTGTCTACAAGACCATGTCAGCAACCTTTTCTGGTCCCATCGGCGGCTACGTGACTATGCACCAAGGCCAAAGCGTTCCGACAGAGGCTCCAAAGCCCAGCCCGAAGCCTGATGCGCAATCTAAAGAACCGCCAAAGGACACCCCGACACCAGCAAAGGAGACGCCAAAGGAGACGCCAAAGAACACTCCCAGTCAGCAGCAACAGACGCCTCCGGCACAAAAGACAAGTTCCGCCGAGCCGACTGCCATTCATTCTCCCCAGCAAACTCAATCCGAGTCCCAAACGGTCCTTGCCAAGGCTACCGGCTCACCAACGCAGGCTGTTGATGGTAATCGAGCTCACTCAGGCGCTGCCTCTCCCACCATCGATGCGGCATCAGTATCGTCAACCCCGAGCAGCGTCAGTGCGGCCAGCTCTGGCACGAGCGCTGGAGCTAAGGCTGGAATCGCCATTGGAGTGCTCGGTGGCGTCTTCGTCATTGGACTGCTTGTCTTCTTCCTCGTCAGCCGCCGCAGAAAGCAAGCTCAGACCGAGCAGCTTATGAATGACAACGAAAAGGTTCAACCAGCCCCTCCACCACCGGTCCAGCCGCGGGCCATAACACCAGTCATTGCAGTCTCGCCACCAGTGTCACCACCAATGTCTCCAGCCATGTCCCCAGAACCTATTGACGACATGCCTGTCCGCACAAACCCGAATGCGCCGCGCATTAGCGTCAGACCCGTTTCCCAGTTCCTGCCCACTTGGAGTCTTGAGAAGCAAGCTGCCGCGGCTGCTACTGGTGGTGCCGTTGGTGTCGCCGTTACTGGTGATGCCGCAGATCGTCCCAACACCAGCCAGAGCGATCACCCTGCTAACCCCTTTGGTCAACAAGCCGAGCGTGTTCCCTCCCCCATTCACGAGGATGCAAGCCCTCGTGCCACTTATACGCCTTATACGCCGTCTGAGATGTCTGTGAGCGACAGTGCGTCCATCTCTGAGATTCCACATGCCGAAGAGGCTGTTGCTGCTACTGCCGTTGCCGCCTCTGCCATTGCTGCCGGGGCTGCTGGTGCTGTTACTGGAGCCTCAACGCTGGCTCGCAAGCAATCGATGCGAAACCGCAACCCTAACAATGTTGATCTGACTGTCAATACGCTTGACACAGTCCCTCCAAGCCCTGCCGGCACCGAGTTCAGCGTGTCAACACCCGCCACTGGCTCTGCAACCACGCCCCAGCCATCCCAGAGCGCTGCTGCTATCGCTGCTGCAGGCGGCCCTGCCAACTCTACTGTCCACCGCGTCCAGCTTGACTTCAAGCCCACTCTCGATGATGAGGTGGGACTGAAGGCCGGTGATTTAATACGACTTCTTCACGAGTACGACGATGGATGGGTGAGTACTTGAATCCTAATGAGAATTGAGATCTTCAGTTATATTCTAGTGACGCTTGCTAACTTGAGTGTGAATTCAGGCGCTTGTCATCCGTATGGATAGGTCCCAGCAGGGTGTTGTTCCTCGCACATGCTTGTCTACACGGCCAGTCAAGCCCCGACCTCCCCAGGGACCTCCTCCTGGCCAGCTAGCAGGTCCTCCTAGAGGAGCCAACTCTCCTACCGGCCAGCGACCAATGACTCCTCAAAGCCAGCGCCCGATGACACCGCAAGGCAAGTTTCCTCCTAACGGTGCCCCGAGAATGATAGCTGGCCCTGGATCACGTCCCGCCTCACCCGCCGGTCCGATGATGAATCGCAATGGCGCAGGTCGACCTCAGTCTCCGATGGGTCGTCCAATGAGCCCCGGACCCAAGCACCAGGGACCTCCCACCAGCCGGCCTCAGACCCCCAGTGTGATGAACCAACAACTGAGCAGTCCTACTGCGTCTAGCCCTTTGAACCCAAATTCAAACCCAACATCGCCAACAGACCCACCGGCGGTGGGATCAGCAGCCAGTCCCATTGAGAGGAAGCCGGTTCCCGGCCAAGCCTATTAATGTAGCCACTGATGCCGAGCCGAAATCTCTTTTTCGGTAAGGCATATTGGCCTTGCGCGCGCGAATTTAAGCCACATCTGGGTACTAGAAAGGGGACCGGGGCGTTTTTGAGAAGTATCTCTAAACTGGATAAGGCTCTTTGGCGTAAGCTCGAGCCCATATCTGACAATTGAGGATGTGAATTTTTTGATTGACTCCTCTCTTGCCTTGTTTATTTTTGTCTCTGTCTTTATGTTAACTCCTCCTTCACTTCTTCTTGCCGCCATGTCGAGCATTTTCCTTTTATTTTCTACATAAAGCTGATGTCAGCATCCCACATTTAACTTGTATATATCATTCACATACGAAAAGGCGTTGGCCTTACTATACCTGGTTGTACTTTGACTTTGTGCTGCGACAGGTGATAAGCCACCATCCAGTCTAGACTTGAATGGATCATAGATGAACTCTGTTCCATGCAAGATCTGGCGGGACTGGGCCAATGCTTGATTTGTACTTTACTACTACTTTTTTTTTTTTTCCTTCCCCCCCTTTTTTACCTTGTTGTCCCGCGGTATGTGATGGAACTGCGACTGAAGGAATGTGAAGCTGGTTGGGCAACGAAAAAAGCGTTGGACGGCAGCCGCATGACTCAGGGTTACGACGACAGGAAGACTGTGCATGTCCCGTGAGGAGAATGAGATGTTTATGGAACGATTATGTGTTGGCCAGGTATATATATATATATATAGTGTCACGGATATGAAGATAAGATTCAAGATTCACATAGCTTGCTTCCCGTGATGTGTAGTTGTGATGTGGGTTGGTACGTATGAGATGACCTCTAGATGAACTCGTGGTATGAGCTTTAGCTGGATTGAGTACAGACAGCGATGCTATGCAGAGATATGAGAAGACATTACTCTTTCGACCAATGCCTAGCTCTCTAATTCTGAACTCGCTTCTTTTACACAAACATGGCCTACATCACACTTCTTTTTTGACAACACGTAGGGTCCAAAAAAAACAAAAAAGACAGAAGGCTTCAATCTGGCAGAGGCACGTGCCTCCTTTTCACTTCCCTCCTTTACTACAATTTCATCCATCAAGTTAATGTTGGTCCGATTTCCAAATCTTATTTGATGCATCATCCAATCTTAGGACCAACGACTGATTTTACATGCGACTAAAGACCTCATTTCATAGAGAAGACAAAAGGCAAAGAAAAAGAAAGAAGCGAACAGAAGCCAGCCGATTTACCATCACCAACACCAACCTATTGTTGTGCCCTGACTGAATAGGAGCCAACAGGACACATCTATATCACAAGAATTGATGCAGGGATGGTGGTTAGCATAGGCTGGTCTGATTGCCATCTGCCTTTTTATCCTGCCTCTGTCGGACAGCTGCCAGTCGGATCGTTTAACTTTGTCTCAGATCGTTTGTCCCCCCGCTTTGGACTTGCAATTTTCTCTTGCTCATTCCTTTCTTTTCTCCTACTTTCTTCTTCTTCTTAATGCTGTAGTGAAAAGATACCAGAAGCCTCTTCTCATTAGAGGCAAACATCTATCCCCAGAAGGCATCGCCAATCAGCAAGACAGTCCACCATGCGGTCATTGCTTACCGTCCTCCTCTTATTTCTCGCCGCGCCCAGCCTCGCCGCTCCGTACCGCGGCCAACCCACCGTCCCATTAATCATCCCTGGGGGACACCTGCAAGATATTGAACAAGCTACTGCTATTACGACGAGCGCGGTCCCAACAGAGATCCCAACTGCTGTTGTCGTGCCTCTCCCGGGCTTCAACCAAATCGCGCAAAACAAGACGCAGCAGGCCGCAGCTACTGGTACTGCCTACAAGAGTCCCGACAGCAATGCTGCCTTTGGAGGCACGTGCGTGCAGGTAACACTCGGCGGCCACGGGAAGATTGGCATGACGACGCTGGAGGGGCGATGTGTTGATGATGCGGGCATGTGGTGGGACACGAGCCTGGATTTGAACTCGTGTATTGGGAATGCGGGGGGGCATTTGGTGTATGAGACACAGTAAGTGGGAGAGATATCTTGGAAGACATGAGAAACGGGGGTTATACTGACGGCTTGAAGTGGTGCATTTGATGCTACTTGTCGGCCATGCACGCTGGATATCATCCATGGGACTGGAAACGTACTACTCAAGTGCAATTGTCTGGATCAAGCGAGATTTCCTCGGTACACTACTTTGGAGATGGGACCTGGCGGTATGATTGTTCTTTATTTCTTGAGGTCTAACAAGGGTGGAGATCAGTGGCTAACAATGTCGCGACAGTCTCGAATCTATTCGCAGTCAGGCCAGTGAATGGCCGACTAGTCTGCGGCAACCACGGGGGCGTGCAAAGTCCGACATATTTTGCTTGAATCACATCACGATGCTACTCGGATCAGATGTGAAATGAGAGTGTGATGACAGGCAACTGGTATGGGAGAGTTTTGATGATGAATTCAGCGTACCATATGAGAAGCATGCAGCAAGAATGGAAAAGAAGAAAAGAGGATCTGAGAGTGAGCTCGTATATTGAGCTTAGGCGCATATTGGGATCATACAGACCGCATCAATTCTATTTCTCTCATATCTGATCATAAGAAGCCCTGACTAAACGAGGTTGTGAAATTGATTCATTCCAATTCATCAACACTGCACGCTAGTAGTCCAATTCGACAGCGTACTCTTCCTCACAACCTTTACCTCTGACACTCTACTCCTATTCATGAATACCTACGTACTCTTCACAGCGCTTGTACTTCGAATAAGCAAGAACAAATTCCAGTGTATACAGTTCAGATGACAAACTTGCCGCCACACCCACCACACACTTCGCCCTGCGCATCGCCCACCGCGTCCACGCTCCCGAGATACTCTTCTGCCAGCTTCTCCAGCTCAGATACTTTGAGGCAGCGCATCTTGCAGACACCGCATACGCGGGAGATGCCTGGTGCCAGGATGGGGATGCCTGATGTGGCGCATATGGCTATAATGAATGTTAACAAACCGATGAGAAAAATGAAAATACAGGGTGTTTTTCGTACCGAATGCGTGTCGATTATCACAAGTAGCCACGTCGTCCTTAATCGATAGTTGAGTACTGCAGAACACACATGGCAGCCTAAACACCACGTCTTTGAACAGCTGTCTCAATGGACTACTTTGTAACCTGGTGGTGGACGTCTTCTGTCCAGGAGTCACGCCGGGCACATCCTCTCCCATGCCGTACATCCACTCCCACACTCGACCTTCTGTCGTAAGCGTCTTGGAAAATTTTCTAATGCGCTGAGGCTTGTCGTCTGTATCGGCAGGTACCTGCCAGTCAAACTGAACGTTTGAGACGCCCCGACGGTCGGGATGCTGGGTATCGTGCTTTGAGGCGAGCACGGCAGTGCATCCGTCGCCGGGGGACTTGGCCAAGCCCCAGAGGCGAAAGCGGTAGGGGTGGACTTGCAAGACGGGCTCGGCTTGCGTTGGAGGTGCTTCTTGCATCGTCCGGTCTTCTCCGTGTTCAGAGTCTGATTCAAAGTCAGAGTCGACGCCGTATAAAGCGGCAGATCGAGGCACTAGGCGGGCGTGTTGATCTCCTATATCTTCCACCCACTGTGGCAAATTTCCTTCGGGTAGGTTTGTCTGGTACCAGTCGAGATTTGTAGAGGTGGCAGATAGCCTGACCAATGAATATAAGGGAGCTGGGGGTTTATTCTCGGGATCCGGATCGTGAACAACGAGTCCTAGCGTCAATAATAAGAACAGGGTTGCTATTCATGTAGCAGCTATGTGGGCTCACCTGTGATGGGATTTGTCGATGGCTCATCTGAGTCGGGATACGCTGAATTGCATTCCCATACGGAGTGTGAAGGCTTTGGCTCTGCCAAAGCGCCATTGAGCAAAACTTGGAAAGGCTTCACAGTAAACGGAGTTGATACAATACCCCGGGCAGTATGAGAGTCTCCCTCAGTCCATATCTGCCATTCTGTTAGAGCAAGTTTTCATTTCACAACACAAGCCACAGCCACCACTTACCGCATCCTCCCACTCAACTAAAGCGTCACTGGAGAGGGGTAGGCATATTCCAGTGGTATCACTTCGCTCGGATACCACGTCGGGAAGATCGCCCCTTTCCCAGTCGCCATATAAGATGATTCTGCGGAAGCCAATATGATTCTTTGCGATATATGCAATAGTTGCCGTCTTATAACCATCTTCAATGAGCCATGGGCTCCATTTGATCGAAAAAGCACTACCTTGAGGAGTAAAATCTGGATCTTGCGGATCTGTAGGCTGAGAAAAGGTGAGCTCAATTACAAAATGAAAGTGAATGTAAATAATAAGAGTTCGACTCACTTCTTTATGAGGTCCTCTTCCATCGATTCTAACGTGCTGCGTCAACGTCCAGACCCAGTCTTTCTCAGAGCCACGTTTTGACGCGTCTCGGCGCAGGTGATACTGAGCACTCATGACGACAACCTCCCCTGAATCGTTCATGTAGGCCAACAAGGCTCTTCCTGGCGCAATCTCTTTGGCCCATGAGAAAGACGTGATGCGCTCATCCATGACCCGGTAGCCATCTCTGGACTCGGAATCGGGAATAGGCAGCTTGGCACCCAGACCCCATAGCATTCTCCAGTTCTTGAAAGTTCGAGTCCTCATGCTCGATGTGGCGGTTGACTGGCTATCTGCCTGCTCTCCAAAAGTAATCAAGTTGCCGGTAGTCGTCAGCGCCATCAATACAGGCCGCGAGTTGCAGCCCAATCCGCTGGGAGACCATTCTACCCTAATGACCTGGCCCAATGCCGCGCCAGACCCAGTGACTGCTCCATTGCCAACTCCTCTAAAGCTGCCTTCTTCGCCAGTTCTGGGAGCTGGTAGTTTGACGCCGACCTGGGCACATAACTGGCCATTGATCCGGGTGCTTGGGTTGATAACGGAGGATGGCTGGAGAGACAATGCAAACTGATACTGGGAGGCATCTCGCTCATCAGCATCAGCATCGTGGCCGCCCAGATAGTCGGGCAAGAAGATGTAAATGGACTCTTGCGTTGCAATAGCCAGCTCGGCATCGCATGACCAGGCAAGGGCGTGTGGCGAAGGTGGGCGAGAAGTGAGAGAAAGCGTCTGAAGGGGACGCGCCTAGTTGATGGAATGTCGAGATTAGTACGGACGGCCAAAAACTGGTTGGTGTTTATGAGCAAAGGATGCCATCATGGCAAAGCAGCAACATCATTGGTGAGGGCTGTAAAGTTCGAAGAGGAGACTTGGAGCCTGGTTTTGATACGCCTACACAAACAGATGGACAGAATTTGAAGAAACTCTTATAGAATAAACGAGAAGCAATCCAAAAGCCACGTCTTGCGGTGATTTCTGGCACGGGTTGGATATGGCACGGGTTTGATATGATGCAAAAAGCTGGTGTAAAAGCTACACTCAACTCACCCTAAATCGGTCCATGAGGGCTCGGCGTGGCCAACTTCATCAGCTTTTGTGGATATTCAATCGGATTCATTGGTATATTTCGCAGTTTCAAGCGAAAATACCTCTTTTCTTGTTTGCAAAAGATCGGAGAGTTGAAAATCTGAATGAACAAGGTTTGAGTTGGAAGTGTGGAAGAAAGCTACACACCAAGTAGCTTGTTGCTGACTAAGACAGTTCCAACGTCATACGTGTAACTCACTACTACTACATATAGGCTCTTGGATTCTATGCTAGATTGTATCTTCCTGCATCTATCTATATAGGTTTTACTGAAAGAAATTATGGTGATATGCTATATTATGAGTCGTTTCTATTCATGCTAACTGGCATAAGCAATCCGGTCCGCGCATCTCAGGGCAGGGAACGCGACGCATAAAATTCAACTTAACAATGAGAATTCTAACAAGGCTATAAGCAGCAAATGGTGTTCATTACATAGGCAACAATGTCTGGTTGGTCTTGAAATGAGAAGTTTCATAAAACAGGCTAATAATCAAATGCTTAAAACAAAAATGGTAAACAAAAGAGCCTACGCAGCTCATGCTTCCAAAAAGCTACCAACTCCCCATAACAATGCACATCCCGCAAGTGCCGTAGCTCCGATGACCTTCTTCGTCCACCAGTCATCCTCCGTCAGAGCTTTGGCGCCCTGGATCTTCCTGGGCGGCGCAGTGGGGACGCTCGCAGGAATGGACGAGACATTGCTGTACGCTGCATCCTCTTCGGCTTCCCTCTTCCGCAGCATGGCAATAGTCTTGCTGAGCTCGACCAGTTCTTCCTCCAGAGCCAAGTCCTTGGCCCGATCTACCTCGACGTTTTGAATGTTACCGAAGAAGTCGGTAATCAGGCGGCTACGCGCGGCTTGCTCTCCACCAGGGAAGAGGTCGTAGTGGACGCCGGCAGTTGAGTGGATCTTGTCGAATTCATAGCTGTCAAACAGTTCGCCAATGGTCTTCTTGCTGCTCAGGTCCTGGACGTGAGCTTCGAGGAATTCCAGGTTGTAGTACGTGTATCGGTCAATGACAGCGACACCGACGTCGTTATCGGCATGATGCGAGTATGAAGATTCGTCGAGCTCGGATGATCCCGTGGCAATGATGTTGGGGGAGTACAGTCTGCTGTACATGGTATTTGCCTGGCAGGTATCAATCATGAAGAGGATTTCATGGTATCTGTATTTAGAGACTTGGTTAGGTTCATCCTGCCATCTTCAAGAGCAATACGTACCTCTTCTTCTCCCACATCTGCTCAAAGGCATCAGCAAGATCAAACGCGCCAATCTCCTCCGCATCTTGAAACTTGAGAAACTCGTTTCCACCGTGTCCGGTCATGTACACAAAGATGTTGCTTCGGTCGTCGGTCAAGAGTCGCTTGCTTCGGGGTGTCTCGTCGCCGACACGGTCGGTCAGCAGTCGGATGAAGTTTTCAACAGTGACCTCGTATCCGCGATAATCGACCTCAATGTTATCGCCATACAGATCCACGGCACGGTCTGAGTTGCTGTAGACGGTGCCTGGGAACGCATTTCGAGGATTGCAGGCCATGTCGTCGGGCAGCATGAGGATGATTTGGGAGTCGGGGATGCCCAGGCGCTTGACGGTCCGGTACATGGACAGGACATTGGCGAGATGGCGATAGTTGAACCAGAATCGGGATGTGCAGACCAGGACGGCCCAGTTGCTCGTGTGCTCAGCAACGGCGGTTGTCGCAAGAAGCACCGAGGCCACGATGGCCCGGAGAGGGAGGTTGGAGAGCTTCATTGCGGCCTGTTGTCAAGGCAGAAGCAATCGAAGAGCAAGGTTGAAATTTTTGGGTTGATAGATATCAGCTCGATATTAATGTTAGCGACAGTTGTGGTCTCGGTGCCACAGCAATGCCGCTGCAGGTCGCGATGGTGGAGAGTCGAGATTGTTTGGCTATTGGCGCCAAGTATGTGGTGAGTCTTGCTGGCTTACAAATTTAGACCCCCTTTGCGTTTCAGGCACTGCGAGCAGCTGGGTACCGCCACTCTCGTATCGAGTACATGCTAAAAGGTCCCAAGTGTCATCTCAGCTCTAGTACTTCTCTAGCAGCTCTTAGTAGCTGTTGCGGGGCGTGTGGAGCACAATAGGGGTGCATCTTGGACGAAGGAAGTACCCGTAGCTAGCGGCCGCTAAACGCATGTGACAGGCGGTTGAAGATGCGAACCTGGAGAAATTGGGGATGGGGAGGTGAATACGGGATGAGGTATTCAGGGTTACTGATAATCTGCTAATGAAAAATGCAAGCTGTAAGTGCTTCTATTGAAAAAGATGCTGCACATGAAAGTACTTGGCATATTTGGCTCTGCAGCACCGCCGTAACCAGGTGTCTTACGCCTTACAGAGGACGCGCCAGACTGTAGCATCAAGCAGTGCTACGCAGGTGAGCTCACTGTGGCTTTCTGGGGCGACTTGTGCGGAGAATGGTGTAAGACCTGGGGTAATACAGAGAAGGTTAAAGTGTTTACATGGTAACGTATTACGTCCTTAGCTGCGGTGAGCGGAAGGGTTAGAGAAAAGACCGTTTTGTCCGCGGAAGATATTGAAACTCCGAGGCCTTCTGTTCGTGCAAGGTTGAGAGTCAATACTACCATTACGGTAGTAGAAAAAATAAAGAGGTTGGAGATAAGGCAGCCAAGACGATTACGTATCCTTTCTCTTTCTGCCCATGCTACAGTTTGACAGCCTTGATGGAGATTTAGATATGGTGTAGTAAAGATGCACGCAGTCATAAGCTAAAATCGAGAGAGGAAAACGACATGGGACGGGGACACAACGACAGGCACCGTAACTTAAATAAGAACGTGTATTTCAACAATATGCACATCAGTTTCATCAACGGAATCCGATAGTTGTATGCTTGTAATCTTGGCTTGTGCGCTCTAATTTTCGCATTCCCTGTTTTTTTGTCCCTTATCCTTTGCGACGCTATGCATACCACCAACCAGGGTCTCATGCGCCCCACGTGCCGAATGACGAAACAGCCTTACGAAAAAGGACAAACTTTTTAAAAAAAAAAAATTGAACGGAACCTCAACGCATTGGCAGTTGAAAGACGGAGAAACAGGAATAAAAAACTCTCCGCACGTCACACGGATGCTAGACACCCAAAGCGGTAGTTTGTTCAATTAAACACGACAAGCTCTAAGATTAATCTTAACAGGGCATAAGTTAAGCGACTACGTAATCGCTTCGTCGCATTCAACTTCCATGTGCAGCTTCTAGTTTGCCATTTTGCTTCAATCGCTCAAGCCAATTTCAGCACGTGAAAGTAATCCCCGGACGCTATATCCACCGGCGCTCTCAGCGGTCTTAGTGGACACATGAGCCACTACCGCCGCCGGAACCCAACACAACTCAGCTCTCCTTCAGCTCTCAGCCATCCGGTCTCACCACCATTCCTATCGAACCACCCGTCTGTCGATTTTGGGATCTCAGGGGCAAATCAAGCGTTTGTTCGTTCGCATTCGCATACGGTTTTGCGCCTCTCAGCCCTGCCAGCGCCTCATCCCTCGCCCGTCCAGCTGATCAAACCCCGCTGCCTTCCCTGTTCTCCAAGCTGGGGTGCGATTCGCCCCCTCATGCGGAGAAGGCTCTGGTTCCCTGCGACTCTGAAAGGCCGGGACGACACGTCAGAACCCGCTTGATAGATCGACTGTTTGCTCTATAAAATCTCCAGAGACCACCATCGATTGCTATTTTGCTATCACCAGGCTGCTGTCGCTTCTCATCCTGTGCTTTCTTCTCCTTATAGCGTCTGAATAGTAGTTGCGTCGAGATATATTAGTTTGCCAGCAGCGATCTTGATATTACAAAGCAACTCCAACAGACGACATATTATATTATCAGCCACACCTACCACATCTTGCAGCCCAACCATGGGCCGGCTACCATCACACATTTTCATTGTAAGGTATGAAAGGACAGAAAGGCGCATCCTTTGCCATCCAGTTGGCCAATCGTCACTAACCTACTTGGGCACCTTAGACATGGCAACCGACTCGATGCCGCCGACAAGCAATGGCACCTCACGTCGCCAACCCCTTATGATACCCCCCTGACGTACGGCGGTTTTTTACAAGCCAGGCAGGTGGGCAACCAGATTAGCAGCATTCTAGAACAGGCCAAGGTCGACGCCGAGGTGACAAAGAACGGCGCTGGACTTAGCGGGAAGCGCAGACGGTTCAGGGTCGTCATCCACAGTTCGCCGTTCTTGCGATGCATCCAGACGTCAATAGGCATCACTTCGGGCCTTGCGCAGACGGCGCCCGATTCCATATACCAGCCATCCGATGTCATCGTTCCGCGAAAGGCGCCAATCGGCCAGCAGAATTCGAACAAGTCCGCTTTGCTTCGGCTGGACACGTTTCTGGGAGAGTGGCTCACACCAGAGTACTTCGAGACCATCACACCACCTCCCGGAGCGTCTCTGATGATGGCCGGTGCAAAATCGGAGCTTCTGCGGCGCGAAGATTACAGCATGTACACAAGCGCTCCGGTCTCTAGTAACAGTCGTCCAGCATCAAAGGGCGCTCTTTGGAGTTCGCCAGTCTCTACTCCACAGCCGCCTGCTTCGCCTACGTTGGAAAGAGGAAGCGGCGTTTTTGCGCAGTCTGCCATGGCCGCAGCGCTGTCCTCCGCTTCGCAGGATCAAAAGAAAGGCTACGCACCCCCTCGACCATTACATGCCGTTTCAAGCAATGGAAAGATTCCAGATGGATTCGTCGCTCATGCCAGAGACTCATGCGCCGTGATTGACTACCAATGGGACTCAATGAGAGCCCCGCTTGATTTTGGCGATGGCGGAAAGCTGGGCGAAGAGTGGGCGTCGATGCACCACCGCTTTCGCTCAGGGCTGAGGAAGATGGTCAACTGGTATGCGACGACGGACTACCCCGACGAGATGCTCTGCGCGTCTGCAAACAATGACAGCGACCATAATTGTAACGATAGCGGCTATGGGGAGGATGAGGACGAGGAAATCGAGACGGTCGTCATCATCGTGTCCCATGGTGCTGGCTGCAATGCTCTAATTGGTGCCGTCACGCACCAGCCTGTTCTTATGGATGTCGGGATCGCCTCCATCACAGTAGCTGTTAGAAAATCCGATGCTGATTACTCAAAAGCTCTGGCCGCCGCGGCAGATCGCCAGGGCGGTGCTGCGTCTCCGCTGGCCGCTGTCGATGATTTGTACGATATCCGCCTCTCAGCTAGCACCGAGCACCTGCGATCGAATTCTGGAGCATCCATTACCGGACCACCAGCATCACCCAGAAATTCCTGGGGTGGTTCAGGACGCCGTGGTCGCGGATCAGTATTAGCCAGCCCAACCACTGCGGAGGGACCTGTCCAGAGCCCCTTTACCGGTCTTGTCTATGGCAACCGAAGTACTTCTGCAAACGCTTCAGTCGGCACTTTTACGCGACGAGACTCGGGCTCTAGCCGGCAATCCCCTAAAGTCGCACCGCCTGCGGGTATGACTCTGAAGGTCTCCGGTGGCAACGAGAGCAGTGGGCAGACTGCAGGGCAAGCCGCAGGACGGACCACAGGACGAGGAAGCACGTCATCTTCTTCTGGCCTATGGACACCTGCACGCTCTGCGCTGCGCTTCATAGACGATGTCGATGAGGAAGCGGTAGATGATTACGATAGCATGCTTCCCGATTTCGATAACAAGCGATTCAACCCCATATCAAACGAAAATGTCAAACCAGCATCCAAAGAAACAAAGTCAACGCCGTTTCCGTTGCTATCAGCATCAAAAGATACAAAGTCAGAGCCATTCCCGTTCCTTGACCGAGCAGCTGAGCGCCCAACCTCCTCTAAAGGTCCTGTCTTCGCCGCCCCCATCACAATCAACACGGAATTGGCCTCCAAGGCCTTTGGAAGCCCGGTGGAAGAGATGCCACTGTCGCAACTCGGAGGTCTATGGAGTTTAGCTGTGCCTGAACAAAACGTCTCTCCGGACTGGAGTCAGACAAAGAGGAGGTGGACTGTCAACGAGAGAGCTTGATGATGGAAAATAGTGCTCTTGTTTAGAACTATTTTGGCATAAGGAAAATTTTAATATGAGCGCATCGGCTCTTTGATTTGGACATAAGGTTTACGGCGCAAACGAGGAGAAAGGGGAAGTTTACAGGGAAAACTGGAAATCAATAAGAGGAATTTGTTACAGCAGCTCAATAATGAGCAAATCAAAAAGGGGAGACAGGGCGGCGAGGTCCTGAACAGCTGGACTTCCCATCGCAATTTGTATCTCACGTCTTAGCGAGTGTTTTGGTTTATCTGCTCTTTTCTCAAAAAATTAGTTGGTGGAAAGCGTTTTGTATTGGAGGTTATGGAGTCCCAGAAGTATATCTGGAGCGGTACTGTTTTCTTGCTTATATTTGAACTGAAGAGAGTACTCTTTAAACAGAATGACAATCAAACTTTACAAAGTCAATCTGATGTTTACACCTTCAAATTGGATATCCTTAACTGCGAAAGGCTGTTTTGAATGTTTCCTAGTATCTATATACCTATATGTATGCATCTCTTGTAATAGACAGCAAGGCATCTGCTCTACCGAGGATAACCGTCTAGAATTACCCCTTCACAATTCCCTCACGCAAAATAGAGAGAAAATAAACCCAGTGAACAGACATGAGTGTATATGTGTATATATCCCTCTCTCTCGTTCCCACCTCTTATCAACAACATCTTCCCGTTACTTTTATCTTTGCCCAGTCCAAGTTTCCCTTTATAAGGTTAGAAAAAAACAATGATTTGCCATGAGTTCCGTAAACAAAAGAAAAAGAAAAAGATCAAAACTCCAAGAGTAAAAAAAGCTAGCTCATTAAAGGGGGGGAAACCATCTATTTCGAACCAAACATCTTGTTCATAGCCTGGTGCGCCAATTCAACGCCCAAAAACGTAGCAGCGTTCGCAGGCACCGCACGAGTGAGCGCCGGTCCAAAGCCAGGGAAGAAGGCCTTGTAGCCGCCCTTGCCGTACAGTTCGCGAATGACGCCTCCAATAGTGACGTTGCCCTCGGCAGTCTGCAGACGAGACTTGACGGTATCAACGGGGAAGACTGGAATCCACATGGCCACGCCGGCACCGGCTCCGGCGCAGGTAATGGCCGTCAAGCTCAGCTGGCCGGTGGGCTTGCCGGTCACGGGGTCCGTCGGGCTGAGCTTCTTCTTGATGACCTCGTAGGCGGCGAAGTAGGCGGCGCTTCCCGGCCCGTCGCGGGCGAGGGTGGCGGCGCTGCCGCGGAAGACGGAGCGCAGGCCGCCCTCGCGGTAGAGCTGGCGCACGACGTCGAGGCCGCCGCTGTACTTGGGCTTCTCGCCGGGCGCGAGCTGCTTCTGGCCCTGGACCTGCAGGATGACCTTGACGCGCTCAAAGGGCGCGGTGATGGCGGTCATGGGGATGGCGGAGAGGAAGCCGGCGGCGGCGAGCTGGCCGGTCGAGAGGCCATCGGGGCCGATGGTCGAGGTGGCGCCGACGATTTGCTTGCCGAGATCGTAGCCCCAGAAGGAGACGGCGACTGCAAGGTTGTGGTGTTCTTGTCAGTACAATGTCTCATCGTTTGGCCTGATCGTGGGGGTTTTTGTGCCGAGGCTCGGCAAAATCACCACCAGATACACATGCACACAGCACGAAAAGAGAGGAACTTGACATACACATGGGCGTAACGCCAACCAGCGGCGCGCTCACGCCGGCGTACAGGCCCCTCCTGAGTCCATCGCGCGCGACCGACTTGCGCACCACGTCAATGGCGCTGGAGTAGACGCCGCGCTCGGCCGTCTGTAGGCGCACCTTGACCAGGTCGAACGGGTGGCCGACGACGACGGCGCAGATACCACCGAAGCCGCCGGCCGTGAGGGCGCGCAGCTGGGAGAGCAGCGAGGACTGCGCCGCGGGGGCAGCGGCCTGGGCGGTCTCTTTGGCTTCCTGGGCGGAGGTGGGAATCTTTTCGGCGATGTGGGAGACTGCCTCGGCGGGGGAGGAGGGCGAGGAAGACATGGCGGCTGTGAGCTGTGGTGGGATGCAGAGAGGAGAGAGACGGAAGAGAAGAGGGAGAAGAGAAAGAAGACGAGAAAAGAGAGAGAAACACGAGCAGCAAGATTAGTTGGAGAGGAGGTTGTGGAGGAGTGGAAAGAATTATATCAAAGATTGAGGATCAGCGAGCTGAATGCTTGATATGCACCTATGCGGGACAGGCACATGCGCTGCTACATTACATCAAGCGCAGTGTGTGGCGCACCGTTTATCCGTTTACAGCGCTGTCAAACCCAGTCTAGTGCCACGACTGGACTGGATGAGCGGAAGGATCTGCCATCCGGACGACGGGATGCTACAATCACGCACAGAATATAGTATATAATTTGGAGATTAGCATGTTACTTTTGATCTGTACATTTCTGCTTTACTCCTTTTTTTTTTTGTGAGGTATATAAAGGCGCTCGTGACGGGTTGAGCATCTGACTGAGATTCATTTCTCTTGTCTCTTCTATTTGAGAAGCTTGTGATTTGCACATGTCAGCGCAGCACTTCTCTTCTGCTATAAATTGATACAGACAAGTACACGTTGTCCTTGATAGATACAACTGCCCTACCAATCGAAACACCCTCTTAACGCATATTACCATTCGGTCAAAAGACAGCTTATAGCCAAGGCTCTTTGCTTCTTCTTCCATCTCTTCCTTTGTTGGAGGGGTCCCCGCCTTGGACCTCGGTTTGCGGCTGCGGCTGGCTCCCAAGCTCCGTAAAGTCAGTAGGTCAAAGCGCAAGAAAAGGCGGGCCAAGCTGCTATGGTTTTGGATCGTGTCTTGGTAGTTTGAGCGATAGACTATCTGTAGAAAACTAGAATAGAATGAAGAAAGAATACAAGATTAAAGATTATAGCGAAACATTTTCATTGAATATTTGTTTTCATCTTCCCTGATGACATATCCCGTATGTGCTCCCGGCAGTCTTCGGTCCAGCCTAGCTTGCCGAAAACGCCACTCACAGATTCAACGCCACTTGCCCGTGGGGTAAAAGAGCCCGAAAAGGACCAGAAAAAGCCGGGGTCCCTTTTCACCCCACGTTCGTCATGGCAATCACATGCCAGGCTTTGGTCAGCAGAATATGCGCTTCACAGCTTCTTCTACGTAGTTAAGACTTCGAGTCTATCTGGGAAATCAAGTTTGAATCGCCACTTCTCTGAGAACAAAGTCGAAGCTGATTTGAACAATCCATACTACATACATTCTCTGATGCGGGATGAAGAACAGTGTGAAGGAAGGTTGCAGTGCATGATGGAGAGCGTTCTAGGAATTTGGTTGCAGGAAGAATGGATGAAGAGCCTACCAAGATGTACTGAGTCTCTATGATTCATCATTGTAACCGTAAAACAACTCTCGCTTGGAAGAACATGAAGCTGGAGTTTGAGATGGTCAATCTTTATGCTCGCTTAAAGCATCCATAATGGTTAGCAAAGCTGTTGCGCCGATCAAGACCACCCAGGTTAATTACAGTCAGACGGTTTGATCAAATTCGACAAAGTTCGTTTGAATTATAGGCAATTGACTAAGAGACTAACGACAACATATCTATTCGTCAGTCGGAGTATTACCCACCTTGTCTGTAAGTGGACTGCTGCTCTGATACGACACAGCACCTTTCGTCTCGGCTGGTCACTGAAGGGATAAGTCTGGTCGCTTGGAAATAGGAACAAGATCTTTGCAGCGTAGACGCGAGCACTACTGGGAGATACCACAGACACAATTATAGAGACAGAGTTCTTTCATTTTTTTACATACAAAAAGCAGTCAAGTGTGCTACACAACCATTGTCAATCCATGTTTCTTCCGCTCAATAGGCGCTTAGGGTAAGATCAAAAGTATTCCTCTCCTCTTGTTGTCTCCAGTTCTTGAGGGTGGCCTATTTCTTCTGACCTCCTGCGCCCGATCCAGCGCCAGTGTTGGCAGAGTTGTTGGACTGAGCAGCGTTCTGCGCGGTGTCTGCAGCAGATTGCGCGCGAGCGGCAAATCCGCCGGAGGACATGTCTTTGCCTCCTTGAGCCTTGCGTACAGGGATACGGTCAGTTTCATGCAAAGCGTATCGTGAAAGTTTGTTTCTTGGGTCATACCTGGGTGCTCTGGATTCGAGACGAATCTCCTTTGGTCATCTCGTTCTTAGGCATCTTGCCGTGGTATCTTCCTGATGAAGTGGTATGTATTGGAATGTATTTTGTCTTGGTATAGGAGCAAATATCTTTGTTGAAAGTGAAGTAGGATGAAGAGAACAAGATAGCAGGTCATCAATAGGATCCATTGCCCTCTATATATAGCTACTAGAAGTGAGAGTAAAAATCGTCGGTAATAGGCGAAACAAAATTGATAGATAAAAAAGACCCGTCACGTTGCGTGTGGTGTCACCTGCAACTTGGAAAACAGGGCGGGTGAATAGCAGGGCGAGGGAGTTTACAAGGCGGGCACCAATCATTCATTACTGGGGCGGCTCATTGCGTTATCTCTCGCAAGTGAATGATGCTATTCTGATGTGATAATTAGATAAAGTCAGAGAGGACTATCCAGTTACTATCGCTCACACGCAGTTTGGTGGGTCACACGAGTTGTAGGCCGTCCAAGTTGTAGGCCGCCACAGTTGTAGGCCTCCCACATTCGCCACGAGATCAAGATCCAGATTCACCATGAGATCAAGATCTGTACTTTTTTAAGAGAGATAAAACAGAGACACCTGTCCCAACGCCAGCTAACACCTTCCTTCTAGCAGACACTCTCAAAGCTGGCAAAACACAACGTCCTTGACACCAAAACAAATCATCTTTGATAGCCAATCACACCTATACTTCCATAATCGACAACCCTTGTACCTACGACTCAAGATGAAGCTCATCAACATTGCCATCACTGCCATTGCTCTTCCTGGCGCCGCCATGGCTGGTCCATTGGCTTATGCGGCTTGTCAAGCCGCCTGTGCGACTTCTCTCGCTGCTGGGCCTGCTGGTGTTGCCCTCTACGCGGCCTGCCAATCGGCTTGTGTTCCGCTGCTTGCTATGCCATGCCCCTAAGTCGGCGATTATTGGACGTTGTCTGGTTGGTAAGTAACTCTTGGGTCTTGATGAACCAACAAAAAGTAACTTATAAGGAACAGTGTCTCGTGCGACATCTTGCCAGGAGGTCAACGCCACATGATCAGAAACAACGTTATATCATGTACGAAAAGTCGAGACTTTGTTCTTTCTACATTTCTCACACGTGAGAACTTGAACTGTGTTGAATGAATTGACAACAACACGAGAGACTGTAAGGGAAACTCATGATGGTTTGTTGCGTAATGGCTATCAACAACAGTAATTGGTATGGGAAAAGGGAACTTTCTCCAGTTAGTAAGAAACAAATAGCGCACTATCATACCACTTGACTCATTTTCATGAATATTACGTCCCAATGACATTGTGAAGATTGTGCACAAAGTACTATAATCAACCAAGCCTACATACAATAACTGATCAAAGTGACATTCAAAGCTGTAATCAACTCTACTTACTAACCAACAAGAGCCTCCAACATCAAAGATGCAAAGACTCAAGCGTCTCCCCCATAAAACCCGTCAAAGCCACATGCTTCTCCCGCACTTCCTTCTCCCACTCCTTCTCAACTTCCGCCACAACATGCTCCACATTCATCCATATCCTCTTCCTGTTGCGTAGTCCCTTTACCGTCATCTCATTCGCTTTGATATCCGTATACAAACGGTACCAATTCGTCCTCTCTCTGACAAGTTTAACAGGCGCCATGGCTCTCTTGATATCTGCGGATTGCTGCAACTGGGCTTGAAATTCGGGCGTGTCGAACCAAGGAGGACTCTTGGGCTCGTTGGCTTCCCAGGCTGCATAAAGCTCGGCATCATGATCCTGAAGAATTTCCGCCCTGCGACGTCGTTCGATGGTGTATGCTTCTCTTTGCTCTCGTATTTGTTTCAAATCCGATGCGTTGGCCATGGCCCAGTGGTACGGAGTAGGATCCTCGCACCAAGCTTCGTATATCCAGGGCATCTCCCGCACCATCAGCCGATGCCATAACGACATAGGGAGATGATAGAAAGCCCGAGATGCCAATCGTAAACTAGCAATCTCCTTAGAGTCGAGATCCCACACAACTGCCTCCCTCAGTTCCGCCGGCAGCATCAAAAACGGATCCTGTGCTTCACGACCGACATTTTCCTTTTCCAGCAGCACATCCTGAAATGGACTATGCCGAACATTGAAACCCTCCCCGTTCACCATAGAAGCCTCAAAGATGCCCTTCAAGCCAGGCACAAATACGGGATTCGCAACGAGATACTCCGAGCCAGGTATGCAGTTCCAATGCCAGCCGTCGCTCTTTGCATCTCGAACGTCAGGATGTCGCTCGCCAAACACATCATTCCGAGAATTGCTTTCGAGACGAATCAGCGGGTCGAGACGGACTTGACCCATGCGAAGTTTGCTGATGCGGATGAAGAGCTCAAAGCAGGTAGGATGGAAGGGAAGTACACGGCTCGTCCACTGATGCGACTTTACAGTTGTTAGCCCGACATACCAATACCTTTATCGATGCCAAACACTCACCATGCACCAAAGATCACTGTCATTCGTCGCATCGCACTGATCCGCCTCGCCCCGATGCGGCGCACATCGCAGTCCCGCCCCCGAAGCAGGCATAAAATCCGACAATCCCGTAAGCGCATAATGTGTTGATATCCTCTCGAAATCCATGTCGTCCTCCCGCGGCGTCCAATCTTCCGGTTTCCGAAAGATGCCCTGCACGGTCTGGCAGTCCATCATCTCCTCCACGCTAATCATGTCGCCGTGGAAGCCGCGGGTGTTGAGACAGCCCGGGCCGGCAATGTGCTCGTACTTGCGAGCGGCGGGGAGGGCCATGATGTGTCTGTCGCTCTCCATGTCCTCGTCCTTGACTGCGCCGTGTTCGTCGTAGGGCGCTGATAAGGACAGGAATTGGGAGTCGTATTCTTGCACGTCGAGTCCCTTGGTGTCAAAAATCAACCTGCCATCTTCCGTATCTGACTCTTCATTTTGAGAAAATCTTGCCCCGGCCTCCTCTTCAGTTATCTCACCAGTTGCGTCATCATCATCTTCTGCATTCGAGTCATACTCCAAGGGCTCGTCGTCGTCTTCATCGTCACTCTCATTTGCATATGTAGCATCATCCGGGTCATCTTCATATAAGCGTGGGTGAATCCTCCGTTCCCAGCCCGGCCTTCCGCGGTACACAGAAGAACAGCCCCCGTCAGGACAATCATCTTCATCAAAGGCCGATACTGCTACCCAGTCCCAGCCCTTGTGCCGGCTGGTAAAAGTATTGCCCCAGGCAGAGCTCCGCGGCTCATCGCGGGTCCTTATCCGATTGATGTTGAAGATGACGCCGCATAGCTGGCAATATGTCTATAATTCACGGCTTCGCTTTAGCCTCTGGTGTTCACTGTTCACGGAGTTTAGACAGCCGCCATACCTTATCATGATCTGACTAATGTTAGTTGAATGCCGCTTACAAGGGGTCGGTCACGTCAATACTCATTTGTATGAATTATCCGTGCAAAATCACGAGCAAAGAAACTCATCTGCAACTTTGCATTATTGGTGTGTGAAGGGAGTGAGAACTTCTGGAATACCCGGACTTGGATTGACAACTTTAATAGGAGGTAGATGGATGGATGCCCAACGTCAACGCCGATTACAGCATCAAATAAGCAGCCCGCATTTTAAAAAGGGCCGTTCCGAATTGGTAGACACGCAACGAGGTGATACGCACATGTATCTATCCAGACAATCAATCCATAATAGACAAGGATGTAAACACTGGAAAGTGCCAGTTGCTTATTAGATTGACCGAACGTATCCGACTAGCTCTTGGAGAGATCCAATCAGTAATACAAATCGACCAACGCTACAGCTTGTAGCGCCATACGTCACATACGCTCTGGCCCTGAATATGATACGATTTTGTATACCTAGACAAATGCACCATGGAGCATATAATCGCGAATACGTAGCATCGGGGGAAAGCTAATATGCACATGTCCGGTCTCGGCGCCGATCGGTGTTTGATTGACGTTGCAACGAAATAAGCCTAGGTCGGGTTCTTGATGTACAACTCGGCTCAACAAGCAGTATACCTTAGATAAAAACATCACATAAGAAGTGATCCCACCCATTGATATTGACATGTTAAATCTCCGCCAGTATCTAGATATTTCTAGCGTATGCTGCCGCCACCTAATTATAGACAGAAACATATCCTAAAACGCCAGGCAAAATCCAAACTCGCACCATTACGCCAAGCATTCCGCCTCATTCCATGTGTGTATAAAGGCCCTCGGCATCCAATTGCCTGCCGCCATTTAATACCGTGGCACAAAAGAGATATCCGCACCACATGTCTTGTATGGTTAGTGATTCTTCTTATATGCCACCGGCAAAATCGGCGATTTGTCGGGGCCCAGAAGCCAACTGGCAAGCCTTGTACAAGGCAGCAAATTCTTCCCCTAGAACTGCTTCGACATTTGCGGCGGATTGACCAAAGCTCGCCCTCGAGTGCACCAGCACCCATTATCCCCATCTCTTTCCACTTGTATGACGGCGTCAATGCCCTCCTTGAGCAGGTACTCTCGAACACGATCTTTGGTGTCCTCCAGAGCGGCGCCACGAGCCACTGTGACATGCACGATACCCAACAGCTTCTCACCTCCATGGTCGTCCATCCAAAACTTCGGCGTAGAATAGCTGACAACGCCTCGTTGTTGCCCGATACCGGCAAGGATATTCCGCAGATTGTACTCGACTCCCTCAGGGACAGTGAGGAGCAGGCGCTTCGCGGCTGAGAACACAAGCGGCTGCGCAGATAGAAAGATGAGCGTCGCGATGAAGCAAGAAGCTAGCGGATCCCATCCAGACCAGCCCCAGAAGCTTGTCAATATTGTAGATACAATGACCGAGACACTACCCAACGTATCCGCCAGAACATGCAGGTAAATACCTCGCATATTTTCGTTATCATGGTCATGGCCGTGGCCGTGGCCATGGTCGTGTCCGTGACTGTGACTGTGGCCCGAGTGCGAATCGCCGCCGTGATCATGCTTCTCGCCGTGGTCGTGACCATGAGAATGACCGTGAGAGTGGCCGTTATCATGACCGTGGTGGTGATGTCCAAACGCCATCATACCGACCAAGTTCACAGCCAGGCCCAGACTACTAACCACAAAGAGTTCGCCGAGACGCTTCGTTTGCGTTCCCTCCCATAGTCGCTCAAACGCCTCAAAAGCAATTTCAACACTCAGTAGCCTAAAGGAAATAAAATCGTCAGAGAATATCGCCAAATAGTAACCGGTACCGGTGCGTTAAACACATACATTAAGAGGATACCGTTGGCGAAACCACTCAGCGTTTCGACTTTGCCAAAGCCATACGGGAATCGCTGGCTCTTTGGCCATTTGCTCATGACAGCCGCCAGTAAACCCACAAGCAACGCAACGCAGTCGAAAAACATATGAATGCTGTCACTAAGGAGGCCTAGTGAATCGGTAACGTAGCCATAGAAGGCCTGGATAATCATGAAGCCAAAATTGAGCCTGAAGGTTTTCTTATTAGTCTATTCTGCCAGCAATATTGAGGGTGTACACATACGTCATGAAGTAAAAAATACGCCTCGAGTCCTTCTCGGCAAGTATAGAGTATAAAATGGGCCATCCAACCGTGTATGGAAGGATAGTCCTCGTGAAGAGAGAACGCTCAGAGCCGTGATTATGTCCAGTACTGATACCAACGACATGGCTATGGTCATGACCATGGTGATGATCGTGATCGTGGCTGTGGCTGTGGTCATGAGAGTGGGAGTGGGAGTGAGAATGGGAGTGAAGTTGCGAGTGGAAATGCTTGTCGTGTTTATGATTATGTTCGTGGTCGTGGTCGTGGCCATGATCGTGGCCATGGTCATGGTTATGGGTGTGACTGTGGCTGTGGTTATGATTGTGTGCGGTTTCGTCAATGCCTTCCGGTGTATAGCGGCTTCTCCTCCCTTGAGACCGACTCTCCATGCCTCCTACCAACGACTTCTCTAGCACCATAGTAGAGCTTGCGTTGGAGACTTGCGAGCCACTGCGGCCATGGTTTGGCAAGCTGTAAGAATGCGCATGCAAGAATGAGGGAGACAGCGGCGGTGGCGAGTGTGAATATCCCTTTGAGTGTAGGTGGGAATGCGAGTGGCCGTGATCGTGGTCGTGGCCGTGATCGTGATCTCCGTCCTCGTCGTCTTCAAGTTGGGAGGGCAGACTGTCGCTCGACACAGTCATCCGCCAGGTGTTGTTCAGCGACGGCGGCTGCGAGCGAGTGTGAGCCCGGTGTGCGTGCGGCAGGGCCGACGACGGCAGCGAATACGATGTATCCATGGCTGTGGTATGGTGATGGATCGATCGATCGTTATAACGTCGCAAAAGTGCCCGTCGCTCTGTGTGTCGTCGTTGTTGCCGGGGTGCGATCCGGGGCTGGTTCCCAAATCTCGAACTCGCGCTTCGAGCCACCCAAGCGATAAGACGCGTTGCTTCGCTACAAGAGATACGCCGCCGCTCACAGTGGCACTGGCAGCCGCATCAAGCCTTGTGCGGGCCAGATGAATGCAATTGAGGGAAAAGAGGCGGTCTCGAGAGCACCGGCACGAGTGGAGGTCGCAAGATAGTCTCCGACCCCAGCTTGAGCCGTCGTCAAAGGCGACAGACTGGCCGTCCGTCCGTCCAAATAGGGGAACAGGCACACGGACAAGAGAAAAAAAGCTTCGGCGGCCAAGGTGGCACCCTGTGCGCTGCTAGTGCGCTGTGCCAGCACCAACTCAGGCCTGAGTGACCAACCTTTGGGGGGGGTTGCGGGGCACGTGGAGGCGCTTGGGGCGGTCGTGATGCAGCCACCCAGCACTTTGGGGCTAGCAGCTGCGGGCGATGGCTATCAGCGCGGGCTTAGCGGCAGGTACCGGCGCATCAACAGCTGGAGGGCGCGATACCCGCGGGATTCGTTTGGCCGCTGAGTGCTGAGGGGGATGCGATAGCACGCTGGTACTCGCTAAATGAGAGGTTGATGCGAGGAACTCGTTAGAGGAGAGATGGGATGAGATGAGATTAGATGGGACGCCAGGTGCTGCCTTGGGTCCAAGCACGGTGACGCAATAGGGTCCTCTTTTGTTTTAGATTCTTATCTAGATGGAGAGTAAAAGCCGTCATCGTTGAAACACTTGGAAAGGTCAATGACATCTCGACAGTGCTTTATAGACGGCCAATCACTAAATAGGAAGGTCTGTATAGCTCTTGTGAAAAGACCTAATGCTTCCTGGAAAAGACCAGACCTCTCAAGAGCGACGAGAGCAGAAATTGGTCCAAGATGATCTATCAAAATCCCTAAACTGGCTGCCATTGATATCCAATCATTGCCATTAGTCCAATGCTTGATCTACACAGATGCCCAACACAGCACATTTGCATGAAGCCGTTCCGGCCGTCTCTCAATAAGCTTTTCATCCCTGGTCAGGCTCGCCTCATCCGCTCAGGTACCAAGAACAACAAAAATCTACTAAGATCTCACTGCGAGCTTTCTTCCGAATACAGCACCTGTAATGTCTTGCAGCATGGCCGCACTGATTGGCCCTCGGCCGTCTCCACGATCTCCATTGCATGTGGCGCCCATCACGGAATGCGACTAAAAGTCCCTGTTATGGCGGGTACGGTGCCGGCAGCCTCCCCAGCCACATTGCACTATGCGCCACAGCTACCTAGAAAGCTCCAAATGACGAGCTTGGTGCTATCTGGAAGCTCATCTGACGGCCAACGAGCAAAAACACTGAGAGGAGATTCCATCCCGAGCTTCATTGCATATGGCGTTGCATGAACTCACATAAATCCGCTCCTTACATTGGGCTCCCTTGCTAGCGGGATCATCAATAGCTCTGGCACCATCCGCCCAAGTATCCTCTAATCTGGCCAGCTGTCATTCATTCACTGCCCTTCACGAACCTCTGCGCCGAATCTAGAGAACAAGAATTCAGCTATATATCCTTGTTTGTTTTCAATCTTGCAGCTAGGCATGGTTTAATCTGCTCAAAATGCATTATTACGCCAACTTCGTCTTATCCGCCATCATTGGCGGCTTGTCCGTCATTGCTCTCGGCTACGTCTTCTCTTTCGCCGTCTGGCTCGGGAAAAAGTCACTCGATGCCATCCCCACCCGCTACCATCCCGCTGAGAAACCAGAAGATGAGCATATTCAGATCCTCGTTGTAGGTGATATCGGAAGAAGCCCTCGGATGCAGTACCATGCTCTGAGCGTTGCCAAGCACGGACGGCAAGTCGACATTGTGGGCTATAAAGGTACGTGGCCGAGAGACTCTCATTCTCACTTGGTTAGATTCGTCTGCTTATTTTAGGCTTATAGAGACGGCCAGACATCCGGATCTCATTGGCAAGACAAACGTCACGGTCTATCCTCTCGCTCCTCAGCCAGAATGGATCGCCTGGGGCACGCTGCCCTTCTTTCTCAACATCCCCGCCAAGGTCATCCAGCAGTTCTGGACCCTCTTCAGGACGCTCATGTACACCACTCCGCCAGCTCAGTGGATCATTATCCAGGTAACAAAGATTCTCCCAACACTCAGATGAATTCATCAGCTCTAACACAATTCATAGAATCCGCCTTCCATCCCCACGTTTCACGTAGCCCTCTTCGTCTCATGGGTTCGCGGCAGCAAAGTCATCGTCGACTGGCACAACTATGGCCATACCATTCTGGCGCAAAAGTCTCTTCTCCGGCCTCTTGTGCCCATCTACAAGTATTACGAGATTCAGCTAGGCCGGTACTTGGGAAACGCAAACCTCGCAGTCACAGATGCCATGGCGAAGCAGCTCCAAACCAGAGGGCGCTTTAATCTCAAGAACCCTGTCTATACGCTTCATGATAGGCCAGCTGAGATATTTCAGCCTATGAGCACTGCAAAGGATAGACTTGAGTTCCTCTCTCGCTTGGCGGAAACACGAAACCATGCCAAGGATATTGTCGATGGTGCCCTTCGTCTAGTAGTAAGCAGCACTTCTTGGACAGCAGACGAAGACTTTGGAATGCTGCTTGATGCTTTGGTCGCCTACGCCACGCCAACATCAGGCGAGGAAGCCGTTCCTCCAATCCTGGCCATCATCACCGGCAAAGGCCCTCAGAGGGAGGCCTACCTCGAGAAAATCAAGGAACTCCAGGATGCCGGTAAACTGCCCGGCATTCGCATTCTCAGTGCCTGGCTTTCCAATCGAGACTACGCTTTATTGCTCGCCGCAGCCGATCTAGGCATTTCCCTCCACAAATCTAGCTCTGGCGTGGATCTACCCATGAAGGTCGTTGACATGTTTGGGGCGGGTCTGCCCGTGGCTGCATATGCTGGCTTCGAAAGCATCGGAGAGCTCGTGAAAGAAGGGCAAAACGGCTGTGGCTTTGAAACAGTACCTCAGCTAACTGAGATCCTAAAGAGGCTATTGAGCTTTGAGGGAGCAGGAGAGTTGGCTAGACTGAAGAGAGGCGCCGTTGAAGAAGGTTCACGGCGTTGGGATGAGGAATGGGATTCTGTCGTTGGCCCTGTGATAGGAGTAGCAGCCAAACAGTGAAGGCATCTACGCATCAATTCTTCTAGATAGCGATTCCGTATATACAATGAACAATTTTGCATTCTGGTTTTTTTTTTTCTTTTGTTGCTCAAGGAGCGCTTATTTGATTACGCTACTGGTCGTCCGCAATGAATAAGTCAAGGCTCTTTACTCTTACAGCATCTCCGAGACGCCAAACCAATGCAAACAACAGGACACCTCCGTCATTCATCCACCAAAAAACGCCATACATCTTGTAAATGTTAAAAATGCAAATTCCAGCCCAGCAATGCATCCAAGTTACTACCTTTTTGTTCACATGTGTGTAACATCTCGTCTCGCCCTCATTTTTAGTCCTCTCCCAGGCTCTCCCTCACACACTTCCGACACCGTCTCCTGTAATCCTTGTGCTTCCCCTCCTTCTCCTCGCGCAGCATCCTCGCCGCCTCGACGTTCGCGGGGCTCTCTTCGTTGGGGCTGTAGAACAAGCTGATGATGCTGAGCAGGATCGTCTCGGGCGTCTGGACGGGGCTCCAGCGCTCGGCGGCGGACTCGTAGCCGTACTGGTCCTCTTCGGGAGGGTGCAGGATGGAGATGCAGAGCTTGCCGTTTTCGTAGATGTTGGGGTGGAACGGGATGGGGTCTTGAAAGGTGAGCTGGGGCGGCATGTGAGGGTAGTTTTCAGGGAAAACTAGACGAGCACGAAAGTTGCCTCCTGTAATCGTAAGGTCGAAAAAGTCAGCTTGCTAAAGTCGATACGGTGTGCTTGAAGCAAGGGAGAGATGGGGGAGAGAAAGCCACGCACCGCCATAGTATTTGCAATCGTCATTGATCATGAGCATCACCTCCCACTCGAAGATGTTGTTGTCGTTGGCGAGGCCGCATGAGATGCCGGGGAGGTCTTTGCCAGACTGCATCTCCTTGAGCTGGCGCTTCAGCAGCGACGCTGCGGCGGCACCGGCTGACGCCATAGTAACGGTGATGCTGTGAGCGGTTGTATGCGATGTTTGTATGAAGGAGATGCCGCTGGTGCTCCTCGTGCCGAATGAAAAGGCGTTGGGAGAAGTTGAGGAAAAAGGGTCAAAAGATGTTGGGTGCAGGAGGAGGAAAGAGTTCAAGGTTCGGTTACGATATGGCGAAGAGCATAATAGCTTAGGTAGTAGCAAGTAAGCCATGCCTGGGTCGGGTTTTGGAGGTGGGGTATTCCGGCACCGGGTGGCACACGACCCTGCACCTGGATGGCCTCAGCTGTAGGTATACCCAGACATGTACACGTATTTATGACATGGCAGCGAGCTGGTGGCTGTAGAGGCGCAATTAAGTACCTAATGCATACAGATATCTTGATTTTGTCAGTTGATTGAAAATAAAAACATTGAGAAGATTTGCCTAGGGCTATATAAATTGCGCAGTATTTGCTGATTCATCCAAAATAAAACATTATCTACAAGTCCTGGGTATCATAAATCATCCTCTGGCCATCATACGCATCCACATCTCCAAGCATTCCCACGCCTCACAACAATCAAATCACTTCTTTGACGATCCAAACCCTGTAAATCCCATCTGCGCCATCATATCATCTTCTTCATGCTCTCCCTCAATCCGCACATCGTCGCCATACTCTGTCTTCACGTTGGCGGCCTGTTCCTTGCCTTGCCGCTTCTTCTCTGCCTCTTCCTTTCGCTTCGCCCGCTTCTCTTCCGCCTCCTTCTTCATTTCCTCTTCTCGAATCTGCAGCCTGTCTTGTAAACTCGTAGCCTTCTCTTTCTCGAGATCCTCTTTTCGGCGAATGTAGAACTCGATTCGCTCGTGCACTTCCTCGACAGTGGCTCGCTTGACTTCGGTAGTCTGCCCAGTGTTGAGCAGATGCTGAGTCGTATTTAGATGCTATGCATGCCCAATTAGCACTGATTTAATTCACTCGCCATAATATAGAGCATACCTCGACCCATTGCAAGTTATCCTTGAACGTAAGGTCACAAGCCTCACAGTAGAAACCAGCTCCTCTGCCTCTTTTGCCAACTCCCGATCCAGCCGGCACAATCTGCGTCTTTCCGACCTGCGCGCTGACGTCGATGATGTTTCTCCGTGCTGACGTGTATGTCTCGTTGCCCGTCATGGGCTTGTGGTATTTCTTGCCAGCGAGTTTGGCCTCGTAGCGCGCCTTGGCCTCTTCCTTCTCCTTGGCCTCGCGTTCTTTAGCTTTGGCGGCATACTCGTCCAGATCCCAATTCTTGCGGAAATCGGTATCAGAGGCCGCCACACCGTAGGCGCTCTTGTTCTTCGAATCAGACATGGTGGGCGAAAGAAGAAAAAAAAAAGCCAAAGAGGATGATGTAAAGAAAGAAAGCTTGCGAACTGTCAGATTTAGACGCGACACCAAGATCGCCAAAGCTGCGGCAAGACAAGGGTCAACCGGCGCTAAGATAAGAATTTCTCAACCCCACCGCGGGGCAGCTTTTGAAGATGAGTTTTCCAACTCGAGACGCAATTTGCATGTGGTAATCAATATCAAAATGTTGTATCTTGTTGGCCTTGGTCTGTCTGACGAGACGGATATTACCGTCAAGGGTCTTGAGGTGGTGAAGAAGGCCTCGCGAGTCTACCTTGAGGCATACACAAGCATCCTACTCGTGGATCAGTCTGTCCTGGTATGCATCTTGGCCAGTTCCAGTGACAACGTTTCTGGTAAGGAACAGAGCTAACGCTGACTCTTGAAGTAGGAAAACTACTATGGACGATCGATAACCATCGCCGACCGCGAGATGGTCGAGTCAAACAGCGACGAGATTCTCCGAAATGCGCAGAACGAGGACGTCGCCTTTTGTGTTGTTGGAGATCCCTTCGGGTCAGTTTTGCCTTGATGTGTTTTGATTGTCCGCAGCTTGTACTAACGATATTGCTGTAGTGCTACAACACACACAGATCTCGTCATCCGAGCTCGCGAATTGTCCATTCCCGTGCGAACCGTACCCAACGCCTCCATCATGTCCGGCATCGGCGCTTGCGGCCTTCAGCTGTACAACTTTGGACAGACCGTGTCCATGGTCTTCTTCACCGAAACATGGAAGCCAGCTTCCTTTTACGACAGAATAAAAGAGAACCGCGACATTGGCCTGCACACATTGGTCCTAGTTGACATCAAAGTCAAGGAGCAGAGCTTGGAGAACATGGCCCGAGGCAGACTGATCTACGAGCCCCCACGATACATGACAGTTGGGCAGTGTGCGCAGCAGATGCTGGAAATTGAAGAGGAGCGCAAAGAGGGTGTTTACACAAAGGATAGCTTGGCTATTGGCGCTGCTCGAGTTGGAGGCAAGACGGAAAAGTTTGTGTCTGGAACGCTTGAGGAGTTGTGCTCCACAGATGAGGAACTGGGCCCTCCACTACACAGCCTTGTCCTGCTGGGCAGGAGAGCTCACGAGCTGGAGCGCGATTTCGTTCGTGAGTTTGCTGTTGATAAGGAAAAGTTTACCAGAATATGGGCAGAGGATTACGGAAAGCAGTAAGCTGCTTGATGACAAGAATACAAAAGATAAGAAACTCCATATTTAACTCATGATTGACATAGATGATAATAGTACATTGATCCTCAACTTGACATTCTTCCTATTTGTTTGAAGCACGCCAGTTACCCACGTCCTCGGCTGAAATCTCTCGTAGCTTGCTCACTTGAGCAGGCTTTCCAGTGATAACTCCTTGCGCAACTTCAGCAGCACGGCTGATGAAATTCCCAGACACCAGTGAGTACGTCACAGTGGTGGTCTTGACACGAATAATTCCAATACGCGGGTCATTCTCTGAGCCATCGTGGACTCCATCGCCAAGATCGCCCAGCCAGGCCTTTAATCCGCTGCTATAGGTCTTCTTGACCAGATCGCGATCCGTAATAACACTCGCCTGGCCCGCGATGGAAGCCCACTCGCCAGAGCTGTTGATGAAGGACACGTTCACGTGGGGATCGTTGGATAGGTCGTTGGTCTTGCCAGACTCAGTATTTGTGTGGAAGAGAAGGTCGATGCCTCCGGATTCCTATTTGAGGGATCAGCTTTCTGTAGCAAAACAATTTCGACTAAAACAGCTGCTATCCTTACTGTTCCAGCCAAGCCCATGCAGCGCGAGACTAAGTTGTTTTGAGACGAAGCCTCAATGGTTGTCAACATGCCAAATTTGCATTTTGTGATGAAATCAACAAGATCCGTAACCAACGTGTTGAGATCAGTTTCGTCCTTGTTGGACTGGGTGTAGGGGTCGGCGGGCTTATCGCCGGGAGGTGCGCTGGTTCCAGTGGTAGCCATTGTGATAATATATGAAGTTATGTGATAAAAGAGGAAGATTGCTCTTGTTAAAATAAATTCTTTCTATCGACATTGCCGTTCTTTAATCGCCCTTTATATAACCATTGGGATCCTGGCGATCGCTCTGCCGTAGCTGAAATATGATTCAATGATATACCACATCCATCATACGTACGTAAGGCTGAGGGTTCTCAGAGTAAGAGGCGAATGGGCTGCTGTAAGGGCGAGCAGTCATGACGTCAAGCAAGTAGCGTATAGCCACAGGATTGCACCGCACCGCAGCCATTGGATTGGGAAAAGCCTGGGGTGATCTGTTGATGGAATCGAAGCTTACATGGGGCATATCTCATTGTGAATCTCGCAACTACATGGGCATCGCCGATTGCAGCTGTCATCTCAATAGTTGATGCCGCTACCCTGGAGCTCAGCGCTTCGGTGACAGGGAAGCTCATTTCCTGAATTGGACTGTGCTTGGAACCCCTGCCTGTCTGTGATCCAGGCATGTACAAAATATGATCCAGGCCAGGTCAATGATGTGAGTTCTGAGACATGAAGAAACAAGATTGGAGTAGCGAACCAAAGCCTGCATTGGGATGGAGTAAGACCAATCAGTATGGATGATATATAGGCCTACAATTTACGCGGCACGAAGCATCGCAGGAAAACGCACTGCGCAGCACAGCCTGATGGCCGGTATCAAGTCACTCCACCCTTCGCATTGAGCTGAGCACAACTGCCGGCGACTCGCCTCATTATCCATCCTCCTTCAGCTCCTTCTCACGACATGGCATCGAATGGCAGGGATCAGGAGCGGTCCGCCCCAGCGCCCGTAGCTAGCAGCTCCAGGTTGCTCAGCAGTTGCTTCAATAGTGCAGTAGAGCTCCTTACACAGCAGCCCAGTACTTTTGCAGCGGCTATAGAGGCACAGTGCCCGTAAAACGCTGCCGTCGCTGACGACCAAAGCCCGTCCATCACCTGATAGCACCCCGTCGCTTCTCTCGCTGAGCAGCATCGCCGGGCTGTTTGTTCCAAGGTGGGTGCCGTACAGTAACTGAACAGACGCCGCCCGTTCTTTCCTTAATTCCCCGCGCCACTTCCGCCTGGATTCCCATACGGGGTACCAGCTGCTAGTTTTCGGATAAAGTGCTCAGGTCCTGCTGCAGCAATACGTTGATAGACGGAAAGAGGGTGGCGGCTTATTACTACCAGCTCGACTCACGGCCAGGAAGGAGCAATGTCGTCGGGGCGGCCTTCGCTCAGCTGCTCAACGTTTTGCCGGCACTGAATCGCCAAACCCCATCTTTCCCACACTCTCTTTCCCTCGTTCCCTCGGTTTTGGTCCATCTTCGGGTCGTACGGCTCGGGTTTCCTCCCAACCTGCCAATCGAGTGGTTTTTGTCCCTCTCCTCCATCCTTTCCCCATCACATTCCCATCGGCTCTTTTCCCCTGCCAACGCCTCTCGGTGCATCCTCACATCTGACCACTTCTCGACGGCCGGCTCCAGGTGTGGCTCCGTCCAGCTGCCAGCTCGCCTTACCCAGCCCTGGCCTCAGGTGCATTTCCTTGTTTGTGAATCACAGTCAATCGTTTCCCTGCCCACCACTTGTCCAGCAGCTGTGAGAGCCTGCATGCATCCCTCTTATTCACCAGAATCAGCAGGGCAAGAGTAAATTTGGCACTGGGTCGCACAAGGCTGGCCGCATTTTTTCGCCAGTCCCTTATCCGTCTCTCACCCTGGCCTTGACTTGAACCCGATTTCTCCCAAGTCCACTGTCCTGTTCTGCTTCATCGTTTCATTGTGTCTCATCGTGTCAGTCATTGCCGTATCCCATTCGGTGCATCAGCAGCCAGACACACTGTCATCGTCTGTGTCAGGTACCTTTGTGTTATTGAGGCCTGGCCTGGTCTGAGAAATTGTTGTTGAAGCGTGTCGCAGCACGGCGTATCGTTCCCGGGAAGCCTTTTACTATCTGTTTCTATTTGTTCTTTTCCGCTACAGCAACAATTGCGGCAAGATGAGTGGTCAGGTAAGCAGATATCGGGGGTCTCTTTTTCCTTGGCCGACCAAATACTCATTCTTCACAGCTTGTATTTCCTTGGGAGTGCCGCGATAAGGAGGACCAGGCATGGGTTGCCTACAACTATCCCCTTCGCCGGACCAACCAGCTGCTTACTGAGGAGAACCTGAGGCTGAAGCGCATCCTTCGCGAGAATGGCATCTCTTGGTCGCCATTAGCCAAGGCGCATCTGGCTCAAAATGACCCCACGAGACGCAAGACTCGATCATCTGGTGCCGGCTCCAGTGATTCGGCCTCCCTCTTTTTACCCACTGAAGTCCTCTTGCGAGTTCTCAAATTCGCCATGAAGAGTGATCACCCAATCATCGACCCGCTGAGTGCTACTACGGCTGAGCATCTGACCGACGAAGAGAAGAAGAGAGGTAACCAGATCGCCATTCACTTTCTGGCAACAAACAAAGCCATGAATGCCGAGGGCACTCGATTCCTTTGGGAATCTAACCACTTCGTCTTCACGACCCCTCAGGCTCTGCGCAACTTCGGCGAGCTCAGCTTCCACTATCGACACAAGATCTTGCAAGTCAACCTCCGTGTCGTTGCCCGCTATTATGATGATCAGCGTCGCAAGCATAAGCTTGAACGATATTACCATACGGATTTGAAGAAAGATCACCCTCTTAAAGTACACATGCGACCAAAGGAGTCGCCTCTTGTTCGCGGTGGCTTCCGCTGCTACACCTGGAACCAGCTCATTGATTTCTTTCTGGCCTTGCGTGCCCCGTATGACCCAGCCTACAAGGACAAGAAGACCCCCCGACCAAGACTTCTCCCGTCACTCTCTTCGTTGCGAATTGACCTGGTGAACTTTTCAGACTCGCTGCTGCCATTTTCGGGATCTGAGCTTCATGAAGTAGCATCTCACGAGCTGGGATGCACTTTGAACGAACTCCAAGTAACTGGAATGCCGTTTGATGATGTCGGAATGAAAGCCTCTGCCGAGCTCAGCGGTCTGGTGAAGGACGAAGGCCTCTACCTTGATGCAGCAGCTTCCTTCATTGCAAACTCCAAAGGTCTGCAGAGTCTCAGGGGAGATAACTGGTGTGCTCGCGTGATTAGAGCGTACAAGGATCTCAAAGACGAAATGGAGGAAGAGGGTCTTGGGCTGGTCGGAGAAGACGGAGAAGATGGCGAAGTTGGCGAACACTTCCACCTGCATTCTTTCGAGGGCTACCACAAGGTAGGCACCCTGCCTGCCGCCCCCGCCGAGGATGGCCATCCTCTATCAACCCGCGACGAGAAAAGAGTCATCTGGAAGAAAGTGCCCATTGCCCGTGACGCGGAGAAACGGACATGGGTCCAGTTCTCCCGAATCAATGGGTACGAGATTGAGGACTCGGCCTGGGATAGCGACGACGATAGAATCTGTCCTTGCTGCGGAGATGCTCACCCCAGCTCGTCCATGCTCGAGTTCATGAGCGACATGAGTGAATAAGTCACACCATCCTGTTCTGTTTTATTTGCACAGCACCCGCGTTTGATTGAGATAATGAAAGAATTTATCGTGGCATCCAAAAGATGCTGCGCAGTATTATGTGTTTAGATACCCCCCCGGAAAGCTGGCGGCAGAAAGAGGAGCTTTGTACTTGATGGAGATACATATAAGTGGGCTTAACCCGGAACAGGAATTAGCAGTATGAGATTTGCAAAGCCATGAAATCAGTTACACGTGTCTGTCTGATATTTTTCTTCAATTCGGAAAAAGTGACTCGAGATTTGTTGGCTGATGATATGATGTGCTCGAATCGAGAAAGGCCAAACGATATTAGTGTGGAGCGGCGAGCGGTAGGTATTGTCTGCACAACGATGAGGTACAGTAGCTGCCTAAAGGATTCACTACTAGATATAGAGGGCTTTGAGTGGCGAAAGCCCATATTATGGCTGATTGAAGGTCTAATGTGCTCTGGTTTGAACAGCATTCATTTCAAGACAAAGTGTGTTGTAGAGATATCTACATGTGTTTACTCCCGCAATGTTCGCTCCATGATACGGTGTAAAGCTGCTGCTGTTCAGGGACTGGACTTATGGGTACGGTACTCGCGCTACTGCTAACAGTACCCCGTACCTTGCTCAAGGTGCTCTCCACCTGTAGGTGCTACTACGGCTTGGGCATAGCCTGTAGGCTCCAAGTAATCCACCGCCGCCGCGCTCCTCGGATCCCGCTATTGCCATCCCCATCTTAATATTCCATTGGTATACAGGCACCGTCTTTATCATTCCTCCCATCAAAATACATACATAGCACTGCAACCACCAAATCATTACCATATCTGCGCCTCCACAACAACTAGCAGAGCACACTGTCCTCTGTCCAAGACTCGGGTTCTGCAAAGGCCCCTACGTCTGATACCCAGCCCATGCCATAGGGCACCGCTGCAGCATGAGCATCCGCCATGCCCCTGCCAGCGCTGCTCTCCTCCAACGATAGGTCGACTTATTCCCTTGCATCGTCCTCAAGCAAGGCGCGCTCTGTCCCGGCCGTCGACGGTGATATCCCGCCCGAGTATATCCACGATGAGGCCCAGCTGCCCTGCATCCCGCCCGAACGGCCGGACCTGCGCGAGCTAAACTGCTGCCTCGAGGCCCTGGCGGCGGCGTTTCCCGATATCCAGATCGAGGTCTTCCGCGAGCTGCTCGGCAATTTCGATGGCGAGTCGAGGCTTGCTCTGGTGGCCGATGCGCTGCTAAAGAACCGCGCTACGTGGGTCAAGGGCAGATGGAAGGTTGCCGGCCCTGAGAGGCACAGTGGCAGTATTATCATTCAGCATGGAGACGGTGACAAGACACAGGCAGAAGCGGCCATTGTCGTCAGTCAGCTCGTGCCGAGGGCAGAGATCTTCCGGAGCGACGCTTACAAGAACGCGGTGCGGACGCTTGCGTGGCAGGAGTTTAAAGGCTTGTCAAAGTCCACCATCAACGCGGTGCTGGCCGAGTCCAACTACTCATACCTGGACGCTCGGAGGACGCTCGTGACGCTCTCGTCCAAGTCATGGCGCTTCACCCTCTCGTCGTTCATCATGAGGCGCAAGCCCGTGGCCACGGGCGAGGCAGATAACCACCCTCTTGTCCGCTGGCGCACCACCGGCCAGGGCTCGAGCATACCCACGATACGATCCACGGGCAACGCCGAGCTTGATCGGGAACTCTACGATGCGCTCGTCCGCCCGCTGAAGGAAAAGGATAGACAGGATCGAATCGATAAAGACCGGGCTGCGGCGATACGGCTGAACAATGATGATGCCGAGGAAGCAGGCGCAGTTCACGAGTGCATGTGCTGCTTCACCACCGCCCCTTTTGAAGAGTTTACGCACTGCAACAAGGACGCACACATGATTTGCTTCCGCTGCGTCCAGCTCTCACTCAAGGAGGCCGTCTTTGGCCAAGGCTGGCAGAGCAGCATTATCCCCGAGACGGGGACGCTGAGGTGCATGGCTGTCGGCCGGGATCAGTGCTCTGGCTACATCTCGTCCGAACACATGTGCAGGGCCATGCTGGAAGAGAAGAAGGGTGCCGAGATTCTGCATCAGCTAGACCAGCGGCTTGCGGAACATGCTTTGATTGCTGCGAGGCTGTCGCTGGTACACTGTCCGTTTTGCAGCTACGCAGAGATTGATGACATTTACATGCCGTCCAAGAGGGCAAGAATGCGAATCCGGATTGCTGGTATCCTCCACCTGCTATTCCTCTTCCTATGCTTCACTTGCGTTGTCCTCGTCCTTCCTCTGGCTGTGCTCTCCTTTGTCGCCGCTTTGGCATTTACCTCCTCGGGGGCGGTCTGGATGCGGATATCAGCAGAGTGGAAGCGCGCCATGGGCAGACACACTCGACGCCGACGCGGACTCCAGTTTGCCTGTCAGAACCCTGAGTGTGGCCGAGTATCCTGTCTCTCGTGCAGCAAGACCTGGACGGATATCCATGTCTGCAACGAGTCGTCTCTGGTTGCGCTACGAACACAGGTCGAGCAGGCCATGAGCATGGCCATCAAACGCGTCTGCCCTCGCTGCAACACGTCGTTTGTCAAGAACGCAGGCTGCAACAAGCTCACCTGTCCCTGTGGGTACAAGATGTGCTACGTCTGCCGCGCCGATCTCACCGAGGAAGGGTACCGGCACTTTTGCGATCACTTCAGACCCGACGGCGACCCGCGGCCGTGTCTAGAGTGTGACCGGTGCAATCTGTGGGAGTCGGAAGACGTCGACCAGGTGCTGCAGGAGGCCCGCGAAGAGGCAGAGCAAAAGTGGAAAGACACGGAGAAGAGAGACCTTTCGACACCGGAAAAGGCATTTCTAGAAACGGGCATAGCGACACGGCTGAGCAGCATTGGCAGTATCGAGGAAATCCTGTCGGCAGGGCGGATGCCCTCGCTGGGGGAGTTTTTGGATGTTGTTGTTGAGACGATCTTTGTGTGAGCAGCTGAGCACATAGAGCCAGCCAGCGGGAGCTTTCTTGAAGTTTTCCTCCGATACCCATAATCGCTACATTACTTTTCAAAGATTTGCTTCTGCGACGAGTGTTTAAAAGCTTACCAAGACGGACGATACAATCAATAATATTGCTTTCTTGCAGCGTCCCATGCAAGTCAGGCGTCTGCATAAAAGGAGGATGAAATATCACAACTCTTTGACGCTTTCTTCTTCTTCAAAAAGAGCATACTTATATGGGCACCCAGTATCCATCCAACACCCTTTTCTGGAAATACCCCTTTTAAGGCTGCTTTTCTGCTGCTTGTTGAAATTGGAAGAGCAAAAATTCCGCTCTACTTCTTTTCTCATCGCTTGACTTACAAAGGACAAATCAACTTTTTAATTTCTTTTTATCATTTTTCCTTTTACTATACGGCTTATTATTTCCGTGTTAATTTTCCCCCTTTTCTTTTTCCTTCCCTTTCTCTCCCTTTTTTCCTGAACAGCTGGATTGTTTCTTTAATTCTTGACAGCATGGATATACATGTTCCTTGTATAAGGAAACTTGAGCGCTTTTGTTTTACTGGAATCATTTGACGTATAATGGAGGGTATGGATGGCTTAAGCTTGATTAATGAACGAACGAACGAACGCAGGCACGAATGAATGGATGGATAGATTGTTTACTGTTTGGTTTTTTTTACAGAGTGAAATGAGAAAAACGTTTTTTTGAACTTGAAGCTGCATAAATATCCGTATCTTTACATATCCCATTCATGATATCCATAAGTATAACAACAGCAAATTACTGATCCAGGCCATTATGCCAACTCAGCAGCCGCTCCCGCAATACACACCTTGCCCGTCTCCTTCACCTTGCACTGGAACACAATCTTCTTACCCTCCCTCCACATCTCCGTCACAATCGTCTGTCCAGGAATCACCGGCCCCGCAAACCTCACTTTGACATTGCGGAATGCACCAAAGCGGTCATACACAGCTTTGCCCGCAACGCCAAAAGTGCACAGGCCGTGGAGGATAGGCGCCTTGAAGCCTCCCATCTTGGCAAACCCAGGATCAATATGCAAAGGGTTATAATCCCCATTCAAGCGATAAATAGCAGCCTGGTCTTCCCCCGTAGGCGACTCAACAACCTCATCAGGCGCTCTCTTAGGCGGCTCATTGACCGCCGTCGCAGCACCCCGATCCTGACCCTTCTTCTGCCCGTCAAACCCGCCCGCGCCACGAAGGAAGACCGTCATCTCATTGTAGAAGACGTCCTCGCCATTCTCGGCGTTGACGGTGGTGATGCCGGTCTTGACAATGGACGCGCTGCCCTTGTCGATGACCTCGAGGAGCTTGCCGCGCGAGAGGAGGCGGCCGGAGGTGGGTAAGGGGAACTTGCGGATCTCGAGGTACTGCTCGCCGTGAAGGAGCATCATGGGCGAGAAGTTGGGGACGATGGCGTCGTAGTCAAAGGGCATTTCGGCGCTGAAGGGGGGGATGACGCCAAAGGTAGGGAGGGTTTGGAAGTCTTCTGCGCCCTCGCTGGTTGTTGAGAAAGATGGCAAGTTAGCAAAAGAGATGCTCCGTCTTGGGATATGGATGTGTTGGTGCATGATAACGGGCACGTAGAGATGGGCTTACAAGACGTATTTCAGCTCCTTTCGATTGGCGCCAACACCAAGGTTGTACAGAATCACATCACGGTCCGTAAAGCTGTACTCGGTAGGGCTGCCCTCCTTTCCGAGAGCCTCAGCAATGGCAGTAAGATGTTCATTGCTGGCGGCAGGTTTCTCTTCTTGACGCTGGAAGCAAGGAAAAATCACAAATTAGCACGGGTCTTCTCTTTGCATGAGTCATTAAAAAAAGGTTTCATTCTTTCATTCTGTGTAACATTTCTTCTTCTTCATCTCTAGCGGCTATCCAATATGTACAAGTGGTTTTGATAGATGGTAGTAGTGGTGGTGATACAGATCTGCTTAAAGGGTGGCAGATGGAGAGACATGAATTAAAGGGAAATGAAGAAGAGTCTTGCAAAGATATCGTGCGTATCATGTTTCTCATACCTTGTTCTCCATGTTGGCCATGATCTTCTCCAGGCCGTCCTGAGCCTTCTCAGGGTGGTCTGCGCGGCCATCGTCGAAGTTAATAATCTTCTCCCAGTGCTTAACAACCTCCTCGGGAACCAGGGGAACGTTGATGGGGAAGCCGTGGCCGCCGCTTCGCTGCCATCGAGTCTTGCCGACCCAACCGCTGCCGACCTCGTACAGGCCACCGGTGGGGTTGGGGCACTTGTCGCTGCTGAGGGCGAGGACAAGAGGAGCAATGTAGTCGGGCTTGAAGGCATCGACCATCTCCTTGGGCATGATGGTGGCGGTCATGGCGGTGCCGGCGTTGGGAGCAATCGTGTTGACGTAGATGCCGTACTTGAAGCCCTCGAGAGCGAGGGCACGGGAGAAGCCCAGAATACCACATTTCTGTTTCACAACATGTTAGCTGGGCTATATGTTTTTGAAACACATCATATCAATAACTTACAGCAGCGGCATAGTTGGCCTGACCAAAGTTACCATAGATACCAGAGGTGGAAGTGGTGTTGATGACACGGCCATACTTTTGCTTGAGGAAATAGGGCCAGGCAGCCTTGGTAACCTTGTATGTGCCGCGGAGATGCACGTTCATGACGGGGTTCCACAGGTTGTCGTCCATGTTGGTAAAGGCCTTGTCACGGAGAATGCCGGCGTTGTTGACAACAATGTCAACGCGGCCAAAGGCGTCGATGGCGCCCTTGACAACGGCCTCGCCATCTTCGGCGGAAGCCTTGACACCGACGGCCTTGCCGCCGAGCTTCTTGATCTCCTCAACAGTGGTGTCGGGGTTGACGAGGTCGTTGACGACAATGGAGGCGCCGTACTTGGCAAAGGCCAGAGCATAGGCACGGCCAATACCAGCACCGGCACCGGTGATGAGGGCAACGCGGCCGGTGAAGTCGAGCTTCTCGCCCTGCTCGCTGGGGCCCATCTTCATGGATTCCTCCAGCAGGCCCAGGAAGTCGTTGGGGCCGGTGGGGTACTGCGGGTTGGAGAAGTCAATGACCTTGTTCCACTGCTTCAGGATGGCGCCGGGCGTGTAGGAGTCGTCGGCCTTGAGCAGGAGGCCGCTGGATCGCTCCCATCGGAGCTTGGCGACGTGGCCAGCACCGGCCTCGAAGATGCTGCCGTTCTCGGTGTTGTTGGAGTGCACCAGGACAGCGACGAGCGGCACAATCCACTCGGGGCGGAGGGCCTTGAGGACATCGGGGGGCATGACGGTCTCGGTCATTCGGCTGGCAGCTGTTGAGTCGCTTCAGTCAGTCTTCTTCTTCTTCTTCTCCTTCTTCATTCTTCTGCCAACATACCAATGGGAGCAATGACGTTGGCCAGGATGTTGTACTTGGCGCCCTCCTTGGCCAGCGTCTCGGTGAAGCCAACCATGGCCAGCTTGGCGGCAGAGTAGTTTGTCTGGCCAAAGCTGCCAAACAGACCCGCGGCCGACGCCGTGTTGATGACCCGGCCGTACTTTTGCTTGCGGAAGTGCGGCCAGGCGGCGCGCGTGCACTTGTAGGCGCCGGTGACGTGCACCTTGATGATCAGGTCCCAGTCCTCGTCCTTGAGGTTCTTGAAGGCAATGTCGCGCAGGATGCCGGCGTTGTTGATGAGGATGTCGATGCGGCCAAAGGCCTGGATGGCGGTCTCGATGATGCGCTCGCCGTTCTCGACGCTGTCGTAGTTGGCCACGGCCTTGCCGCCAGCCTTTTTGATCTCGTCGACGACGACATCAGCGGCCTAGAAATAACACTGTGAGCAGAAGAGGTCAAGAGTGCGCTGTTGCACCCAGCTATGGATATGGATTCACCGACCTTTGTAGAGTTTCCCTCGCCCTTGAATGAGCCGCCCAGGTCGTTGACCACGACGCTGGCGCCCCGTGAGCCGAAAAAGGTGGCATAGGCCTTGCCCAGACCGCCGCCAGCGCCGGTGATGACCACCACCTGGCCGTCGTATCTCAGCTGCTCAGACATGGTGTTGTGGAATGAAGCTTGTCTACAAGCGACGCTGATGCAACAAGATTATGCTGTTAAGAGAGAGGTGGAATGAAACAGCAAAAGAGGTATGGAGGGGGTATCTAGAAGAGAGTAGAAGAAGGGGAAATAGCACAAGGAAGAAAAGAAAAGCGTCGATGTGATGTCAAAGCTGTCGGCAGGATTTCTCTTTTAAGTCCACATCAGAAACACGAAAAGAGGCGGACGGCCCGGGTCAAGCAGCACCGCAGCCGCAGGAAAAGGTCAAGCTGTCGATGCCTCGGCTGAGCTGCGTGGAGCGGGTACCGTGGAACTTGCAGCAACCGCCATTTTGGACCGAGACCGAGGGGATTTTCGGGGAGCGAGCGCTAGGCTGGATGCGGGACATGGGGAAGAGTAGAGAGACTGGAGGCGGCGTCTTCACATGCTTTTGAAATCCGGGGTATCCCCAGGTATTGAGTTGGTTGGTGCATCGATACTTTTTGGGCTTGTAAGTGAGGATTGGGTCCTTCACGTGTCCATGTCAGCCGTCTGTCTGTTAGCAGTTGGATCGCATCTTTGGCTTGTGCCGTATTGGATACGCTACCGCTGCTTGCCGGCCAGTGATGTAATAGCCTGGCATCCAGTGCTGGATTACTATCCATCGTATATTACCCAATTGCCCTATAAAATGCATCGCCGTCTCACACAAGCCTCGCATGCCCCAGGCCATCTATATATACTACTATTACTACTATTAGTAGTACTTACAGGTCATGCCTCTCCACAATCTATAAGCGTGTGCACTAGGCCTAGAAGCCAAGCTGCATACCCATCATCGGCTCCGGGGACCGGCAGCTGCTCCGAAGCGGATATTAGAGCTGCCGCAACGGCGTAGTATTACCCGCTCCTCTCATAACGGCAGCGGCACCACGTAGAAATCATCCTTCATTTATATAGATGAAAGTAAATCAGATAACAAAACCATTTGAATACAACTCATACGTTGAAAAGCATCACAATCATGCCCCCTCCATTCACCGACGACAAATCCCCAATATGCATCCCCTTCATCCTAAACCGCCTCAAGCTGCACCGCCAACAAGCCTCATCTCAACAACCGCCGCCGCCCCTCATCATCGGCCTCAACGGCATCCAAGGCGTCGGCAAATCCACCCTCGTCGTGCCCCTCGCCGCAGCCCTCGAGCAGGAGGGCATTCCCACGCTGGTCTGCAGCATTGACGACTTCTACCTGACACATGAGGACCAGGTGGCCCTGGCGAGGGCGAATCCTGATAATGCGCTGTGGCAGGTTCGTGGGGAGCCAGGTATGTCACTTACACGCACTGCCCACATACTATCACATATTCCATTGCCTTTATTTCAGCTCATCAAGACTTTTCACGTCACTGTAAATACCGTTCAATTCACTCAAACTTACTTCACCAACTCAGGCACCCACGACATCCCCCTTCTCATATCCGTCTTCTCCTCCCTCCTCCGCCACGAAGCAACTCTTCTCCCCCAATACGACAAGGCCCTCTTCTCCGGCCAAGGCGACCGTCTCCCCCCTTCATCATGGAAACCCATCAACAGCAACAGCAACTCTCCTCCTCTCCAAGTCATCATCCTCGAAGGCTGGTGCGTCGGTTTCCGCCCCATCGCCCCCTCGGCCATCACAGCAAAACACGCTTCTCCAAGCAGAACTCTCCACCAGCATCGTCTAGAGCATCTGCTAGCCATCAACGAGAAGCTCAAGGAATACGACCAGGTGACTGACATGTTTGGCGCGTTTCTGCACATTGACTCTGAGAACATCGAGTACGTGTACGACTGGCGCCAGGAGCAGGAGGAGCATCTCCGCCTCGCGAGGGGCGACTCCAACGCCGGCATGACCAAGGAGCAGGTCGTCAAGTTTGTGGATGCGTATTATCCGGCTTATGAACTTTACTCGGAGGGGTTGCGTAATGGGCTTTTGCCTGGCAGGCCCGGAGCCCAGCTGAGGATGATCGTTGGCCGCGATAGAAGGGTGAAGCAGGTAGTTGAGATCTAGGCTCTGACGGAGAATCACGACACGATCACGATGAGCATGCTGGAACTGAGGAAGGGTAAAACAGAGAGAAAAAGGACGAGAGAAGTCTTGTTCTTCTCTATTCTCTCCATAGTGTCTTCAATTAGAGACTGGTAGAAGTTTAGATAACGCAAGATGACCAAATCCCTAGTAAAAATTTCCATGATATCCCACAGCAATCTTTATTTCCTCGAATCGACCGTTCGATACCCTCAACGCCCTATTTGCCTCGCTACCATTCCCCTAAGCTCAGAGGTGCACCCCAGACCACGGCCGGCGCTTGGCCTATTCATCAAGTCGGGCCTAACAAGGAGCCATGACGGGTAAAGAAACAAAGAAAAAAAAGAAGAGTAAAAGTAGGATAAAACCTCATTCGAGTACGCCCAACTCCTGCTTCAAAGTGCCGGTGACAAATAATGCACAAAAATAAATGAAAATTCATCAACCACAGCCAAATTTCACTTGCCGACCTGCTGGTTACCTTCCCTAGCGTTGACCACGCGGAGGCCGTCTTGCTTCATTTTTGACAATTTCTGGTCGATTGTCTCTGTTTGCAGTCGTACATCTTCTTCCCGAGAGGCTGCCTCTTGTTCGAATTCCTGTATCATCCGCCGCTTGTTCCGTCTGGCTACTCTCAGCTTGTGCATAATCTCGCCAAACCGGTCGGCAAACCAGTCACCAGCTTCTTCCCAGTCATCGGCGTTCATGTTCTTAAACATCGAGTGTTGTTCTTCCTCAGTTTGGTGTTGATATTGCTCCAGCTTCGCGTTGAGAGTATCAGCACCACCGCCTGTGCCAACATGTGGCGTTACCTTGGAGGGGTCAAAGTCAAATGCTTCATTTTGTAATTCAGCGTAGTTCATGTTGCTCAAAGCCATGTCATCATAATCAAGGCTCTCTCTTCTCCGCTTCTTATCTTTTGGCACTGACGGCCTAAAAGGTGGCATCGTTGTTGTAAAGGCGTTCTCAAGAACAGCTCGCTGGGGCGATAAGAGATGTCTCTTCATCCGCGAAGTTTCTCGTCCATCCTCACGGCCGCCTATGGTAGACGTGCCATCATCTTGGTCTCCATTCTCGTCTTCATCAATCACCTCTATCCTTCTGCCTCCCACTTCAACCTCTGCCAGGCCTTGGAATCTGGAAACAGGGCGAGTATCCTCCTCTCTACCCCTCGTAAATCGCCCCCTGCTGTCATAGGCAGGGGATGCGCTCCTCTTTTGCCCATCGTCATAGTCAATTTGTTTTGTTCTTGGCACATGCCGAAGCCTAACTTCGCGCATTGCCAGATTGGGTTGTTTTTCCGGCGATGATTCTGGTCGAGTATAGTTTGTTCGATAGTTGGGGGCGGGTCTGCTATATCCATTGGCGGCGCCTCTATTAAAGCCGTCGTTCATGTAGGAGGGGTTGAGATGCTTGGAGCCCGAGACCGGCACCACCTTCATTCGCAGATCCTCGCCAATCTGAAAAGCGAGACCGCCGCTGGAAGGAAATTTCTTGTCGAAATTATAGCGAGGAGGAGCTCTGATAGTGGGAGCAGCAGATGTAGTGGCAGGAACAGCGATAGTGTTCCTCTTTGATTCCGGTTCGGCCTCTGATTGTTCGTACATCGGCGTCGTTAGGCCTGAATTCATGAAGCTGTCGCCCAATTGGGAGCCGGTAAAGATATCGATATGGCGGCTGGATGGAGATTGCGAATGAGACTGCTGCACCGATTCGGGCGGAGGCTGGCTATATCTCCGCTGGTGTATGGCAGGCTGGCGAGCAATTCCATTCGGCACAGGCACTCGAGCGCTGTCCGCCAGCTCCCTTCGCTCAGCAACGGACGCGAGACCCGGAGCAGAGCTCTGATAGCGCACTGGCTCGCGATTCTGCTGCGCTGCGGCAGTTGTGGTCACGTCGATGTTTGTGATGGTGTTGACGTCGTTGTCGGATTTGGGTCGAGCAAACATCTGCAGCCGACTTGATCGCTCCTTCAACGACGCCGGCATGGCTGCTGCTTTTTTCATTGTGTAGGCGAGAGCGCCAACAGCAAACAGAAGTGGGTGGGTGCAGCTTTTTTGGCCGGCTCAGTGAATTGGAACCACTCGAGGTGCTTCGAATGACGGGGTGTTTCCGTAAGAGCTGTGAAGAAAAGAAAAGAACTGTGTTGCTCAAAGAAGCGCGATGAGGAAGAATTGAATGGATGGCCAGCCTGTGTCTGGGAGGGAAGAATCGAGCGGTGACAGCGCCAAATGCAAGCACTAAAAAAAGTAGAAGATAAACAGAAAGAAGCGATAAGCAGGCACGCCCCGATTAAGAAGAGAAGAAACTGAGGGAAGAAGTAGATAAAGAGGGGAAGAAGAAGAAGAAGAAGAAGAAGAAGAAGAAGACAAGAGTATGATGGTGCGGCAGCGCGAACAATGCACGCAAAGCGACGCTGGTGCTTGATGGACATCCCCCAATCTGAGCTGTCCAGACGAGGCTGTACTGAACTGGGCTGCAGCTTGGCGCCTAAGAGCCCGCGTCCAGCTGTCACCGTCGCCGTAACAGCGAGCTTAGCGCCTGGAGTTTGCGCGCCTGGGCAGGGAAGAGAAAAACAGGCGCGCGCCATCAGGTGACGTGTTAAATGGGCCGCGGCAGCAGCTCAGCAGTACTAGTACTAAGGTAAGGTAAGGTAGTACTACCTACTAGCAGTACGTACCGCCGGTACTTGAGGCGGCTGGTGACTGTGCCGTCATAGTTGGGATTATGGAGCAACAAAATTGAAGGTGGAGGATCTAGTCGAGCTCGCTAGGTGCTGTTAGTGCTTCGCGCAGTGCCAAGAGGGCTTCTGAAAACCCAGCCATCTCTACTGCATGCAGCTGTCGTAAAACACTTCCATCGTACTGGTACTGCCCCATGCAAGTCTTGACAGGTATCTCCCTCGTATTGCTGTCCACGGTGGTGAGCCGTAGCACCAAGTTCATGCATGTTCGAGCGTCTCCACCCGGATCCGGCGCTGGCTGAACATCTTGCCATTGTTTTCCAGCGTCATGGGTCGCCCAGAGGCTCTCGGGACCCGGAACAGCTTGTGATCGCCCCGATTAGTGCCTGCGGTGAGTTGAGGGCTAGCTCCGGTTGGCCCTAGCATCAGCGCCTCTCCAGCAGTATTTTCTCTTCCGTTTCTATAGTTCCGGAGAATATGGAGCTCTGCCGGCCCAGCTGCGCCGAGAATCTCGACATCCCGGTTTTCAGAGTCTGCTGCTAGCCGTAGTCCTGCTAGCACCGCTGCGGATGCTCTTCGCGCTTTACGGCTCCCCTGGTTCGCAGCTCTCTCCACCGGACAGGCTTGGCAGGCGTGCCTCGTGCATGCCCTGCCAGATTCTGCCTTAAAGCGTGTGACCATCGGCTCAGCGTCTCTCCAGCCTGTCGCCGCACCTCGTGCTTCCACTCTCGTCAAGCCTCACACCTTTCCATCCAACATGCTACTCTAGCCTCACGTCTCCCTATACAAGGCGGCGCCTCCCTAGCACGCCAATTGCTGTTTTACTGATCCCTTTTCCTCCAGCGCGAGCCCATCAAGCGTGTGCGCCGCCTTTCACTTACAATAGGACTTCACACGGCATCTTTATTACCAGCGCTGGAAACAACTATGACGTCTTCGACGCCCCAGACGGAGGCTGGGCCGTCGTCCTCGTCCAGATCTCCCCCTTCCACGAGCACCTCTACCGACTTTACAAATCCTCGCTTGCGTACTGCGCGGACAATACCCCGTAAGGCTCAGTTTGCGACTTCACCGGCGACTCCGGGCTACCACAAGCGAATACTGACACCTTTCTCTCTTCATAGCCTGGGTTGTCACCAACGATGAGGGACGACCGATCACCGACGAACAACGGCGATTGCTGAACCCTCCTCGGCCCTCTGCCGCGCCCCAGCGCAATTCCAACCCTCAGCCACCCCAACGACGAGTCTCAAAGGACGGCTTCGTCTCTTGGGATGATCCTAAGCTGGGCCCTCCTCAGAATGAGCGCGGCCGCATACCACACCTGTTCAAATATGGGCGGGCAGACGCGCGAGGCAGGAAATGGGACCACCTTCGAACCGCCGAACCGGTCATTGTTTCGTCCCATCCTTCGACGTTTCAACAACCGTCCGTCACGTGGGCAGAATTCATACGTTCGTCGGCCTGGGGACGCCCGCGCAACGAACATAGTGAAGTCATCGACATCGAGGCTCTCAACCGGCTGCAGCCCAACTTCAACAAGGAAATGGAGTTGCCTTTGAACACAGCCGATCATAAGCACGACCGGCGGCGCAAATCTGCATTTTCCAAACGCATGTGGCGCCAAATACTGAATAGCTCCCTCTCCCCCTTGGTCTTCCGATTGGTCGTCATCATCATGTCCACGGTAGCCTTGGCCATTGCCATCAGGACCGAGCAGGACACCAGGGTCCGAGGCGATGGCGCTGAGCGCACGCAGTCCGTCTTTGCAATTGTGGTGGACTGCGTATCTATTCCCTTCAACGGATACATGATATGGGACGAGTATACGGGGAAGCCGCTTGGTCTGCGCTCTGCCTTTTCCAAGATGTCTCTCATACTACTCGACCTGTTCTTCATCATCTTCAAGTCAGCCTGCACAGCTCTAGCGTTTGAGCACGTCATCTACCACGAATTTGGGGACGAGGATATAATGGGGCTATCTGAGGGTCTTGCATCCGTCATGCTTCTCGGCCTTGTCGCGTGGACTGTGAATTTGACTGTCAATATATTCCGAGTGGTTGACCGGCTGGGGGGCCGCGAGGAGGAAATGCGATGAGAGCGCCAGAGTGCCAGAAAGTGTCAGAACACCATGCATTTGAAAAGCATCAACAGCGCACACATCTGTACAAACATTATATATCGGGATTGGGTTGCTGTTCTTAATGGGTGGGTCTTATTGTCGGCGTTTTCAGAGTCTTTGGAAAGCCAGGCCCTGTATGGCGTTACAAAAGCGGTGGGATTAACATGCATTACCGTTACGAACTGAGCGAGGTTTGATGAATTAGATGGTTGGCTCTGCTCAATAGACGAGCGAGATGGCCTTTGTATATACCATCCAACTAATATTGTACATGAGATAAAGATTGCACTATTGTTAATTTTGCCTTGTAAAGTTCGTTTTTCGAGCAGTTACTATAGATGCTATCATATCTAACTACCTGCCTAGATAAATAGAGATACTAGATCTAGTACCTTTGATTGTGTTCAAGAACTGCGGCTATATTTAGCAAATTTTGTTAACATCCAGCGGCGACAATCATATCCAAGCCAGAGTTTGTTATAAACTTCATGTGGCTTAATTCTACCGTACCACCGCCGCGCAGTCAACTGCGGGTCATCACAGACGCCGCCACAGACAGTGGACTCGAAACTTCCTGTTTTCGTTTGAACCCTAAAAAGAATATCTATTCTTCTTCACCTCTGCGTGGGCTCATCTCAATCTCCCCCACCTACTACTATTATCGTTGCCCTTTGTCCAAGGCAGCAGCCGGCAGCTCCAGCAAAGCGGTCACTTCTTCAGTACTTTACTTTACTGCACCAACAGGCACAAAGGCGGCCCAGAAAAAGGCGGCTGGACAAGGCAGAAACCGGCGCTTAACCGCTTACGGCCCGCCTAGAGCCTTGCACCTTGCACTTTGCTCCAGCACCAGCACAGCAGCCTTAGCAGAGTCAACTTTGGCTTTACTGCCTGATTGATCCCTCATCATTACGTCTTTTGGCCAAGCTCCTCGCAGCCTCCCTGGACTTCTCTCCTCCTCCTTCTCTCAACCCATTTCGGTCGTTGCAGCGAGTCCAGTCGAGGGAGCAGCAAACTCTCGTCCATTTATTCCTCGCGTCGAGCCCAGCCGCGTGTGAATCTGCCCGTTTCTGATCCGCACAGCGACCCACTGCCTCTCCGGCTGATGAGGCGTGAGCATCACCGCTGAGTTTCGTCGCCCAAACAGGCTTCCCGAGAGCCCGCTGCCTGTCTCCAACGCATCACGGCGCTGCGATCGACGCAAGGCCCTACTTCTATCTCCATTTCTAGCACTCCCCTCATTTCGTCGATCGTCCCGAGCTGAAGAGGCGGCCCGTCTGCTACATACATTGCCAACCAATCCACCCACGCGAGCCGCAGAGCGTCACTCTTCACCCCGCCTTACGCTCTACGCTTCACGATGGTGACCAGAATGGGGATGCCTCCGGTTCCCAACCGTGAGGACATCAATGCGACGTGAGTCGGAGCCGATGATCGGGCAATACGGACCGCTGGCAAGATACTGACCGCCGCCGCAGATGGAAGTACCTCGAGGATGGCATCACCCGAATCATGACCGATCTCGAGCAGGGCATGGACATGCAAATGTACATGGGAGTGTATACGTACGTGGCCTCGTGAACCTTGTTCCTCTTTCTCGCCTTGTGTTCTCGCTCAGACTCAGAACTCGACTGCTCACACTGTCACAGCGCCGTCCATAACTTCTGCACTTCACAAAAAGCCGTTGGCCTCAGCGGCCCCAGCATGACCACTAGTCATCGTGGCGGTTCGTCTGCATTCAACCCCCTTTGAGGTCAAACTCTCGCTAACATGCTTGCCTCCTTCTTCTCGATGAATAGCCCATCTGCTAGGTGAAGATCTCTACAACCATCTAATTCAGTATTTACAGAAACACCTGGCGGCCCTCGTTCAGTCGTCCAAATCGCATACAGACGAAGCCCTGCTGGCCTACTACATAAGAGAGTGGAACCGATATACCGTCGCTGCGAAATATATTCACCACTTGTTCCAGTATCTTAATAGGCACTGGGTCAAACGCGAGATTGACGAAGGCAAGAAGAACATATACGATGTGTACACCCTGCATCTTGTTCAATGGCGAAAGGTGCTCTTTGAGCAGGTATCCGAAAAGGTCATGGATGCCGTTCTCAAACTGGTGGAGAAGCAGAGAAGTGGTGAGACAATTGAATACGGCCAGATAAAACAGGTCGTCGATTCATTTGTCTCTCTCGGACTGGACGAGGCCGATCCTTCCAAGTCCACGCTCGACGTCTACCGCTTCCATTTCGAACGCCCCTTTTTGGCTGCTACCAAGGAATTCTACCAAGCCGAATCCAAGCAGTTCGTTGCTGAGAACAGCGTCGTCGAGTATATGAAGAAAGCAGAAATGCGATTGGCCGAAGAAGAGGAGCGTGTCAACATGTATTTGCACGGGGACATAGCCATCCCCTTGAAGAAATGCTGTAACCAGGCACTCATCGCTGATCACTCGGCACTCCTCCGGGAAGAATTTCAGGTGCTCCTGGACAATGATCGGGAAGAAGATATGGCGAGGATGTATAGTTTGCTATCTCGCATTCCCGATGGGTTGGATCCACTACGCACCAGATTTGAGACTCATGTCCGAAAGGCAGGCCTGGCCGCTGTTCAAAAAGTGCAGTCGTCTGAAGGGGACAAGTTGGAACCTAAGGTCTACGTCGATGCCCTCCTCGAGATTCACACTCAGTACCAAGGCTTGGTCAAGCGAGCCTTCAACGATGAACCTGAGTTTACACGGTCTCTAGATAATGCCTGCCGTGAATTCGTCAACCGCAACGAGGTGTGCAAGTCCGGCTCCAACAAATCGCCCGAATTGCTGGCCAAGTACACAGATGTTCTCTTGCGCAAGAGCACCACAAGCATCGAAGAGGCCGATCTGGAGCGCACGCTGTCTCAGATTATGACCGTCTTCAAGTACATTGAGGATAAGGATGTCTTCCAAAAATTCTATTCCCGTATGCTGGCCAGGAGACTGGTGCACAGCAACTCTTCTTCCGATGATGCCGAGACAAGCATGATTTCCAAGTTGAAAGAGGCTTGTGGCTTTGAATACACCAACAAGCTTCAGCGTATGTTCCAAGATATGCAAATTTCCAAGGATCTGAACAAGGAGTTCAAAGAGCATCTAGAGAGCTACGACAATCCAAAGGCTGTAGACTCAACCTTTTCCATCTTGGGAACCGGCTTCTGGCCATTGACGCCCCCGAGCACTCACTTTACTCCGCCCGCGGAAATTAACGGGGAAATTGAGAAATTCGTTCGATTCTACAAGCACAAGCATGATGGCCGCAAGCTAACCTGGCTGTGGCATCTTTGCAAGGGTGAAGTCAAAGCCGGCTACTGCAAGAACAGCAAGACGCCCTATACTTTCCAGGTCTCAATCTATCAAATGTCGATCCTCCTCTTGTTCAACGAAAAGGATACAAATACATATGAAGAGATTATTGCCATTACCGCGCTGAGCTCGGAGGTGCTCGATCAGGCACTAGCTGTTATTCTCAAGGCCAAGGTGCTACTGATGGAGGGCGGCGATAAGCCTGGGCCTGGCAAGGCATTCCGTCTCAACTATGATTTCAAGAGCAAAAAGATACGAGTAAATCTCAACCTTGGTGGTGTCAAGGAGGCGAAGCAGGAAGAGGTCGAGACGAACAAGACTATCGAAGAAGACCGCAAATTAGTCTTGCAGGTAAGCCAGCTTATTCCCTTCCCCCATTCATATATCGTGAAAATACCAAAATGCTAATCCCTATTCAACAGTCTGCGATTGTCCGTATCATGAAGGCTCGAAAGAAGATGAAGCACACGCAATTAGTGAGCGAGACCATCAACCAGATCCGTTCCCGCTTCGTCCCCAAGGTTGGTGATATCAAGAAGTGCATAGAAATTCTCCTGGACAAGGAGTATCTGGAGCGTCTGGACGACGATGAATTGGGCTACTTAGCATAAATTATTCGTTTTTTATCCTGTCTCCGGTAGAATCTTTACGGAGCTTTTTGTTAACAGGGCATTCTTCTTTGCTTCACGTTTTCCCCCCTTTGTCGCCATCGATATAGGCATGTTTAAAGGCCGAAAGAAAAACAAAACTATTATTACATCCTTTCCCCCCGCACTACAAGATCGGTTATTATATCATCCGTAGATTCTTTTTCAGGTTGTCTTGGGATTGGAATTAGCAGGAGCGGTGCTATGGCATGGGCCATTTTTTTTTCTCTTTTCATGTTCTTTTTTACGTGCAAATGTTTCTCCCTACTTAGCTTCTCCTATTTCTTCATGGTGGTGATATGCTTATGGTATCTTAATAGAGAATCTGTGACTTGAATTCTGGATGTGCTTCTGTTGAGTACCTTTTGTGTCTGAAATATGTGTCTTGTGTAGTAGGTGTCTCATATATTAGTAGACTCATTTTGAAAACCTGTTGGTATGGTTTTCAGTAATTCACAGGTAATCGATGTGCTTTGTGTATAGATATTTGATATATGTATTCATCTGGTTAAAGTACCTTGTTTTCCAATTCCAATGTAGCAGCCCAAACCCCATCAATACCATTTCTCATTCATCATGTCCTGTTATTTCCCTAACTCTTTCTTTCATTCTTCACTTTCTTCTGTCCAGTGTCCTCCGTCGTCCGCTTCGTATATCAAATAAAAGCTGTCTATCTATATACCTATATATAAAAAACCAAGTCATGCTTCCCTTTTTTGCTATTATGAACAAAATAAGCAATCAATCAATCAAAGCAAATAAGAAACAAATCGATAGCCTCCCTCTTTAATTCACACATCAAAGATTGTTCTCAATCCCTAAGTTTCGCTCCGCCATTGCCAACCACCGACTCTTCGTGGAAGCCATCGTCAAACTCCCTAGGATACTGTGTCAAAGGGGCTGACGCATCGGCGCCTGAGGAACCAGTGCCAGGCCGGTCGCTGTCTGCGGCGGAGAGGATGCTCTCACTAAAGCTTCCCTGTGTCATTGGCCTGTAGGCCTCTGTGGAATTGCCTCGCGAACCCATCATGTTGACAAACTGGTAGTCTTTTTCAATGGGGCTCGTGGGCATCGAGGCTGTTTGGTCAGCGCCCTTCTTTTTACCCCAGCTTGCACCCCATCCGCTGTTTTTGCGCTTCTCGCCGGCCCAGGAAGTCCAGCTGGCCATGTAAGCGCTGGCTCTGCTGCTCACGGTTGGTGTGTCTGGCGCCTTGGAGGCGTCTGCGTTGCCGTTGCCGTTGCCATTACTATTGCCATTGCCATTGCCATTGCCATTGCCATTGCTGTTGCTGTTGCCGTTGCCGTTGCCATTGGCTTTGGCAGCTTCTTCTGCACGACGACGCTGTGCCTCGCGCATCTGCTCCATATCATTATACAATCGATTCAGCATCGTTGATGCCTTCTCTCGGCCAGCAGCAAAGTTTCGTCCCAGAATGTCACGACCTTGGGCGAGGCGTTCATCTAGGTGAAGGTCTTTTACTTGTTCCGCTATGCGTCTTTGAACATCTTCGATGGTAAGGCCACCGGCACAGGGGTGCCTCGGCTCGGAGACAGAAAAGAGATTTGTATCGGTGTGAGCGTCCCACATGCGATAGTTTTCTGTGCGTGCCCAGGCCTCCACCCAGTCAAGTCCAAAGTCGACGGCGGGATCGCTTTCTGCTGTGTTGCGAAGGGCAGCGGCATTTGTGGTGAGATAGTTGTGGAACTTGACTGAGGATATGAGTCCGATGATGTAGGCTTCAAACTGGGCTCTAATGTATTCTTCGCTTCCGGCATATTGCATCGTCTTTGGTGTGCTTGGGTTGGACTCGTCCCAAGTGTCATTGACTGCGTGGGTTAAGTTGTCGATCCATCTCCTGTCCGCCGCTGTCAACGCCAGTGCCGTTTTCAGAGAAGGCGATGTAATATTGATGGTGTTGTCATCGAGATTTATGATAATATCGCTATAGCGGTCCTTTTGTTGGAGAAGAAGCGAGTTGGTGCTTCCAACGAGGTATGATTTGGTGCCAACGTCGGCCAGCAGATCGAGCTGCTGTAATGGGGTATATGGGCCAAACATGCTTCCCTAAGTTTACTTGCGTGTGAGAAGAGGATTTTCTTTAGAGGGAGCCTAGTAGCGGGCTGCAGCACATACTTTACCAAATATCTGTAATGGCAGTCCCATGAACGTTAGAAGTGAATTGCGATTGCTACTTTGCAGACTCGTTGCCTGCGCCAGCTTCTTTTCGTAGTTGTTTAATTCAGGATCCGCGCAATCTTGAAGGTTTCGAATGAGTCCGGGTATCAATGAAATAAGAGAAAATTGGACCATGCATAACCGATCACATCGCGATCCGAAGAAAAGCATCTGCACTGATTGTTAGCACGCCTTCTTTCCCACAGACTGCAAGTATCCGCGAATGGCTTTCAAGGAACGTGACTTATACTGACTTTGGGCTGAAGAAGGCAGCATTTGAGCAGCACCAAAGCCTGCCATTTGAATTCGTGTATGAGCTCACGCAGACTCATACCCAGGTACAAATCTCGCTGCGCCTCTTCTTGCAAGATACCCCGAGATTTTTCATCCGCGAGGCTTTCCTGGAATCTGTGCAAGATTTCGACATCTGTAAACTCGCGCTGCGCAAACCATGCTTGTGTGACTACGCTCAGGCGTTGTCTCAGCATGCCAAAGAACTGGGGACTGTCGGCGATGACGACAACCGCCTTCTGGACGGTTGAACGAGTTACATCGGCAGGCCGGTTGATAAGCTGCGACGAATCGAGCTGGCGAGTGCAGGATATACCAAAGAGCGATGTCGCCGGCTCATCGTCCGTCTCGGGTCGCAGCAACGTAAAGTAGGAAAAGTCTTCTTCCGAGCTGTTGATGGCAGATAGTTAGCAAATCGTCCTAGTATTCGCAGTGCAACAATTTAAAACCAGTATTGATGACATACGCATGCGCTCCGTCGCTCAGCGCCATGAACGGCAGCAGAGTCCATCCATACTTGACGGCCGGATCAACGCCTTCTTCAGCTCCAAACCAACTCTCAACCTCGGGGCCCCGCGCATGATGGAAGCCAACGACCGTCACCAGCGGCGTAAAGCTGGTCAGGAAGGGTGTGGTGGGTATCGTAGGGGTAATTGGCGACAAGATGGTCTTGAATTCAACCCCATTGGGCGGGACCTTGATTCTATCGGTGCTCATGATGCCGTCTAGTATCGCTGATGCGCGCGACGCAAGCCCAGCCGAGAACAATATCCTGCAGCTCAGCGCCGCTATGGCGATGCCATGCGCTTCCGGCAAGCTCAGCTACCGGCAGGCCTCGAACCTTTCGAATTCGGGGAAATCGGCCGTGTCGCAGTCGTCACTGGGAGTGGCTCGAGGGAGGAGCGGTGGCAGCAGCAAAGACTGGGTATTTGGCACAGCAAGTCGGTGTGGCGAAAAGGCGGGAGTTGAGATTGACACAGGCCTGGAGTTGCAAGCCGCTCGCAACTTCAGACTCAGTTTGGGTCGGCTGTCGCTCTGTCACGATGATGGGAACCTGGTGCAAAGGACAGGGTCGGTTCGCCTTCGGACGCAGAGTCAAGGGGGGCAGGATGGTCGCGCGCGTTTGTCTTCCTGCAAGGTGAATTGGCAGTGGCGGGGGATCCCTGGCGGTTTTGGAGCCAGACAAGGGGTATATGGAGAATATTTCTGGACTGATGGCGAAGTCAATTCAGCTCAGACTGCTTGCAAAGTGGACGAGACACGAGCTCTTCAGAAGAAGCTCTATTATGAGAGGAGCTGTCGAGATAATGCGATTGTTGGCTGGCTGTATAAACACAGCTCTGGTGATTCTGAAACCGCCTCTAACCAGCCAGTCGGTGTGGTTTGGGGCTGCGGCTGGTGAGATTGAAGCGCTGACTGTAATGGCCCCGCCATACAGAGTGCAGAGCAGAGACGATCTGCTGCGAGTAGCTTCTGCGCTTGTATTACTCGTGGTGGCCCGCTGTAGCGGACGAGAAACAGAGGCGGCGCCAAACTTAATAACAGCTGGGAAAGGCTGTCTGGTGTGGGCAGAGTACGAAGAGTGGAAAAGTTAATGTCGGCAAATGATTGATTGACTGCGATGCATGGTTTATGCTATTTGGACTGTCTGAAACAAGACTGCAAAGATGCTGTCTTCTCTGCGGCTCTGATGAATGGCGTCACGTGCAAAGACACCTGAGACAGAGCAGATATAAAGTCTACGGCGATGTCTACCTTATGAATCCAGCAAAAGTCCAGTGACAGCCAATTGTTTCCAGGTCAATACTAATCCACATAAGCACTGGTGGTGGTGATGATCTTGTGAACACCACAGGCCGGCTCATCGCAGCATTTGAGACATACATGCTCTCAGCACGGCACCCACCACCACCGATCCATGTCCGAACCCCATGAGCAGAAACAGCCAAAGAATGAACTAGAATCAAGGATCGGAGAGAGAAAAAAGTTCTTCTTACAGGGCAACATGATTCCACGTCAACAGCCCTCGCTTCTTCGTTCCCAAAGCTTTTTTCCCTCCTCATGCACCGATCTCTCTTGGCTGCGGGCTGTGCAGGGATGCGGCAGCGAATGGCAAGCTTGGATGCTAGTCTGCCAGCGTGTCTTGCATTGCATTAAGAAGGCCATCCGTTTTCTGTGACGCCACTGCCGGGGCGATATTTGACTTCTTTACCGTTCTTTTGTTTTCCTTTTGCTCTGACGGCATCGACAGATCCGTGTGATGACTGGGTGGGACGCGGATATCGCGATCGTGGAATACTGAGACCCCGCGTGCCGTAGGACTAATGTCTTTGAGGAAGCCTATCAACCTACAGACAAGTTTATATCTCCGCTAACCTATCTTGTGCATTAGATGCTATACTTGTACATGCAACAGTAGTTAGTCTATCTGTCCCGACATCAAGGATGCCTATGAATCCAAGAGACCATACATAGCCCATAAGCCACCGGGGCTAAGCATCTCTTCCTATACAAGCAGGTTGGCTTGAGTGAGCTCACCGGGACAAAGAGAAAACGGCTTGGTTCGTCTCATCCTCGAAAGGTAACGTGGCACAGCCTTGATGCCTATGACTTGTGTAGCATGTGTGTGCATTTGCCTCCCAAGACAATGATGTAACCAGGCTGCTTAGCGGACCTCGCACTCCAATCTCACTGAAACAAAGAGACGAAGGGCGACCAACTTGCAGTGGTAATGAGAGAAACAAGCAGCAGAATCAAGAAAGTGCAACGTGCACAGTAACACCATCATGCCTCATCTCGAGGACGCAGCACGTACAGAGCACAGACACGGATGTACTCTCCCGTCCCGGTTTGCTATTCGGGAGGGTGCAGGTATGGGCTCCTTAGACTCATCTGATGATGTCTAGGGTAAATAAGGCGAAGATCCATCTCAATCCACCTCGCACGGGCGGTTTACATGGGGGAGAGGGATAGAACAGAGATGCCAGATCTCATGTACCGGTACAATCATACTTTAACCTATATCGTTGCCGGCATTTGCCTAAAATCATACAAAGAGCCGGTGATAATAGAGGAAGATATTGCAAATATCAAAGCCACTCGCACAGACTTGAAACGACACAACACGTGGGGCACTATAGCAAACACATTGCATCTTTATGTTGACAAAACTCCCCAACTAACTATGGATGGAAGAGCAGCACCGACCCCCCTAAAGAAGAAGAGAGCCAAGCAGACACAACTTCACAGCGATCTTGTTCTAATAGGGCAGATATAGGTTTACCGACGTGGTTGTGCTGCAATGATCACAGACATCTGTCAAAATAGCATACATGTACTCGTGTTTACTTACAGAGAGTACAGTACTAGACTAAGTGTTAACTACATCATTATCTCTACCTGTTTACCCCGATGGATGGGAAATGTATAACACCAAGTCTACTAGTCGTACGTGCTCACTAAGGAAAAGTATTTACATACTTGTACATCGCTTTACCTTGCGAATTGAACAATCAATTGCCGTTAGCTACCTTGCTCGTCAGGTAACTGAGCAGCATATCACCCGGCTATCGGCCCCTCTAATCTTGTCAAGTGGGCAGTCCATATACATACGCCCTCTCAAGACCACGCAAAGCGACCCCTGGAGCGCATAAACTCTTGATAAGGCTACGATGAGACAATTCGGAATGTGGGAAAGGGGGGTTTTCCAGAAGTGGAGGATGATGGTACTGTGGCAGATGATTCCAACGCTACCCCGTAGATGCTACGATGTTTTGACTGCCCGAGCACCCTCCCTCCCTATCTTACAGTATTAACGAGTGCCCACTCCATCGACCTTGAGCTCATGCAAGGTGAACCGTGCGCTGCAGGGCAGTTCCTTGGAAGCTGAACGTCAATTTGCCAGTATTGGGACGTGAGAGATTGTCTACGTATCATTAAAGCTGTCATAGTATCGAATTGATCGGTACTCTCCGAATTCCCGATCTCGTTTAGCTTCTGGCAAAGATGGAATTTTGAAAAAATCATTTCATATTCGGTACCTGTAATGGCATGCACGTTAGCCTCAGCCTTTCTAAGTGATACCTCGTGCTACTGGCACTAATAACGAGTTCCGCCCTTAACCGTGTGCTCCGTGTTTTAGTCTCATTCCCACTATCTATTGTCATTGCTATTAACGACGGCCGTTGGTGCTATCAATTAGGTCTCCAAAGACCCCTTGCCTAGCGAGCGAGCGAGCGAGCGAGAGCAAAAAAAGCCCCCAACCCGTCGCAATGCTGGGCCTCTAGTGCTCGGCTCAGCGGAGGCCAAGCAAGCAGCAAACCGCCACTCCAGCCAGAATGGGATTGGGGTGCTTGCGGTTGGTTCATGGCGATATTGGCGAACTGACTAGCCCTTCGGCTGCAAGTTTGCGACATGCTGCTACTATTAATACGCGGGTGAGTTCGTCCCTCTATGCAGGGATGATCTAAGACATTTTTTTTCTCCTCTCATGAACTAATAAGCGCCTCTCATTTTTGGAGCCTGTAAGCAATTCTAGAACGCTTCCATAGTGTCCTGCAGGAGAGAGTATACAGGAGCGGGAGGAAAGAAAGCCAAAACTTGGCTTGTTGAGGCATTTGCCGGCCCCATCTTTGTGGATGAAGTGCCATGGCCCACGGCTTGTCTCCACAAAGCTTGAGCAGTCAATGTTGAGTCGAGTCCCATTGGAAGAGGATGAAGAAGCCCTTGAAGAGGGAGGGTCCAAGTTTGTGCCGGCAGAAAAGGCTGAGATTGCCTTGACCACGGTGACCTGAATCCTTCAAATATTATTGGCCCATCTCTGTACATAGAAGCGCATCACGCATCACGCATCACGCACCACCCCTCCTCGCTGGACGAGTGTGAACTGCTAACAAGGCTCGTCACATCGTGCCTCACACATTCCGTGCCGTCAATGGATGGCTGAATCTGGAGGCGACTGATTGGAGAGAGCTGATGATTCTGGCAGAACCACGTGCATTCCCTGTCGGGCTGTGCTGGATCCAGGGGCTCCCCTACATGGACAGAATGGCTGGCTCTAAAACAAGCCACCAGCTTCGATCCGGCAGCGTCGTACTGCTCTGGTCTTAGCTGGTGACATTGGCCTCAGGGCGATCGGCAGCGGACTCCTACCATGCTCCATATTGTGCCTACTCGCTTTGTAATGTACTGTACTGTACTCAGGCCATCAAGGGTGGTGTATGTAGGTAGGTACTTGCAGGTATTGCATCGACGCGGAGACGTGATATCGTAGCGAGTAAGCTGTAAAGTTTGCCAGCGGGCGCGGCTGACACAGACAGGGAGCCGTTTCCAGGAGGTGGCAGAAGATATGATCCGATCAACGCTCGCCATGTTGAACCGATCCCATCCGCATTTTTAGGTAACACGGCGGGCGAATTTTATGATCGGCCTTTAAGCTTAGGGCTGAGTGTGCGAGGAATGTATAGAGTCATCCGGCGGTACGAAGGATGAGGCATGAGATTACGCATCAATAATATCTAGTAGCAAGCAAGTGTCCTGTGGAAGCCACCAGAGACAAGCAAATAATTTTACATTCCAGGGCCCTAGAGCTGGCAGTGAGGCTGACCTAAACTTCTCTCCGAATGAGCTGGGATCCTTCATAATCATGATAATCACCTAGCATTAAATATGGAGCCCCTCGCGGTCCGAAATGAAGTCAGCTCAGCTGTTGTTTTCACTGCCTTTCATGCTTGATGCTTGATGCTGGACGGCGGTTAAAGCACACTTGTATATAGGAATTTGCTTGCATGGGTTGATCACTTGGCCATGGATAAGTTTCCGCAAAATCCATCGATATACGTAGGATGAACACGTATCTCTCAGCCCTGCGCACTCGTAATTTCGATTACCGGAAGCGCCGTGCTCGCTCGAATAACTTCGGAACCCCGAGCAAAACTGACATTGCGGCGCCCTCATTGCAGCGGCCTTCCTTATTTTAGAACACGCAAGGATACTGTTGCAGGCCATGAAAGAGGTCCGTCCTCACCCTGTTGTTCCGAGCACCACGCTGCTGGTACCGCAGGTAGTAATAGAGGCAGGCATTCGATTACGAGTGCACTGTAATCGACAAGCTGTCAGTTGTCGACTGCATAATACCTAGTAGGCAATGAGGACGCTACAACGTTGATAGGCTTCTTGGTCTGCTGCCAATGTTGATGGCTCGCATGTATAACGAAAGCATCAGCGCCAACAACAAGCTTTGTGCTCTTGTGGCTGGGTGTTGGTTGTTACACGCACGTGGCCTCGACGGTTTCTGTATCGATGCTGTTGGAAGGCAAGCTTACCATGTCCTAGGTAATACGCCTTGGCGTTGTGAAGCAGCTCTTTATAGCATATATGAGGGATCTTCCGAGCTTTGTTATACCGGCAGAGAGCCAAGCTTGTCAAAGCTTGCCAAGCAGTACCTGTCTATACATGCTTCCATATAGGTGGAGAACAGCACTGTACGAGACGCGTCCCTATTATCTGGTGTATATTGGCACCTCCTGTGAATCGCCTCTCCTGCGTCTAGAGCCACTCTGGCGCAAGCTGGTTGGTCGTTGCTGAAGGAGTCCGCTGGGGTACTGGGCCGGCTTGTGGGGTTGGGACATGCGATGGCCTCGAGTTTTCTCTTTCGCACGGACCCCCTGGCCAGTAGCTTAAAACTGTGCCACTCAAGCGCCTGGTGCGTGTCGTTTTGCCTGCTGTGGAGAGGCGCTGCGCGCTGATGCTGAAGCCGGACAGCGGCGAGTAGCCACCATGGGCATAGCGCTGTGGGGACGAGGAAATGGGGGAAGCAAAGCGAAGCGTGATAAGGCACAGGGCGAGGCAATCGGATCAGGTGTCGAAGCCTCTCGGTGATGCTGCAATTTGGATGGGCGCCGGAGCTCATCCTTCACCCCCTGTGGGTGGGCTTGAGCGTGGGCGCTATTCGCCGCCCAGCGGGCTGCGATGCTGCAGACGAGAAACATTTGAGGCGAGAAAGAAAAGAAACAAAAGGCTGCCGCGAGCAACGTTATAGGCTGCTTGGAGGACACTCGGTGCATGCGAGTCGAGAGTGTGTGATACGTACGCACAGGCGTTTCGCACCCCGTGCTCTGTACATGAGGCACCCGCGGATGTAGGTACACGCTGGCCATATGTAGGTACGAGCATGCAAATGCGAGGTGCTTTGAGGCCGCATGTGAGAGATGAGATTCGAGGCTCGCAGCCAGCCACACAGGGACGGGACAGCGATTCGGCCGACGGATGGAAGAGAGCGCTGCTTTGTACCTAGTCGCTAGGACCTTCGCAACGCATTCCCGCGAGCGTCTGCGCCGTGATTTACCAATCGCAGAGCGCCATGCGAAAGTAGAGTTGAGGTTAAAAATCTCAGTGCCAGGCGGAATGCGGCGTAGAAGTGGGTGTGAGCTTTTTTGCAGTGGTGCGAGCCAAGGACGCGATAGCCGGGTACCTGCTCCATCGCGAACGGGAAATTGTGCAGTCGAGGTATAGAGCTAAGACATTGGAGGAGCTCGCCAACGATATGGCGCCCATTTAGCAGCAGCGCACCCGTACCTAGCATTGGCATGTGCTCCGTATTTCCAGATGAATGGTAGCGACAAAGGCAAACTCTGGATGGGGTGTTTCACTGGTGGCTCAATAGCCTGGGGAATTGCAAACCGGGTGGGCAGCCAGCACCAGCACCACCCTTTTTGCCTTTTGGCCAGCGGCTGGGTGCATTGTTAGACGCAACTTACAAAGTTCGATTTCCATTTTCGGTTGACGCTTTGGAGCATTGGTTGACTCTCAAAGGCTTTTTTCTTTCTTTTGTCCTTTCTCTGGTGCCCGCGTCTAGTAGTTCCTCTGCATTAAAAGCATCATACTTGATTACCTTATACTGTTGATCATTCATTGGTAGCAGTACGAAAACGACCCTGGATACGAGCACACTTTTAGGCTGGCACAGGCTCGTTCAGCCGCCCCTTGTAGGGCAGTGACCGCTACTGAGCAGGCATCCAAGTTGTAGCGATACTTGCATTCTCCAACACAGTTGCGCCGCTTATTCGAGAGCGGTCCGGCTCCTGCATCAGATCCTTATCAGGCAAACGCCAACGAGTTGAGCCCGTCTTGTGCAAACTCGCCCTGCCTCACCCACCTTGAAGTCTGCTTGCGCATGCCTCGTCCCACCGGCCCTTTGCATCCAATTAATCATCAATCAATCATCCCAGAGCTTCTCGTTGGATTACATTAGTAAGGCTACTGCTTGTGGCATTCAACGTACTCTGCTTGGCATCCTCGTCGCTGACGTCTGCAGAGAACAGGCTGGGGAGCAACCCGGGCTTGCCTCCACCCCGGCACCCAGCGCCCATCCAGCATCCATCCAGCATCCATCCAGCATCCATCCAGCACCCATCCAGCAACCAAGCATCACCGCCAGCGCCAATTGGCGCCACTGTTCCGCCCGACCTGTCATCATTTGGTCCCAGCCCACGCTACAGCCACGCCCTGGCTGGGTCCACAGAGCCTCGCGGCGGCAGATTGGATTGGATCCCGTGCGCTGGTGCTTGTACCTGGAAAGCGACGGGGTAGCACTGACTTTCACACGCCTCACGCCTGTGCGCACGCCAAAGCCTCAGCTCCTCCCGAGCAGAAGAATCCAAACCTCCTCGTCCACGAGGCTGCTTCCGCGCGCCGAATCTTGCACCGTCTTCTGTCGCCCCGGCCCGGATTTCTGACGCCTTTCATCATTGCCAGCCCTGCCGAACTGCTGCTTCGACAGCCTCATCACCGCCCTCGTCTTCTTCCATCTTCGCCCTCGCCTCCCCGCAACCTGCTGCAGCTGGTTCTGCTGACCTTTCCATCACCTCTGCCGCCATCCGCCGCCGCCATTTTCTGCCGAACGCTCCGCTAAACCTCAACCCCCCAGCTCAAGCAACTCTATCAGAGGGATACCGACTTTTCGCGGCCCCCCCTTTCAACCAGCAGCAACTATCAATCTCGAGAATAGACAAAGATCAACGTATTTTAAACAACAAGAAGACAATATCGTCATTGTTACCGGCATTTCCTTAGCAGCTATTCATTGCTGCTTTATGCGTGTGTAATTGGCTGCATGGCAAACCCACCTTTTGGATCCAAATCGCTTCGTCTACCGATTCGCCAAGTCCTCAAAGAACGCCGACAGTCTCGCCAAACGCAGAAGCGTGCAACATCGCCCACCATGGGCGGCTGCATGAGCTCGAGCAATGACGAAGTAGAGCAGAAAAAGAGGAGCCAAGCCATCGACAAGGAGTTGGACGAGGACTCCAAAAGGCTACGGAAAGAATGCAAGATCCTGCTGCTAGGTACGTCTTGGACACAGCGGTCGACGTGTGGCCGCATCCCAATCGCTCTCCCGTCCATCTTTCTTATTGTGCCTTGTTTCTAGGTTCTGGTGAGAGTGGCAAGTCGACCATTGTCAAGCAGATGAAAATCATCCACCTAAAAGGATACTCAGAAGAGGAGCTGTACAACTACAGACCGACCGTGTTCAAGAATCTGGTCGAATGTGCCAAGGCCGTCATCACTGCCATGCAGCAATTTAGCATAGAGCTGGCACACGACGAGAACAGAGCGTACGCCGACTTTTTAATAGACTACCAAGCAGAATCCGGGCCGCAGGCTCACATTGATCCCAAGGTGGGCCTCGCTGTGCAGGCCATATGGAGCGACCCGGCGAAAGAGCAGCTGATGGAACATCAGACGGAATTTTACCTGATGGATTCTGCGGAATAGTAAGTTACATCATCGCGATGCTGCATAGGTCGCAGCGGCGTGCGAAATTGACTGCTGCTCGGATTCTAACCCTGTCGCCTCCTGTAGTTTCTTCCAAGAAGCAATGCGCATCGTCGCTCCCGACTATTTACCCAACGAGATGGACGTATTACGCGCCCGTACAAAAACCACCGGTATCTACGAAACACGCTTCCAAATGGGACAGCTTAGCATCCAGTATGTTGACGAATTGGGGTTGAAACATTCTAGCCACGGGCCGCTGATCGTTTTTCTTTAGCATGTTTGATGTTGGCGGCCAAAGGAGTGAACGAAAGAAGTGGATACACTGCTTCGAGAACGTTACATCAATCATTTTCTGTGTTGCGCTGAGCGAGTACGATCAAGTTCTCCTCGAGGAGAGCAGCCAGGTAGGCCGTGCGACAGAAAGCCGGAGAGCCTCATGGTTCGATGGGCAATGCAAGCGAGCGAGGTTCGGCTAATGCTGACTTGTAATTTGAATGCAGAACCGCATGATGGAAAGCTTACTGCTGTTCGACTCGGTTGTCAACTCACGCTGGTTTATGAGAACCAGCATCATCCTCTTCCTAAACAAGGTGGACATTTTCAAGCAGAAACTGGGCCGCTCGCCTCTATCCAACTTCTTCCCCGATTACACTGGCGGTACCGACGTCAACAAGGCAGCCAAGTACCTGCTATGGCGGTTTAATCAAGTCAACAGGGCGCACCTTAATCTGTATCCACAGTAAGTGAAGCATGCAGATGGTATATGCATCTACCTCCTCAAGCCACTGGCTAACAAGATTTGCCCATCACAGTCTTACCCAGGCCACCGATACATCAAATATTCGGCTAGTTTTCGCAGCAGTCAAGGAGACAATACTGAATAACGCGCTAAAGGATTCGGGTATTCTCTAAACTTGCTCTGTTTTCCGGATGCACATCAATACGCCTTTGACAACAGCTCGCTTTTCGCTCGGAGAGATGTGGCGTCTGAATATTGCGCGGCTTTCTGGTGCGCTCATTCTCGTCGACCGGTATTGATCTGGTTTCACGCCATGCAACACCCTCCATCGATGGCATATACGCGAAGACGGAATACCTCTTATAATCACACGTTCTTTACCCCTTTAATTCTTTTATACTTTGTTGCGGTTCAGCGGAACTCCCTTTTCAGGGATCGATTGGGACCCACGGAGATCTAAAGCGCGTTATGACCCCGATTGGGCTGCTTTTCTATCATCTATTATAACCACTTAGCACGGCGCGATCACTCATTCACTCATTCTTTTTCCTCTCGCTATTCTCTCTTTCCTTTTCCCTTTTTTTATGTGGGTTCTTCTTTGTTGGCAACTACGAGTTTTTAAACCTCGCGCGGCAAACTTATAGCGAAAGGCTGGCTTGGGAAAGCCGCCCGGGGGTGGTGTCTTGATATTAGGGTTAAATGATGAAACGGTGTTCACGATAATTCGCTTTTGGAGTGGAGCAGCGGCGGCAGCGAGGGTAAGGAGGAGGAGGACCAGGCTGAAACGACGGCAGTTGGATACCACAGGTGATTGAGAGGAAGTGCAAAAAGCGGACACAACCACGGCTCCAGTGCTAGAGGTTGGATGTGGACAGGGCCTGGCTCTGGAGTTGCGGCTTTGTGGTGATTCTCTCGTGTCCGGAGTTGAGTAAATGAGAGAGGTGGAGAGCAGGAATGTGTGGTTTGGAACGAGCTCGGGAGGACGATTTCTTTGTGGAGGTACCGAGACAACAAAAAGAAGAGACGTTTCTATTTTATTTTACTGTTTTACTAGTACTACTAGGTATTATTGCAGCTTTGTTTTGAGCTGTTGCGTACCCGCTGGACGCTTGGGATTGGGCGGGAGGCTGGTGTTTATTGGATAGGTAACTTGATATGTGCCCGAATAAGTATTAATTGGCTGCGCTGATTGTTTAATTTTGACCCGATACGGACTGCTCACATCTGGATTGCCGCTTTCATGATTGATAATTGATAATTGCCTTTGAATTGCGTGCCAAGCGGATTGTCTCTCACATCTCATCTTGTAGGAGGAGTTGGGCAGCTACTGAGAGAAAGGGGCTATTGGGCAACTGTTGCCTTTACGGTAAATGAATGCGATACAATAGGCTAATACCTACATACTGCAGATTTAGGTAGAGCCCGAGATATTTGGAGCTCCTCGCTCCCGTCAGGCATCTTGACCTCTGTTTCGACCTGACTCCATCTATCCGTGCAGACAAAGTAGGCTACGCAGACTGCCTGATTCGGGAGCAATTTATCTAACAGTCACAGATTCTCAGCGGCATGGCGGGCACTGAAGGCCCCACACGGCGGCCAAGTTTAGCTGCTCGGGCTGGAGTGGTGTGATTGATGATGCAGTAGCGGTCATTTATATTAATTATACGTAGTAGGTGTTATTTATACCTTACTTAGGCCGGAGTGCTGCTGTTGTGTTGTCGCCCAACGTCATCGGGAGGGGGGATATGGCTGTTGCAGTAGCACTTTGTATGAGTTGTAATTGTGGATGGGTAAGAGTCGAGCTGTGTTTAGATGTCAAGTGCAAGATGTAGTTGTCTGTAGCTGATAATGTATGATTATCACTATTGTTTTCATTTTATATCTGCCATATTCTAGCTAGTATATTGGAAGCTTTCTGCTGGCAGTCAAGTCTCGTATCTGCGGCAATGAGCTATCAAATTAAAGCCGGTGCTACCGTTCGTTCGATGATCGGATACGAAGCGCGGATGGCGGATGCTGATGATGACACCGAGCCCCTCCTATCGACAACGAAACTTGATTGACTGAGCAACACTGGCATGGCTACCTGATGCAACCGACGCAGAGGGCCCCGTCGCCTTGATGGAGGGCAGCATCGCCTTATTTGTCTCCTGCTAAACCCTTCCCCCTCAATCTGCAGTGCCGTCAGTTGGTACCTAAAGCTCGCTTGGTCCTCTCTCCTTCCCCCGCCTTCCCGCCTTCTCCCCTCTTCACCCTTTTGTCTCTCGCCTCTTCTTTCTCTGTTGCTTCTTCTCGTGTTACTTATTTCATCTCCTCGCACACCTCTCGCATTCTGAGGACTTTCCTCGCTTACAATTGACCCTTTCCGCCGGCCTTGCATCTGTTTGTCGGGCCTTTGTATCGTATCGGACGGTAGCTTTGGGAGCTTCTGATAACCCCACTGTTGCTACCCCGCCATAGCTTCTGCTAGCAAGCTGAGCTGATGTAAGTTGCCTGACCTTTCTCCTCCCCTCTACTCGAGACTTTGCAATCTCACCTCCCTCTTTCTCGTCACCATTCATCATCGTCCTTTTCTTCTTCTTCGTTTGCATATTTCATCTCTTTCATCGCTTTTTTAGCATTCCTCCTCATTCCTCAGCATTATTACAAGGAACCTAGATTTGCTGATTCGCAGTTCGTCCCCGTCTCTGATCGGCAGCCATCCTCAGAAATGGCCTCCAAGCAGCTGCCCACGCGCGAGCGTCGCCCCTCCACAGGAGCTCCCCTGGTGGACATCCAGGGAGCTGTCGGCCCTGCTGGCGTCTCGAGGCCCAAGCACAGGAGAACCTTTACGGGCTTCGGTGCTGGAGAAATCAAGCACGTCGAAGGTTTGTGATGCCATTTTCTTCTTGCTGTTTACTGTTTGTTCTTTGCGTCGCAATCAATTGAGCTGTACGCGTCCACTGCCTGCGCAAGACACTGTCGGCCAATTGATCCCAGCATGTGGATGGCAGCTTGGATCGGGCGCGCATCTGACATCCACCGTACGGCGGGGGAGGGGAAGCTCGCCCAGTCTGGCGGGGCTCATCGTGCGACTAAGATAACGGCGATGGATGATCTGATCTGTTATCCACCAGCCAGCACGCCATATGTTTAGTCAAATGAGTCGAACAAAAAAGAATAGAAAAAAGAAAAGGAAAAAAGACGGAACAGATCAAACAATAAGCGTTTGAAAATGTAGCTGCTAACAATACCTTCTTTCTCCAGCCTCGATCCCCGAACCCCAGCGCGAAGCATGGAGGCGGAACCAAGTTCAGAGCATCACCGACAAGGATGGCTTTGAGAAGGAGGTTGTCCGCCATGTCGAGACCACCCTGGCGCGTAGCATGTTTAACTGCGATGAAACCGCTGCGTACTCGGCCACCAGTCTGGCCTTCCGTGATCGCCTCATTACCGACTGGAACAAGACCCAGCAACGCCAGACGTTCCGCGATACCAAGCGTGTTTACTACCTGAGTCTGGAATTCTTGATGGGAAGAACTTTGGACAATGCCATGCTCAACGTGGGCTTGAAGAATGTGGCCAAGGGTAAGAATAGAATCGCATTCGTTGTTTTTTATGCTGCATTTTGGCTAACGGGCTTTCAAATGTTAGAGGGTCTCTCTGAGCTTGGTTTCAGAATCGAGGACATCATCACCCAAGAGCACGATGCAGGTCTGGGCAACGGTGGTTTAGGTCGACTTGCTGCTTGCTTCCTCGACAGCTTGGCTAGTCTCAACTACCCCGCCTGGGGCTACGGTCTTCGCTACAGATACGGAATCTTCAAACAGGAAATCATTGACGGCTACCAGGTCGAAGTGCCCGACTACTGGCTGGACTTTAACCCCTGGGAGTTCCCCCGCCACGATATCACGGTCAACGTAAGATACACCAAACATGGGAAGAACTGCAAAATCTTGATATAAAGCTTACACTCTGGTTGTTAGATCCAATTCTATGGCAAGGTTCGCAAGCAGACCAGGGAGGACGGCAAGACCGTCAGCGTCTGGGAGGGTGGTGACATCGTCGATGCCGTTGCCTACGATGTCCCCATTCCTGGCTACGCGACTCCAACCACGAATAACCTGAGACTTTGGTCTAGCAAGGCATCTGGAGGCGAATTTGATTTCCCAAAGTTCAACAATGGTGACTACGAAGGCGCAGTTGCAGACCAGCAGCGAGCCGAGTCCATCAGCGCCGTGCTGTACCCCAACGACAACTTGGACCAGGGTAAAGAACTGCGACTGAAGCAGCAGTACTTCTGGGTGGCAGCCTCTCTCTATGACATTGTGCGCCGCTTCAAGAAGTCCAAGCGCCCCTGGAAGGAATTCCCCGACCAAGTCGCCATCCAGCTCAACGACACTCACCCTACTCTTGCCATTGTTGAGCTGCAGCGCATTCTGGTTGATACTGAGGGCTTGGAATGGGATGAAGCATGGAAGATTGTTACTGCCACGGTAAGATTCCTCCGGCGAAAACTCTCTGCTCTGGATAGATATCCACTAACATGTCATGCCTTTTTTCTTTGTAGTTTGGCTACACCAACCATACTGTGCTCCCCGAAGCCCTGGAGAAGTGGCCTGTGGGATTATTCCAGCATCTCTTGCCCAGACATCTTCAGATTATCTACGATATTAATCTGTTCTTCCTGCAAAAGGTCGAGAAGGCCTTCCCCAACGACAGAGACCTGCTTGGTCGAGTCTCCATCATTGAAGAGAGCCAGCCAAAGATGGTGAGAATGGCCTTCTTGGCCATTGTTGGTTCCCACAAGGTCAACGGTGTGGCTGAGCTGCACTCGGACTTGATCAAGTCGACCATCTTCAAAGACTTTGTTGAGATCTACGGCCCGGACAAGTTCACCAACGTAACCAACGGTATCACCCCTAGACGTTGGCTGCACCAGGCCAACCCCCGTCTGTCTGAGCTGATTGCCTCCAAGTGCGGCGGCGATGCCTACCTCAAGGATTTGACTGTTCTCAATAAGCTTGAAGCTTTTGCCAAAGACAAAGCCTTCCGCAAGGAGTGGGCTGAGATCAAGTACGCCAACAAGGTCCGCTTGGCCAAGTACATTCAGACCACGCTTGGCGTATCAGTCAACCCCGCGGCCTTGTTCGACGTGCAAGTCAAGCGAATTCACGAATACAAGCGTCAGCAGCTCAACATTTTCGGAGTCATTCACCGATATCTGACTCTCAAGGCGATGAGTCCTGAAGAGAGGAAGAAGCAGCTTCCCCGTGTTACCATCTTTGGTGGCAAGGCTGCTCCCGGCTACTGGATGGCTAAGCAGATTATTCACTTGGTCAACGCCGTCGGCGAGGTTGTCAACAAAGATTCCGACATTGGCGATCTCCTCAAGGTTGTTTTCCTTGAAGATTACAATGTCAGCAAGGCCGAGATGATCATCCCTGCCTCTGATATTAGCGAGCACATTTCCACTGCAGGCACAGAGTGAGTTGATACCAAGGACGGCAAACTCGGTTGAGAGATGAGAAGCTAATTGAGATGAAATAGGGCGTCTGGCACAAGTAACATGAAGTTTGTCCTCAACGGAGGTCTCATCATCGGAACATGCGATGGCGCCAATGTAAGAGCCAATCGACCCTACTACGTTGCCTAATTCTCTATTAACTCTGTATGATAGATTGAAATCACCCGTGAAATCAGCGACAGCAACATCTTCCTGTTTGGAAACCTTGCTGAGGATGTGGAAGACCTGCGCCATAACCACAACTTTGGCTCTCACACCATCGACCCCGACTTGGAGAAGGTCTTTGTCGAGATTGAGAAGGGCACCTTTGGCATGCCCAATGACTTTAGTGCCTTGATTGCCGCCGTCAGAGACCACGGCGACTACTACCTGGTCTCAGACGACTTCCACAGCTACATTGAGACACACGCTCTCGTTGACGAGGCTTACAAAAACCAGGATGAGTGGGTGACCAAGTGCATCATGTCCGTGGCCCGAATGGGCTTCTTCACTAGCGACCGCTGCATTAACGAGTATGCTGAGGAGATTTGGAACATTGAGCCGCTGGACGTCTCTGAGTAATAATCTCCATTGGGTTGGCGAGGACCTGGAAGTGGCATTTCCTGTTGTAGAAGCCGCCGAGGAAGCTCCTCGAAATTCGAACATACAGAAATCACTTAAATGGGGAGGCATGGAAAACGGCTCTCTCTTCCTATAATGATGAACGTCCAAATATTGAACTGAGTTTAAGACTTTTTCATTTGTATATTCGGTGGCATGTGACGATGCTGGCAACTCCTACTTCATGCATGTGTAAAGTTGATTGTGGTGATGCCGTGTTCTATGTAGTTCACCGACATATGATCGTGATGCCGGTGTAATGCTAGACAACTTAGATATCTTGGAATTGCAATTTAGCGGTGACACCACGAAGTGGGCTGGTTAGTTGGAAAAATTGGTCAAATTGAGGTGGGAAGAGGCCGGAGCAAAATCTCCAGCGTGGCTTTGAAGCCGATTCGCAGCCGATTCGCAGCCGTTATCTCGATGGGCGGAAGTGGCTCGTTCCTGGATTTAGGCGTCTGAATCGGTCGTGGAGCAGAAATGATGTAGCGGGTACTTTTCATGATGGGTATCTTGGCGCGAACGATGGGATGGAACAAAGTATGTGGTACTTGATGCGATTGGATCACTGAGGGCCTTTTTTAGGAAGGCTAAGTGGGTTGAGGATAGATTAGTGGTGACGTCATGGATGCATCACTGGACGAAAGGTGCTTCAGACTGTAACAGAAGTTGCGTTTGGTGTGGTTATGAGCCTTGGGTGCTATATCTGCAGGATATTGTGCATGTGGGAATAGAGAAGAGGGGGTGAGAAAGAAGAGGCTGAGTTTGAGCGAATCGGATGCAGGAGAGGAGAAAAAGGCGTCGTCTAGGTTGGGTTGGACTGGGTCGGGTTTGGCCTTGGACTTGAAGTTTGTGTGGGAATGATTTTGGTGGGGAGAGAAGAGAATGAGGAGAACGGAAGAGAAGAAGCTTTGAGAGAATCTTCGAAGGGCTTTTTAGTTCTAAATGGTCTTTATGGAAATGTCGATCTGGATTTGGGATGGGATTTGTACTTTTCGTTGGCGATTTCTTGATTCTTGATTGTGGCGGTTTTTCTAATTTTTAACCCGGCGATGATCAGAGATGCGAAGCAAGATGCGCATCACCTCCCATACACATTCAGACTGATACTCTGCAACTAGCCGGATTTTTTTAGAACTAGGTACCTGTACTGCTCAACTTGGGTAGCTTGTAGTGGTAAGATGGGGGATGACACTCCCGCGAGAAAACATGGGCTTCCCAGCTAAAATGATCCCTGGCCAGGGTATCATTTAGGCATGGGGGGTCCTAACTCATGTAGCAGGAACGAGAGCCCAGCGCACGATGTCGTCACCGGGAAAGGGTCTGGGTAACGAGATTGTGCGTATGTGCGCCTGTCCCCTGAAGCGCTGGCTGCGGGATGGAGAAGAAAATGGGGGCTGCTGCGTTGGTGTGTGTGCGATGACGACGGAAGTCCCTGGGAAAAGAAAAAAAAACGAGGGGATCGTTAGAATAGTTGGAGGGGGGGGGTTGTTCGTTTATAGACTGGCTGGTGCCCTCTTGTTTCTCGGCGCGTTGTGTAGTTTGTTTGATGCTGGAAAGACACAGAGACAGTCCAACTTCACCAGCCTAGCTCTTGTGCTGCCTCGAACGGAGAATTGCTTGGTCTTTTTGCGTATAAGAGCGTATAAGAAGAGCTTCCTATTTGGATAAAAGCCGGTGTAGTACAAGGTTGAACTTTTTGCGCTTGTGCTTCGACGAAACCAAACCCTCAGTCAAAAGCATTGGCTTTTTGCAGCTCCCTGGATCCGAATCCGACAAATCTCGATCGATCGCCCTTGAGACCAGCGCTGGGTTTATAAGTACTAGACAGGACCGCGGAAGGCAACTTTTGCTGTTTAGTTTCTTTCGAACAGTGCCCGCCTTGACGAAATTACACTCCATTCTTTTTTTTCTTTCTGTTTCCGCAGAGACAGAAAACCTCCTTCTTTTTTTGCTCTTTACCGGTTTTTTTACATCTTTCGACCGCCAACGGCTTGATTGCGCTGTCGGTGACATTCAGCGATCTTGGCATTTGCTAACACACACGTAAGTTGGGAAATGAGCAAAGGGCGCATTCACAAATACAAAAATGAGAGGCAAAGAAGGCGAATTGAGGGAATCAGAGAGCCAAGTCCTTCAACCTGGCTGATTCCTACTTGGATTCCAATTCAAGGACAATTGGCTTCAGTTCGCTGCCAGTTACCTCCATTTACCCCGCGCACCGCGCTTTGCCTGCTCCAAGCCGAAAGGCTGGCGGTCTTTCCACGTGCGCCCAGCTAACGCGGTGTTATTTAGGCGCCCGCCGTTCTTCCCTGTCCTTCTCGCGGGCTGCAGAAACCAGAACCAGAACCTTCACCCCGCCTTTGCTTTCTCTGTTGGAACGATCCGAAGATCCGCCAGCGCGAAAAGAAGCGACTTCGCAAAGAACGAATAAAAAAGGAGAGGTAATTTTTTTTTATTTCTTCTTCTTTACAAACCCCAAGAAATCGACCACTGAATTTTGCGCTCGACCGCAATTTGCAGCACCGTTCGATTGTTCGATTCCCAACGACGCCCGAGATCGAGATTTAGCAGCTGATATCAGACGCCTAGCCGCTGTTTAACCCCCGCCTTATTAGCAGCGAGTGGAACTCCTGAGCTCCTGCGGATTACCTACCACCTTTTTTACCTCCAGGCTTCTTCCAACCGAGCCGACTGAAGCATCAGCACAACATCATCCTTGATTTTTTTTTTTAAAGAAAAAGAAGAGGGGTCCGGTTTCTAGCACTTTTGAGATCCCGCTCTTTTTCGCCGCCTTCACGACAACTCTTTTACCGTTTGCCCCGCTCATCGCGCCCCCGACATTGAATCTTTCGCAGCCTCGCTTTTTGGGCCTCTATTTTTCTCGTCGTTATTTCCCCGCGAAATCCCCAACGATCCGTCACAATGGCCGAGTTTGTGCGTGCGCAGATCTTTGGCACCACGTTTGAGATCACTTCAAGGTATGCGAGAGGCTGCAAACCAACGGCGACGTGCCAAAAGCGGGGGGACTCTCTGAAGCTGATGCAATTCGTGTAGATACTCAGACCTCCAGCCTGTGGGCATGGGAGCGTTTGGTCTTGTTTGGTAAGTTTTCCCTCGTTTTTTCTCCTTGGGCTTTGTTCTTGGCTCTTTTTGATTGCTGGGAGATGGGCATCCATGCTAATCTGCGACGTCTTCCCCTCCCCCGCCAAATATAGCTCTGCGCGGGACCAGCTCACCAACCAAAATGTTGCTGTCAAGAAGATTATGAAGCCCTTCAGCACGCCTGTGCTCGCTAAGCGGACGTATCGAGAACTGAAGCTGCTCAAGCATCTCCGACACGAAAATGTATGCGCTTTCCTTGCTGCTTTTCTCTCTTTTCTCCCACTCGCCGCCTATTGCGTCAGCTTGATGCTTACGGCGCCCCGGTGTCTTACGTTTCTGATTGCCTTGATGCTAACGGCTCTCGCTACCTACTTAGGTTATCTCTCTCAGCGACATCTTCATCTCTCCCCTTGAGGATATGTATGTTCATTTTTTCCCCCAAGACTTCCTGCCTCTTTCGCGTATCACCGCTAATATCGTTCTCTGCAGCTACTTCGTCACAGAGCTTCTCGGAACCGACTTGCACCGATTATTAACATCACGGCCGCTCGAGAAACAATTCATTCAATACTTCCTCTATCAGATTATGGTATGCGGTCACATGTGCTGGCATTTTACATGCCAGCATTCGAGGTTCCTGCAACGCAACGGCAGCTAACACGCATCTCTCTATATAGCGAGGCCTGAAATATGTCCACTCCGCCGGTGTCGTCCATCGTGATCTCAAGCCTAGCAACATCCTCGTCAACGAAAACTGCGATCTCAAAATTTGCGACTTTGGTCTGGCCCGAATCCAGGACCCGCAGATGACGGGTTACGTATCAACACGATACTACCGCGCCCCCGAGATCATGCTCACATGGCAAAAGTACGATGTCGAGGTCGATATCTGGAGTGCTGGATGCATCTTTGCCGAGATGCTGGAGGGCAAGCCTCTGTTCCCGGGCAAGGACCACGTGAACCAGTTCTCCATCATCACTGAACTGCTTGGCACGCCTCCGGACGATGTTATCAACACTATTGCTAGCGAGAATGTGAGTTTCTCTCTCCCTCATTGCTACATTTTCATGGGCGGCCCAGAATTGACATTGTATTAGACGTTGCGCTTCGTCAAGTCGCTGCCAAAGCGTGAGAGACAGCCTCTTCGGAATAAGTTTAAGAATGCAGATGATTCAGGTATGAGACGGATTCCTTTCGGTTATTATGATACCGAGAAACTCTTTCTAACTCGAACACATAGCTATCGATCTCTTGGAGCGAATGCTCGTTTTCGACCCTAAGAAGCGAATAACCGCTACTGAAGCTCTGGCCCACGACTACCTTGCCCCATACCACGACCCTACCGATGAGCCTGTTGCTGAAGAGAAGTTTGACTGGAGTTTCAACGATGCTGATCTCCCCGTTGATACTTGGAAAATCATGATGTATGTTGCCACTACGCTATGGTATTATGTCGTCATATCCTTTAACACATCTCACAGGTACTCTGAAATTCTTGACTACCACAACGTCGAGGGTGTCCCCCAAATGGAAGACCAACAGTTCCCCCCACAATAGATGGAGAGTATGAGGTGCAGGATTCGATAAAGGGCGGTATAAACTATTTTGGAGCTGCTGCAAAGAAGACGAACATACGAAACAGACGCGCACGCACGCACGCACGAGTAGACAGACAGAAAAACTCTAACACGCTGCACAACGGGGTCAGCACCTTGTTGATGTTATTGATGTTCCGTGGCAGTTGCGATTTTTTTTTTCTTACAGTTATTTTCCCGGCGTTGAAATGGAAGACTTAGGGATGGAAAGGGGGAGGGGGAAACATAAGGGAGGGTTTTAAATATATGTAAAGACTTGCGATTGTGTGCAGCGAACAATAAAATATACGAAGAAACGGATTTTCCTTTCATTAATTATGGGTGCTCCTCAAGATGATGACTTGTTGAGGGATGTGAAAGACGTACCTAGGTAGGTATCAAGCAGATGGAGTACTATTACGAGCTTGAGCAGCACTTAGACCGTCTTGGAAATTACCTGAAGGTATGCCGCGACTTAGCTAACGCTCATGATTTGTGTCTTGGATTTTTTTCTCCGGTGAGAAATGATATATGAAATCCTTAAGGAAACGAAATCCAGCACTCCATCCATGGGTACATATAGCATGGGATACTTGTGCTACTTCTGTTAGGTAAGTATTTTATAGACAGACTAACAGCTGTATTAAGCTATAGCTGGATTGCTGTAATATCACTCGGGTGCTGGTACCTTTTCCCAATTCTACATTCTTAAGTTCTTCCAAGCTTGTCATTTGACCTCCTATTCAGACCCCATCCTCGATGCGCGTCAATTCTTTCGGGCTTATTCTAATCTAAGCTATATCCTACCAGTGGAGTCTGGGCGGTTCCAACGCTGGGTTTCTCTTTAGTTAGGGTTCCAAAAAGTGATTTGTTTCCCCGTTGTGAAATTTCCCCTTCTGTTTGCTGGTCTTGTCTTGCTTTATTATTATTCATTTGAGTCCCTCCCCCCCGGATAGATACATGTAGCCTCAATTACAGGCTGCTAACGCCAGCCCCTCTATAACATCTTTCATAAGTCTAAAAAAAAAGTATTTTGTTTATCTCTTATGAACTAAATGAGGCTTAACAAAACAGCCCTTCCGTGTAGCGTAACCACTGCGAATAAAAACTCTTATGCTTTACTTCAGCTATGGAGACGGCTTGTAGCCGTGAAGGTTTTATTGTTATAGGAAACCCAGTCTGTCGCTTTATTCTTCGATATCAAGGCGAAATCAATAAAGTATCTGGTCTGCTTAAATGTGATGTTACTACAAGCCGAATCTTGCGCATTTCTTTTGACTAAAGTGGTTTTGTACGCTGATTTAAAGCTCTGATTACTATACGACATGACTACGATTTGTCTTATTCGAATTTGAAGACGGACTAAATAGAATAGTCTGCTAAAATGAAAGATTGGTGTTGGCTAATTTTCGCTTTGTTCAATGGAGTAAAGTGATCTTATCCGTAGATATGACTGATCTTGGCTACACTCCAATTCGCATATGCCCCTTACGAAAGACGCCGACTCAGAACATGATAGGCCAGTTTAAGCAAATGTCATGGCTGCTTTCGGAAGTTTTTATCTATTGTAGATGATATCCGGGGTATACAGGGTTGGGTTGATAAGCGATAAATTCCGGAACATGATAGGATGCTCCAGCCTGACGACCACGATCATTTCGGAAGGATTCATGTACGATGCTGCCAGATGCTGCAAGATGCTAGCAGGGGTGATTTTAACTATTGAACGAGAAACCTGGAATATGATAGGACGGATTGATTACCACGATTGTTATCAGTGAGATTCATCTCAATTAAGCACGCCTGGGGGCCATTTTGAGCCGCAAAGTGAAGGAAGCGAGAGTGCTAAATACATGGACGCAATTTCGCCTCACAAGCCGTTACAAAGATTGAGAAATATTCAAGTAAAAGGAGAGTAAGAATGAGAAAGAAAGAGGGAAAGAAAGCATGTGATTTATTGCGTAACCAAAGTCGCCTTATATGGGAGCACGGGGGCTATGCTCTGAAGGCGATTTGCAGGAAAGCCCCGGATATATTAATTACTACAGCTCAGCCTCAGGTTAGGTATAGATTGGTGCCTACCTAGCGAGTCAAGGAACACACTGCCAGCGCCTGCCTCATTAACAGCATCTGTTTCCTCGCACGAGTAGTCGTTCTTGAAAGGCCACTCCAGAATTCCACCTTGCGCGGATCCCGCTGAACTTTCCCGCTGAATTTTCCCTCATGAAGTGCTACATATGTGACTTAAGCTAGTGCATAGAGACATTTCATTATCTGTTTAAAGAACAACACTCTTAGAATTATTTTCGTTTTGGTAACCGATTCATGAATGTCAGTACCAACCTGCACTCGCACCTCGTCTGCGGCATTTGTCTACTAAACGTATCGGCAGTAACCGGGGCTTTTCTCCAAGACATGCATGCATCATCTGAGCGCTATTCATCACATTCTGCCTCTTTTTCATAGGCTGGGATGGGATCCAACCGACATAGCCCCCTGGCCTGCCTAATTGGCCTGCCTAATTGGCCTGCCTGAGGGGTAGACAGGGGGTTTCTGGAGTTTTTTTTCCACCATGGCGGCAAAAGGCAGCACGGTTTAAGTGGTCAATACTGGACGGTTACTGGACGGTGTGACATCAAAACTATGTTGTGAAAGGCGAATTTATATACTACTTATACACTCACGTCGCCTCGGCGTCGTTGGCCGCCCCGAGGCGAATTCTGGTCGTACCGGGTGAGGCGATGCAGTAGCGGGTATGTCTCCCTCAAAAAGCCCCATAAGATGGGGATGAGGCCAATCCTGGATATACACATTGCATGCCGGCTTCTCCATTCTTCTGCTCGACTGATGCACCGTAATATTGGCGAATGCTAAATGTAAGACACTTGACAGGTCAATCTGTTTTCATATACTACGCCTAGGTGGCATTGCTGTGGCCTGATGCTCGCCGGGTTGATGTTGCTCATATATGCGCCTTTTTGCTTCCTTCGCAGGCCTTTCTCTCTCTTCGCGAATATCTCAAGCAAGGTTGATCGGCTGTAAACTTACATTTATCCCGGAGAGATGATGAGTTTGATATCATCTAGAGGCTGTGACTGCAAGTCCTTTAGATACCAGGCATGGCATAAATCTCCAGGTTCGTCTCGCTGTCTTGCTCCGTACACCGCCACGTATTTTTTACACATCCTTCATCTTCCTACCAACAGTCCAGAGCCTCTGGAGAAGAATTGTGAAGAGGAAGGAGTTCATTCATTGACAACCAACAATCTAGAAGGAGAATTTGAAGGGACGATCTCTGCGGACGCCATAGCGAGTGATAGATCCAAACACTTTGCTGAGGCTGATGTTGTTATCATGTCAGTTCCATCTCTCTCCCAACTCTTGTATTATTGGTATTTCTGTGTATCTGACAAGATTGTTTACTTGAACAGTTATGCCAAAGGAGACGAAGTGCGTAAATGCTATACATGCAAGAAGGTATTCGATGAAAAATTTCATATACCACCGATATGGTGGACGACGCTGTCGAGGCGGTCCAACGGCTATTTTGGATACGAAAATGTGCTTGATGCGAGTGGGACGAATCGGACAGGCACCAGTAAGTGGGCGATTACTATCACTCCATACTCCTGCATATAACCGCTTACTATGTAAGAATTATGAATCATTCGTGTACTGACGGGAAGAGTAGTCTCCTGGCTTCGATTCCTCATGAAACATGTCAACAGCGCAGACTCTGGCCACCATAATAAAAATGATATCGATTATAGGTGGGTTAAGCTAAATGCTTTCGTGCGATGGTATGCTCCTTCAGATAAAGCTCTTTCAGATAAAGCTCCTTTGGATGAAGCTCCTTTGGATGAACGCCCGAAAAGCCGCACTGAGATTGTCCTCTTCGACCATCCCGAGTTTGCACAACAGGTTGGAGACTTTATCATTGAACAACTCAAGCCTCATGAGCTTAGCGATCCCTTTTGGGCGTATCCCGCCATGGTTGAAAAAGTTGCCGCTCTCCACGATGTGTGCGTTTGGGAATCTCGAACTCTTATTAGGAACTACGAGAAACATCGGACTCTTTATCGTGACCCGTTTGACTACCTCCATGAAGTCTCACGCCATAGTCTTCACATCAACGAGACTCTTCATGTCGCCGAATCCATCCTGGACAGCATGCAAAAGTATCACGATCACTTTACAGCTACCGAGCCTAGTAGCAATGAAAAAGTGGACCGTTTCGATCCTTTTCCTCAGAACATCAAAAATCGTCTTGGCCTTCTTCAAACAACACTCACTCATCTTCGTCATCGCGCCGAGTCCAATTACGAGCGTGTTAAGGCTGAGATAACTCTTTCGTTCAATAAATCTTCTCAAATAGAGTCCGGAGCTACGAGAGCCATTTCTTTAGCCGGTCTGCTTTTCCTCCCGGCTGCATATGTTACTGCTCTCTTCAGCACCTCTTTTTTCAATTTTGATGCTCCAACGGGCATTTGGGGCTTCTCTGACAAATTTTGGATCTACTGGGCTGTTACAATACCTGTGACTGCCTTGACTATTTTCCTATGGTTTTTTGGGCCTATGATCTTGAGCTTTGTAGTATCTTATTGCAAAGAAATTGGAACTCTTTTGCTAGATTTGATCAGTATAGGAAGGCGAGATGCGATGCGCTTAATGGAATTAGAGAAACAAAAGAAGATGCGGGCGAAAATGAATGAGAATCGGAAGAGAGACGGAAAGGAAGGGAGGAAGTTGGCGAGAAGAGATTACATAAGAAGGTTGGAGGACGAGGAAAGGGAAAGGATAGAGAAAGAAAGAGAGGAGAAAGAGAAAAAGAAAGAGAAAGGAGACAGATGGAATATGGCGAGTGCGGCGAGTATGGTCTAGATGGTGTATGACTACTTCTCCCGGTTTACTTTCACCTCTCTATTAGTGAGATTATTGTGAATTCTAAGGTTCCAAGATATAAAAGCGATATCCCGCGTGGCTGGAAAGCAGGGAGACCATATTTGGAAAGTTGTTTTCCGATTTTGAAAGCAATTGTTATGCCAAGTTAGGTACTCAAGGAGCGAGACTGATACTTTCTCCTCTCCATTTGAGATGTTATTGTCAAGGTAGCTGCTTAGCTGACTGAGTCTTTAATTGAAAAATCTCACAAAACAACATCAAACCATGATAGTCTGAACATAGCAGGCGAAATATGCAATGTGGAGTAAGTGTGAGATAGTTTCTAGTGGGACATGAGCGTTTCTTATAGCCAGTTCTGGAAGTAAACATGTAGCACTTGTCTTTTTTTCACACTCAGATATGAATGCAGACAGCTTTGAGCTATGTATCACGCATTTTCGGCACTTATATAACCAGAACTTGGCAGTGTATGCCGTAATGGGGCTAGTAATATTGGCTAAGGCGGCCCTCTGAAAAGGATTTCGAAATAAACCATCTTTACGTATGTTCAATTCCCTTGTGAGCAAGCTTTACACTACCTAGCCACGTATCTTGAGAAGAGAAGTCGTCTATACGTGTAAAAAAGTCTTCATCAAACTCGCATTTGTCTGGCTTATAGCTATCTAATGATTATACAGTTTCAGACTATGCTTTCTCATATTAAAATGATATACTAGCTATCGCTGAACCTGATCGAGTAAATGTTTTATGATTATGATTTGTAGTTTTTTTTCTCCTGTGCTCAGACACTTCAGCCGCTCCAAGCTAGTGCTAGAGCCATCCCATAGAAGGCGTGTAGTTGCGCCTTGAAGGCAATGAAGTATGCAAATGTTTTGCCTTTGAAGTGACCAAGGTGCTCTTAAATGGCTCATACCGCCAAGACTGCACGACTCGTCATAAATTTGCCAGCTCTCTAGTGTAGTTTGGATGAGCACTTTGTATGGAACGATGGGATCTAGGTCAGACTGCTATATTAGACCCATGGCGAAAGCCTGGGTCAAATCCTGACGGCTTTGTTGAGGCTGACTGCTCCCAGAAGACCCTTTACAGTAAGGGCCGGCTCTTAAATAGCATCTGACATGTACGTGGCGTTTGATGCTCCTCTCATGGCCGCGGGAAGAGATGATTAGTGCGAAGAGCTGAGGGCAAAATGCCTACGCTAAGACACTCGCCGCCTCGGTTTGCGGCGAGCTAGCTGGCAGCCACGTATCATGCTGATTTTTTTTTTTTTTTTTTTGGTCAATACGTGGATCCAGTCATATTGGCTTGAGATCAGATTAGTAGAATATACCATAAAACATTTAGGATTATGGATGTATCAGCTCACAAGAAGAGGATGTGGTCATCACTATCGTCACGCGGAGAGAGCGAGGCGGCATGTAAGCAGGCCCTTACATGCTATAACTTGCTCTGTCCGCCCAGAAATGGAGCACAGCGCCGTGGAGCAGTTTCTCCCTCTCCACTCCGTTTAGTAGAAAAGATTCGCCGTTGAGTCCGGGCTATTGAGCGGTAAGGCCCGACGTCGAAACTAGGCGTGATGCTAGGACTTTCAGGTGTCGTGCACGTGTTGGACCCTGAGTAGATAAAGGACGCTTATTTTTGCGTCAGTAGAAAGCGTAAAGCCCTATTTCGTAAGCACTGGATGCAGTAATCATTATTTTCAGTATTCATTATTTTCATCATCTGCTCTGCATTAGGGGCAAAAGACGACAAGTAACGGTGTTGACGTTTGGGATACAGCTTCTGTAGTTGTGATGACATAAGAGATTAGATTATCCGTAGATGCGGAATATTAGAAGCACCGTATGTACCCATGGTACACAGAAGGAGCAGAGATGGTGCCTTCCTCGCCAGCTTGAACCGTTACAATCTTTCCTCTCGAGACTGAATCTAAATTTTGACATCTCTCCTTGATTTCGCAGTTTTCTTTCTCCTCATCCCCTATTCTCAACTTCGTCCACGGTGCAATGAATCCCATGTCTCGCAACAAGCGGTTCATAGGCATTGTTAGCGAGGCTGGGTAACTTAATTTCCAGGACCTTGGCAAACTCTAAGATTCACCGAGCAATATCGCGTATACCAAGCCACCAAGCCCAGATTGGCTTCGTTGCCGCTTCCGAAAATATCAACCAATCCTGACGCCCCTTGTGCCGTTCTCCGTGCTTGGTAGTCGTCATCTAGATACCATCTGCGCGTTGTGGGAATCGGTTTCTATCTTCTTTTACATCTTGTCCGAAATTTGCCAGCACTAATGGCAGTTTACAGGCCCCATCGTGTAAATGATCCGCGGCAGCATCGGCAACGGGGGCCAAATCGAGACAATCCTGAGCTAGCTGAGACCCCCGCCGTTCTTTGGGTCAATGAGTGGTATAGTGTTGCTCTTGACGAATATTTCGGTGCTATTTGTACTCCATATCGCCTTGAAACGAATTGCGGATGAGGAATATTCTGAAGTGTCCGCTTCTGTCCAAAATTCCCGATACGCCACCTCCTTTGCTAGCCATAGACTGCATCTGCCTCTGCACAATATGCGCCTGACCCTCCGCGCATTTCATAATGCGGGTTAGCGATTAAGGTTTGCTCTGTTAGACAATGATCATCAGGTACTCCGTGTCCATTGCACGATGCTTGTGGGCCAAAGGGCTCGGATCTTCTCCATTGATTACGATGGTATCATTGGCAGTAGGCCATCTTGCTGCAAGGGGCAATGAAACGACTGCCAAGATGGGATATGCAAATCTAGCGTTCAAGTTGCTTGATCAACTAGTCACGCAATCTCGGTTTAACAGCTAGACGAAGGCGGAGCAAGCTAAGCAAAATATTTTCCAAAAATATGAGCTTTGGATGATATTGCTGCTAGCTGAGAAAAAGGAACGAAAATAAGAGGACCCGATGTCTACTTGGCGGAATCCCGGCATCGCCCTTTTCTCCGTGAGGTGACTGGAAGTTCATAATTAAAGGGGTCGATGGTGTTTGTTCGCCGCGTCTCCACCGTGGGAAGAATCGCTGGCAGACGACGGTTAGACGCCACAGCCACGAGCCGCGCTGCAAGTACTAGCAAGAGCTGTAAATCACGCTTCATTAGCACCGCACTGTTTTCAAGCCACGGAGGACGGTGCTCGTACGAGCCGAAGTAGGAAAACTGGAGGGCTCGTATTCAGCGTCGCGCGTCAGGGATAATGACGTTTGGACAGAAAAGGGGCCACAGAGACACGCTGGACCAGATTGGGCTTGAACTGGACTGACAACGGCAGCAGCGGCAGCAAGCGATGGAACACTCGATGAAGATTGTATGAATGAAATCAACGAGCTGTTCCTGGCAGGGCCTGGCGACGCGATCTCGAAGATGTCCTGTTTAAGCGAAGAGGATCCATGAACTACCTGCTTTGGTATGAGAAAGGAGGGGCCAAGCATTCACCGCTTGCTGCAGACTCGGGGACATGTCACTATTGAGACAGAAGAGGCAAGGGCTGTTCACGCTGCCGTTGTTCACCGACGAACTGTTCCTGCAGAGACAGCACATGGTTGATTGCAATATTGAACGATTTACGTACGCGAATGAGCATTTTGGTTGATAAGATGGTCCGACCAGATGCTGATTCGCCGAGTGCGTAGCACGGGGAATGGAATGTCTTGTGAGCAGACATCTTCAAGAATTTCTGGCAGCCAAGCGAGCAGCTCTACTAGAGCAACGCTTAGCTAGTTTTTCTTTTTCTTTTGTCTTTCCATTCTCTTTCGTGCACGCTGTCCGAGCCCCAAGACGAACCACGAGGCTAAGAATAGAGACGAGAAGACAAAGATTGGTGAGCAAATAAGCTATACTTGTCTCGACCTCATCAAGCAAAATCTCACATGTTCAATCTCACTTGCAGCAGCAGCATGGCCAAGCGAAACCGCCTTGGGGTTCCATTTTGATTGATTGATGCATACATAAGCTACTAGCGGGAACAGCAAGAGTTCAGGTACTTGCGCATAGAGTGCGCCGCCGGCTGGTACCTCCGAAGCTCTCGGAGTGCTGTTCCTTGGACTGTGATGTTGCCGAGCAGCAGCGGCTCTCTATTCGCTGGCGGAGAGCCCCTGGAAGGTCCCCCTTAGCGGCCTTCTTTTGGCGCTCTCTCCGCTGGTGCTCTAGCGGGCTTTAGCGGGTGCGCCACCGCACGGTCACTGGGCTCCCTGGCCTTGGCACCGCCTCCGCTGGGGTCAGCACTGTGCTTATAGTGTTCAGCCTTACTTGGCCGGTATCCAGACGGGAATACAGAGACTGGAAGCATCAGCGCGGGCTTCTCCTAGGGAGGGGACCCCCCTGTACCTGAGCCTGCACGGAGTACATGACATGCTTGCCTCGAGACGGCGGTTTGGATTCATATATTAGCACCGCCATCTCCCACCTGCGTCCCTCTCGGCATTGAATCACTGCTGCGTCGCTCGTTTGTTGCTGCATTTGCTGCCGATTACTTGCATTTGTGCTCGCGTGATCAGATACCGCTCCCGGCCACAATCGACGAGTCGCTGCTACGGCCTGGTACTGCTACTTATTCGCTGCTGCCCCCGCTCTATACACTCTGCCCACGACGACATATCTATACGACAGCGATTAAAAAAAGAGAAGCTTTTACCGAGAAGGAATACAATAAAAAGGACGAATTCAAAGGAAGGGACAAGGTTGATACCACGTCGAAGTCTAGAGGAGCTGTTACTTGCAAGGCAAGCCATGGGAAGCGGCCCTACAGCACTCGAACCATATACCACAGAAACAACACGACATCACCACCAGCACCACCACAATGCAGCGAGGAGGCAGCCGAGATGTGCGCTTTGCCGATGACGACAGTGATTACGAGTATGAGCGCACCAGCTTCATATACCGGCCGCTCTCCAGATTGCCCACGCCACCCCCGACCTTGAACAAGTCGTCATTCGCAGACCAATCGCTCGAGGATGATGACACGCTGAACCCGCGATATCGAGGTGAGTTTTTAGCTGCCTATCCAGCGCGTGTCTCTGCAAAGTACTCTGCGAGGTACTCTGCAAAGTACCCCGTGTAGCGCAGACCGCTTGCATGTGCTTACACGGATCGCGGAATACGGAGTACGGGATATTATTACCGCTGCAACCCCTCGGGACTTGCATTTGCCGCTTTGGACATGGGCGAATCACATGGCTAACAGTTTGGGTTACAGGTCCCGCCATCCATCTCGTGAATCTGATTCCCGCATCGGCGTCGCTGGCGAGCGCCTCGGTGCCCTTCGTGCAGGCCATGCTATCGCGGGCTGATCTTTCCATGGAGGAGCTGGCGCTGGCGGTTTGCATTCTCGACAGCCTCGACACCAAATTTGCGCGAACATGGCGGCTCTCATGCCCGCTCTCGTGTCCTATGCGCTCTGACGATCACGATCTGGACTCGCTCACCGTGACATCACCGGCGCTCATCAAGCGGCACTCACTCCCTTCGACACCGCGCGACGCTCCCCGCCAACAGCTTCACATCGATTCCGTACGTCCCGAAGTCATCATACTGGCTGCCCTTATAATTGCCGCAAAGTTCACGCGGGACTCGCAGCAGCCACCGGACTTTTACCGTCTTGCATGGGGCCGCGGCCTATGGTCAAACAAGCAGCTCAACTTGACGGAGCTGCGTATGATGGAGAGCCTGGACTACCGCATCTTGCCGCTGTGCGACGAAGACTGCCTCACGGATGCCATGGTGGACATGCAACTTGCTGGAGAGCTAGAAGAGTCAGGATTGCGATGGAACACGGCTCGCGAGCCCACGCCTCCGGATAGCGCAGCAGGCAGCGAGTGCGAGTTTGTGCCGAGCCACAACCGCTCCAAGACGCTTGGAGTGGCTCTGCTAGACGGGTTTCGATGATGTGGGGACAGCAAAGAAGGTCGACGCTGCGGCTGATAATCCCTCAACACAGAGGGACATTTTTTTTTTTTTTTTTTTTTTTTGACGAGTCATTGACAAAGCGATGGGCATTTTATTCTTTTTTAATACCTGGCTTTCTATTTTTATACGCTTAGCATGTTGGGCACACGAGCATATTTATTATGGCGTTTTGGAGAATCGCAAAGCGAGGAGCAATGGTCAACCCGATAGACACTGGCTACTTGGGCTACGGAGTCTTTTGCTGTTTTCTTGGATCATTCAATTCTTTACTCTTATTATTGGTCACTTTGTTGTAAACAAGGGAAGCATTTGATGAGCTGCATCCTTGTTTCATCTTCTTTTGTCGGGTGGACACATTTATGGGCAAAGCACCCATGGGAATCACTACTTGAAGGTGTTTTTGATCTGGATATTGCTATTTGGATGGGACAATTGCGTCTTTTTATACCACTTGGATCTTCTTTTTATTAGCTACATGCATGTATTTATCTACGTACCAAGCATAGCAGAGTAAATCATTTAGTGCTGCTTGCCTGTCGAGGCGAGCGGATATGATATCCCACACGATTGGTTATTTCCACCTCATTAACTTCTGTCACTGTCTGATGACTCCTCTTTCGTGTCGATATCAGTACCTTTCTTCTATCTTTTAAAATGCCCTTGTATTTTCTAATGATACATGCATATAGGTATCACTCATTACTGCGTATACCAGGGAGCATAACCCCCTTTTTCTCAAGGTAAAGAACACACACATACATGGCCATATCAGAATCAGGGACTCAACCTCTCCAGTCGCCATCGCCCCTCTTTGCCATCCTTGCCCTCCTCCCACTCGTACACGAAGCGATCGTGCAGCCTGCTCTCACGGCCCTGCCAGAACTCAACTCGCTGCGGCACCAGGCGGAGTCCGCCCCAGAAGTCGGGCACGGGGATCTTGTCCTGGTCCTTGAAGCGCTCCTCGACGTCTTTGACCCAGCCCTCCAGCTCGGCTCTTCCGTCATCTTCTTTCTCTTCCTCGCCATCTGACGTAGCTACTGCTGATTCGGCCTCGGCCTCCTTCGTCTTTTCAAGTCCACCATTCACTTTCTTCGACTTTGGCGTCAGCACCACGGACTGCTTGCTCGCCCACGCACCGATCCTGCTGCCCCTCACGCGCGTATCGAAATACGTCTGGCTCTCCTCGCGCGAGTTCGTCTCCGTAATCCCTTCGACGCGGACCTGGCGCTGCAGCGGCGGCCAATAAAACACGAGGCTGGCGTGCGGGTTGGTGGCCAGGTCGCGGGCCTTGCGCGAGGTGCCGAGGTTGGTGTACATGACGAAGCCGTGGGCGTCGAGCTCCTTGAGGTAGACGACGCGCGAGGACACGCGGCCCGAGGGCAGCTCGGCGGTGGAGAGGGTGCAGGCCTCGGGCTGGGAGATGGACGGCGTGCGCTGGGCGAGGGAGAACCAGGCGTGGAATTGGGGGATGGGCGACGTTGGGTTGAGGTCGTGGAGGTGTAGCTGGGAGAGGGTGAATTGGGGGGCTTGGCCGTGGGGGTTGTGGCCTGCGGGGGCGACTGTTTTGGAGATTGTCATGTTAGATGATTTGAATGTATGTATATGAGGTTGTGTGTGAGAGGATGAAGGTGAGGGGAGTTGGGGACGGAGTGAGTCATGTTATCATAGGGCATGAGATGTATTTGAGAAAGTAGGATGCGAGTCAATCATGGTGAAGACGTACAAATCAGCTTCTCCTCCTCATTCGTCGCAACCAGCGAAGGGCGTCGGTACAGCGCCATCTTTGCTGCAGCGGATGTCGTCGTTGTCGTTGATGAAGCAAAATATCGCAGGCGGTTCAATCGCATTACCCCCCCAGTTTATAGTCACACCACTATAGGTCACCTGGTCGTTTCTGTCTTTTTTTATTTTATTCTAACCAAGCCGGTAGGTCTTTCCGCGTTCTGTAATTCAATATGAGTCTCCCTCTTGAAAATTAGATAAGAATGGACTGCTGATGAGTTAAGAAACAAGTCAGCTGGAGAGAGGATGAGGCTGAGAGGGAAAAGCTTTAGCGATGCTTAGAAAAATAAAGTGGGGGCGATCCGGAAAGGTAATGACGCCCTCTCCGTGCTTTGCCGTTGTAAATACTTATTTAGACAGTGGCGTGGTTTATTGCTGCTGCGAAGAAAAAAATTAAAAGTATGGCCGTGTAAGGTACTGAATGATAAACAGTACTTCAGATCAGTATTTCGTAGAAACTGCATTCATTATGTACATGTTGTGGCTTCTGATGAAATCAATGACATCGTGCTTTGCCAGCCCCACGCCACCGATTCTCACAAGAGGTGCATCTCAGTGAGATCTGCATAAATAACCTGCCATCTAACCAGAAGCCAAAACCTCAAGTACCATCTACTCCAAATACCCATTTTCACTGGTCGTAAGCAAGAGTATATTGTACAGTGGCTGTTCTAGCTGGGGCGCTGGTGCGGAACCATTTCCACTTAGTCTCTCACAACTCCACGGAAGCTTTGGACGCTCTTGCGCCTCTGCTGAAATAGACACACAACACACATATAAAACACACACATATAAAACACACACGACATATAAACAAAACGTACGCAACGTACGTACACGACGTATAAACGTACGTATACATACGTATACGCATCAAATCTATTGGGTATCATAGTACGGGGTATCTTATGCGCCTGTGGGCTAAATGCCTCTCACAGAACGCTCTCAAAAAAACACCAAATAACGCCAAACCCTTCCGAAAATAGGCAGACGATGCCATAAATACGGGTTTAATACCTAGGACGTAGTCTAATATGTGTAACGCCCTTTGGAAAAAAAAAAAGAAATAACCTTCTACATCGTGCCCCTTTTTGTGTCCCATTCATCCGTCCCAAAAAAATAAACCGAGATAAAACATCGAAATAAGAAACAAGTTCTACTCTGTACAGTCTTCATCCGGAATTCCACATCTGACTATGAAATGGCTTCTCTACGAGCTAGCCATAACAAGTGCCAGGAGCGCCATCCTGCAGTAAAGACCATACCGCATCTATCACAAAGTTAGCAAATTCAATCCCTTTTCGCGAGGAAAGGGGCGTCCTTACCTGTCTAAAGTACGCCGCCCGCTGGTCAAAGTCCACCTCCTCAGCCACCTCCTCGTTCCTTGGAAGAGGGTGCAGCACAACCATGGAGCTCTTGGCGTTCTTCAGCGTAGCATTGTCCACGCGGTACGAGTCCTTCACCTTCTCATAAGCCTCCACGCTCTCGAAGCGTTCCTTCTGCACGCGTGTGCAGTACAACACATCGCTGCGGGCAAGGATTTCGGGTGTCAGGGTCTCTGACTCAACCAACAGCTGTCCAGAGGCAATCAACTGTTCCTTCACCTTGGCAGGGAGAGACAGCGCCTTGGGAGACACGAGCTGAACCTTGACCTGGTAGTGCTGGAGCAGGTACACCAGCGAGTGGACGGGTCGGCCATACAAAAGATCACCCAAGAAGGTAATTGTCAAGCCCTTCACGGTACCCAGCTCCTCACGGATGGTAAAGAGGTCGAGGAAAGCCTGAGTTGGGTGCTCCTTGCTGCCGTTTCCGCCGTTGACTACGGGGACAGGGCAGTACTTATTGGCAATGTCCACAGAAGTCTCCTGAGGGTGACGCAAGACAACAGCATCTCCGTAGCAGGCCAGGGTTCGCAGAGTATCCTGCAGCGTCTCACCCTTCAGGACAGACGAGGTAGAGGTCGAAATCGCAATGGTACGTCCTCCAAGTCTCTGCATGGCAGCGTCGAATGAAGCAGACGTTCGGGTGGAAGGCTCATAGAACAGCGTGCAGAGAACACGGCCGCGGAGAACGTTCAAAACACCCTCGCGCTGGACGCCGAGTCGCATCTCTTGAGCCACTGTGAACAGTAAGTGCAGGTCAGATCGAGTGTACTGTTTCACGGACAGAACGTGGGAGTTCTTGAACGAGTTGGGCTGCGACAGCAGCTGCTGAAGAGAGTTGGTTGCTGGCTGAGGAGACAAAGTCAGGCCAAGTTCATCCACAGCGCCTCCAAGTCTAGCAGGAGAGCCAAGTCCATCAAGATTGCGGAAACGAGCGGCAATCTTGGGGCTGCTAAAACCAGCGGGTTGTCTGGGCTTGGGGCTCTCGGTCACTTGAGTAATGAGACCAATGGCGGGCTTCAAAGCAGGAGAAGTCGGGACTTCACGGGAAATGCTGTGCGAAGACATGTCCTTGCCCTTAGGAGGCACCGCCAAGAGTTCACCATCCAAGCAGACCGTGGCGTCCTGGAAGGTAACTCTGCGAACAGATCCGCGCATAAGACGGCCTTCAAACGGCGACCAAACGCTGCCAGGCTGGACTGGGTAGGCGCGGTCGATCTCGACCTCAATGCTGGTGCCAACTTGATCATGGAGCTCAAAGATTTCCATGGGGTTCTGGTAAAGCTTCTGCTTGAGATCGTCAATCGTCAGCTTGCCCTCAGTAACAGAGGTGAGCAGGAGCGGAAGAGCATCCGCAATGCCACTCGACGTGTCGGCCTTCTTTCCTAGAGACTCAGCCAGCTGGTAGGGCAGGCTTCCAACAGAGAAGACGTCAATGGTTGACATGTTTTCCCAAAGAGCTGCCTGATCCTTCGGGGACGGGAGGAGTCGATCTAGCTCAGGGTAGTCCTTGGTAGAAAGGTACAGGGAGTAGATGGAGACATCACAAGAAACGCGCAGTCCCTTGGCCTTGCTAAGCGCAATCAGACGAATGTCGTCCTTGTTCGTGACTGACGTAACGTGAATGCGGCGGTTGTGCAGGGAAGCCAGCAAAAGGATCGAGGCGAGGTCAGTCAGCTTGGCGTCAGTGACAATGACCTTGTGCGCCGGCCAAGCATCAAAGTGGGCAGTGACGGCAGCCACCTTGCTAATGTTGCCAGACAAGTGGTTGAAGGGAATGAAGAGCGAGCCGACTTCGCCAGCAAGGGTGCTAATCTGGCTGTCGTTATCCGAGGTGGCTGAAACAGACAGGTTGTAGTCGCAGTAGTCACCGAGCTTGCTGTTCTGCTGAGCGGCCCTGAGAGTGATGCCGTCGGTAATGGCGCCTTCCAGACCCAGAGGCATGACACGAATCATGCTGAAGCCTGCAGAGATGGAGGCCTTGGTAACAGTCTCCATATCGTGGCTCTCTGGCGTGACAAGGCCAGGAACAAAGGCTGCAACGTTGACCAATCCAGGAAGGACAACCGTCTTATGGCTGGTCTGGTAGTCACGCTTGCTAACGCTAAGATCGAAGCTTCGAGCAATAGCCTCAATGAGGATCTTGGCGTTCTTGACGTTGGTTACCAGAGGAATCTGGTAGTCAACAGCCATACGACGAGTCTGGTAGCCTCTGCTCATGTAGTTTGCGGGGCGGCGGTACTTGTTGTTGGAAGGCAAGTTGATGTACAGATCAATCGTGTTCTTGGAAAGATGCTGAGTGAGAGAAAACTCGGAATCCTTGTCTTCCTCCTTGCCGAGGACTTCGAGGTACTGGACAGGGACACCGTGCTCCTGAAGGAAATCGGCAGTACCAGCGGTGGCAAACAGTTTGTAGCCAATCTTCTGGAGCTTCTGGACTGATGGAAGCATCTCTTTCTTGTCCTTGAACGAACCAATGGACAGGAGAATGTTCTTCTTGGGAATCTTGAATCCGGTAGACAAGAGAGCCTTGAGGTATGCCTCGTTCTTGTCAACACCGAAACAAGCAACTTCACCAGTGGAAGCCATCTCGACACCAAGAACAGGATCAGCGCCAGAAAGACGAGAGAAACTGAACTGGGGAACCTTGATACCGACGCAGTCAGGGGCGATATCTGTAGGTGGGTACTCTTGGAAAGGCTGGCCCATGATTGCCTTGGTGGCCATCTCGATCAAATCAACTCCCATGACCTTGGAAACAAAGGGGAACGAACGAGAAGCTCGGACGTTACACTCAATAACCTTGATGTCGTTGTCCTTCGCGATGAACTGGATGTTGAAGGGACCGGTCACGTTCAAAGCGGCACCAATCTTGCGAGTAGCCTCTTCAATGCGTGAAATGGTGGTACGTTCAAGATCTTGCGGTGGTAGGATGAGAGTGGCATCACCAGAGTGGACACCGGCATTCTCAACGTGCTCAGAGATGAAGTGACCAACAACAACACCATCCTTGGCAACAGCGTCCATCTCAATCTCCTTGGCGTTCTCAATATACTTTGTGATAACGACAGGGTGTTCGCGTGAGACCTCGGCGGCCTGGGCCAAGTAGCTTTCCAGGTCCTTCTCAGAGTAGACAGTGTTCATGGCCGCACCAGAGAGGACGTATGAAGGTCGAACAAGCACGGGATAAGACACCTTTTGGCAGAAAGCCTGGGCCTCTTCGAAGCTGGTAAGCTCCTTCCAAGTGGGCTGGTCAACTTCGATTCGGTCCAGCATACGAGAGAACTTGTAACGGTTTTCGGCGGTATCAATCATCTCAGGAGAGGTGCCCAGCACCTTGACACCGGCACGGTGGAGGGGCAGAGCAATGTTGTTGGGAGTCTGACCACCCATGGCACCAAGGACACCGCTGGC